CTAAATCTTATCTTTAGATATATATATAATTCTAGGTATAATAGTGAATCTAAGGAATTTAACTTCTTATTAATAGAACTTACTCTTAGCTAGCTCTATAAGGAGTTTAGCTTCCTATAGGGCTTATAGGACTTTATAAACGTATTTCTTATATTCTTTAAGTAACTTAGAGAATATAAGGATATTATTAAGATAGATAATAATAAAGCTATCTAGGTATTATTATAAGACTTAATTAATTATTATCTAGAATATTATTAGTATATTAGTAAGTCTAAATAGCATTATAAGGGTCTTAAAATATCCTCACTAGGTTTAGAATACTATCTTCTATTTATCTCCCTCCTTTATATAGATTAGGTTATAAGCTCCCTTAAGGTTAAGGGCTATAAACTAGTTTATACTATATAAGAGGTCTTATAGCTTAGAGATAAGTAGTAGGGGGTAGTAGTTCTTAATAGTAGTATTATTAAGTTTTTAATAGTTAATATATAATTATTTCTTACCGTTTTTCTTTAGTATAAATAGGACTAGGTATCCTATTAGTAATATAGAGGGTCTAATATATCCCTTCTATAGGTTTTCTTTAAGGTAAGCGTTAAGTACTTCTATCTCTTCTTAGTTAAGTCTATAGATTAGCTTAAAAGTTAGCTCTCTACCTAGCTTTAGCTTAATTTTGTGATTATAGCTGCTATGCTCTAGTAATCTAGTCTTAAGTTCTTCTATAAATAATTTATTATAGATCTAGTATTCTTCTAGGATAGATAGAAGTTAATCTTCTTTATTAATTTATATTATTACTAACGTCCTAACCTCTCTATCCTTTATTTTGAGGTATAGTAGATACTTTATAGCTATAGTTATCTTTTTTAGCTTATTTAAGGCGCTTTATTATAATAGCTACTTAGTAACTAAGTTATAATCCTAATAGAGTTAGCTAGTTCTCTAATCTATCTATAGGTTATTCTTTTATAACTATAGTATCCCTAGGATAACGTCCTAGTCTCCTATCTCTATAATATTGAGGTTAATCTATTTATTATAGCTATAATATAGCAGTTAGAGTTATACTATCTCTTAGTAGACTATACCTCTACTATACTAGATATATTCCCCTTTAATAGTTTATAGTAGGTATAGTTTTTTCTTCTTATTCTATATAATCTTTAGTTGATTTACTACTTATAGTGAAATAAAGTTTGCTTATACTCTATAGTTAATTAGCGCGGTAGCTTTCTTCCCATTTAGGGTAATCTCATAGTAGAAGTATACTTCTTCTTCTATTATTATACCTACTATTGCTAGGCATAGGGACTTTATTGTATTTACCTATTATTATCCCATCTTAGTAGGTAAGTCTAGTTTTTTAACTGCTTAGTGCCTCTAATTCTCTTTCTTACCCTATTATCTAGCTTTCTATATTAGGCTTTCCCTAGTTATTAGGGTTAGTAGTAAGGCTTTACTATTCTCTTAGCGTTTAATTTCTTACCTCTAGGCTCTTATCTTCTTAATATAGTAGACTTAATACTAGTTATTTCTATATTCTTACTATATTATTATTATATTATTAATATATCTTATAGGATAGTTAAGGCTAGGTATAAATATAGTAATATATTCTTCTAAAAGGTATTATAGGTCCTATATAGGTAGTTGTTTATCTATATAGACCTATAGGATAGGCTATCCTCTATATCTCTATAGGTAGAATCCTAAGTTATGCTTATTTGATATATAGGTGGGGTAGTAGTCTATAAAGTATTATCCCTAAAAGAGCTTATAGTGCTCTAGGTGTTAATAGTTAAGGATTAAGTAGTCTCCTTTAACTTATATAGGTATTAGGAGGCTCCTTCTATTCTCCTTATTAGCTCTATATAGTTATACTACTTAGTAGTTATTTATAGGGTTAATCTCCTAGTATTCTAGCTATCTAGATAGGTCTTTATCCTCTTCTTCTTTAGATAAGGTGCTTTTAATATTAAAAGTTATCTAAGAGACTTATTATTTAAGTAGAGGGTTAACTTATTATCCTTTTAGGATTAAGAGGGTGAGGTCTATCTCTTAAGTAGACTCTCTTCTAGCTTATTCCTCTAATTAGTTTGCTAGCTCTAGTTATTAGTTCTATAGCGCTTTATTAAGTTGCTCTATAGGTTTATAGGCTATCTTATTATTTCCCTTATACCCTATAGTAAGGGTTTATCTATTAGTGAGGCCTATAGTCTTATATCCTGATTAGTTAGAGGGTTCTTTAGGGTACTATCCTATATATTCCTTAGAGTTTATATATATTCTATAGTTATTATTAAAGTAAGTAGTCTAACTAAGTTATTTATAAGGAACGTCCTTTATTATAATATTAGCTTATTAGGGTTATTTAGGTATAGGCCTAAACTATTCCTTCTTTAGGGACCTATACTTACTAGTATAATATCCTATCTTTTAGTAGTTAAAGTAGGTAATATATTTCTTCTAGTTATTAATCCTAGGGGTATTCTATTAGTGGTCCTTCTAGGCCACGCTGAGGTCTATAGGTCCACTATAGTGACTATAGGAGGTGCTATACTAGTTATTATTCTAGTAGTTGTAGTTATTCTACTAATAGTTAAACTATTATTATAGTTGCTATTAGTACTTATATCCTATATTGGGGTTCTAGCGTTTCTCTCCCTTCTCCTAATATTATTTAAATAGTTAATTATTAATCTTAATAGTATATTTAATATAGTCTAGGAAGCTAGGAGGGGTATTAACTTTAGCTATTTTATCCTTAATGTTATCCTTAAGACCTTAATAGAAAGTAAAGACCTTACTTTTATTAGTTATATAAAGTCTAGCTACTAGTTATTAGAATTTAGCTATATATAGTATAGCTAACTTAGTTTATTATAGGCTTAAGAGGTCTCTCTTAGCTTATTGCTTCTCATTAAGGTTGAGGAAGAGCAATTTAAGAGCCTTTATATAGCCTATAAAGCTAAAGAAGATATTCTTAACTTCTTAGCTATACTTCTTAACTAAGTTATTAAGCTATTCCTATTAGAGGGGTTTAAACTATATAAGGGCTTTTCCCTTAAAGAAGGTTATAGCGTAAATAACTTATTTAGTATTATTCTAAAAAGTATTAAGATAGAAGGCTTAATAGGTTTATATCTAGACTAGGTATCCCTTAAGTTATCTAGGGGTTCTATTAAAGGTAGTAGGTATATTAAGCTTAAGGCGTTCCTATCCTTTAATAGGGGCTAAGATAACGTTAGTAGCTACCTAGAGAGTAGTAACTTCTTTCTTAAATTTATAAGTATATTAGGCTTATTCCTAAAGTTCCTTTAGAGTAGTAGCGTTCTTATTAAATAGGTTTTATATTTCTTAAAAGTTATTTTTAGTTTTCTAAAGCTCTTATTTAAGCTTATTATTATTATTATTACTCTTAGTATTATCTCTATCCTTTATCTTTTAATCTCTAAGTTCTTAAGCTAGGTTCTAGGGAGCTTATCTGCTAGAGGCTATAGAGGAGGATCTAGGGGTAGGGGATTTAATAGAGGTATAAGAGGATATCTTATCTATACTATTTAGTAGTATTAAAGGTTAACTTACTAAATAAGAGTAATTAAAGTATTATAGTTAGCTTATCTAATAGTAGGGTCTATTAATAGAAGCTAAGGGATAATACTAATAAATAATATTATATTATTATAAAGTTATTAGTATAGTTCTAAATAGATTAAAGTCTTAAGGGTTATAGTAATTAGTTATAAGCCTAATAAGATATTTATAGTATAAGATATACTAAAAGTATCTAAGGGATAAATATAAAGTTAATTACTAAAGAGCTATAGAAGTCTATCCTTAAGCTGGGCTTAAGTCCATCCTATATATAAGTCCCAAGCCGTTCTCCTATACCTCTACCTTAGAGTCGCAGGAGTTAACCACTAACTCTTATTGACTTCGTATTGATTAGTGTGCTTAAGAGTCGCTAGAGTTAACCACCGACTCTATTGACTCTCATCTCATTAGCTGAGGTCACGTGACTTATTCTATAGTTCTTCCGTTCTGAGGTGAGTCCTTTCTGTTCCCGTGATCCTATATATAAATGTGACGTTCTAGCCGCCTAGTTGTCCTTATGGGGCTTTTCTCTGCTAAGCATGCCCAACGGGTTGTAATATTACTATTAAGCTATTTAATAATTTATTTAGTAGCTATAGAGATTCTACTTATTATTATATAATACTATATATTAATATAGGTTAGAGATACTATTAATACTTTATATTTTACTGCTTTTTATACTAAGTAGATATAAGAGCTGCGCGAAGCATAAGCCACATAATAAACTAAACGGGTGGGGGTATCACTTTGCCCAAACTTAGATAGACGTCTGCAGAACCGGAATCAGACAAAGCTCTAGCATTTTTGACAATTTTCCTCGTTTATGACTGAATCCAATTTCCGAAAAGAAGAGTCTCTGAATACACTTTTAACATAGCTAGGCGGTATTATCAATGGAGAAGGAAGGATCCAGATCAAAACGCTAAGTGTTCAGTCCTCCACGGTTGTCTTTCCTTGCGACTACTTTTTGCTACCTCTATGCCTATCCTTGCTGCTATTAGCTCTAGTACTGTGCTTATTATCCGTTGTCACTGCATAAGTATTCGACCAGGAATAATTACCGTGGAGTAGGGTAGTTCATGGTGGTTACTACCAGATAGGCTGATGTTTCTACGTGATGGGAACTGTAGAAACTGTCACATCATTGCGACATGACGACTGCCAATCCTGTTCGACCTTAGCAATGCATTGATACTTCTTGGGAGAAAGGACTAATCTCCACAAACCATCGGAATGTAGATTCCAAATCGTCCCGGAATTCACATCCCGATTGACATTCGTACTGTTGATCATCGTCGACATTGATGTCTGACTCGAACGTGATGAACATAAACAATGGGCAACATGCACCTATTCCAAACTCGGCAGCATCAATCATCCCTCAACATCGCTTTTCAATTATGGCGCCTAAAAGACTTCAGCTGGGGATTGTTGGCCTCGGCCGCATGGGCAAACGTCATGCCTTAAACTTTCTGACTCGAGCGTCGAGGTCACAAATTGTTGCAGCATGGGCCTTCGACGAGAATGAAGCTGAATGGGGTCGTAAGGAACTTGGACCTCATGGAGCTCAAATTTATACCGACTACGATATCTTTCTGCGACATGCTGGCCTTGAAGCTGTCGTCATTGCGACTGTCGTTGGAGCACATGCCGAGCAGGCTATCAAGGCCATTGAACAAGATAAGCATGTCTTGTGCGAAAAGCCGTTGAGTACCAACCCGGATATTGTCGGTTTCCCCCTCCCGTCCTTTTGGTTGTCGCAGCATCCCGAAAGCGTAGTTGATGCTAATGATAGTTTATATTAGTCACGATCAGTTGTCGATGCTGCGAGCAGAAAACCTCACTTGAAGGTCATGTGTGCGTTCTCGCGTCGTTTCGATGCTTCTTATAGAAAAGCGTGGGATCGAGTCAACTCAGGGACCATCGGCGACGCTGTTGTTTTCAGGTCACAGACCTGTGACATGCTCAACCCAACTGGATTCTTCCTCCCTTACGTCAAAGCGAGCGGCGGCGTCTTTCTAGATCTCAGCATTCACGACATCGACTTGTGCCTGTGGTTCCTCGGTGTCAGCCAGAATCTCGTGGTCAAGAGTGTTTCGGCCAGTGGCGTGTGCGCTGTTCATCCAGAACTCGCCGAGCTTGGGGATGTCGACAACGGCGTTGGAATCGTGGAATTCTGGGGCGGCAAGATTGCCCAATTCTTCGTTTCTCGCGTCATGGCATCCGGCCAACACGACATGTCTGAAATCATTGGCACCAAGGGCAAAATTGTGGTCAATCGCCAGCCGAGCGACTCACTGGTAGAGATGCACGAAGCTGGAGGCATTCGACGCGAACTGCCAACAGATTACTACGGGAGATTCGAGCAAGCTTTTGTTACCGAGGCGAACGAGTTCACTGCTGCGTGCCTTGATGATAAGCCTTTGCCGTTTGCCCTATCTGGTGCGGCACAGGCGGTGGATATTGCTGTGGCTTTACGGGACAGTCTCACGACGGGACTGAAGATCCATTTCGATGAGACAGGGTGCCGCAAGGCTTAGTGTTGTGTCTTCCAAAAAGGTATTCAAGATAGCTTATCAAATCTCAATTGCAGAGTGCTATCACATGAAGACAGCGTATTATACGAGTGATTGTTGAAAAAGACGCATAAAGTTGAAGAAGGGTAAACATTCACAACCGCTGAAAGCCCAATTGGTCGCCGTAAAATTACAAGAGGGTGAAAACTGCTCCCCGGCTGGGTTGGAGGGAAATCGAAGTCTGATAGAACAGGCCCTTGTCACAAGCCGGGGATCGTCTGCACTCAATTCTATCTACCCTTAACCCTGACATCCACAGGTGTGGTCATCTCGCGTTGTCGCTGTGGTTAGGTTCACAACGTCTATTGGCCCCTGCTGTTACCATTAATGACTCCAGAGTACGCTCTTGATGGTTTATGAATCAAGTCTTCTTGAATTGTGGCTGGCGAGTCTCATGCGGCTCTTGCTCAACTATAAATTGCAGGTTATTCTTTCCTTTCACATTGGACATACGCCCAGTACCTTAGGTAAAGATAGCATGACTGAAATTATGTGTCGATTAATGTTCCCGAAGAAGACAGCGAAGGCTGCTAAGGCAGCTGAGCGCATCCGACTAATGTCATTCATAGCTTTCATTCGATTCTCGAGTAACTGTAACGATGTTCCTTCTGCCGCTTTCAGTGCACAATTACATTTGAACAAATCATTGCTCCATCTATATCCAATTGACCAGAAGAATCAATACCTTGGTGGCACGTCAGACACAACGCCACAAAATTCCTCTTGCGACCAAGTGCTCCAAAGCCCACTCACTAATTTGGCTCTTTTCCCGCCCTTTTGGACGGCTTTAAGCTTGGGCTGAACATGACGTCAAACTAGTTTACAAGACTGTACCAGAAAAATCAAAGTACGCCTTCAATTACTAAAATCAATGGTCACCGGAATTCATAACCCGGGTTATTTTAGTCAGCCCAGGACCTCAAAGTTTGCATGTTCGTCATGTATAAAGTTGAACTTCGTCTTGGGCATATCAACAGGTTCTGGTATAGATCGTTACATTCGAGAATCACCAGAGAAGCATATTTTGAACATTTCGAAATGGCGCATGCACTGATCCTCGGGGCTTCCGGAATCTCGGGCTGGTCCCTCATGAACCAGGCCCGCGACTATCCCACCCCCACAACATTTTCGCGCATTACCGGAACCACCAACCGCCCTTTCACGCTGGAGCAGGCAGGATTGCCGTCGGATCCTCGTCTGAAGATTGCGTCCGGAATCGATTTCACCAAGTCAGTTGAGGAAGTTGCTCGCTCGATGAAGGAGAAGATTCCCGACGTCAACACCGTATCTCACGTGTTTTTCACGGGTATGTCTGGTTGCACTGCAGGTTCACAGAAACGAGATTCAAACGTGCTAATTTTGATATAGCATACATTCAGACCAACGATTTTGAGAGCTTGAAAGTGAAGAACACCAACCTCTTGGAAGTTGCTGTCCGAGCCATTGAGCAGGTTTCGCCTAGTTTCAAGACCATCATTCTCCAGACCGGAGGGAAAGGGTAAGAATATCAAGCGATTAAACTCAAATCACTCAGCTAACAACTGAAAGATATGGTCTCGAGTTTCCCAAGGAAGTCGGAATCAAAGCGCCATTGCGGGAAAACATGCCTCGCATCCCGGAACCCTGGGCTGGCAAGATCTTTTACTACACCCAGTACGACATGCTTAAGAGACTCTCAGAGGGTAAGCAATGGACGTTTTCTGAGATTCGTCCGGATGGTATCGTGGGATTTGCGCCCACTGTCAACCCGATGAACATGGGCCAAGGCATCGGCCTGTATCTGAGCGTTTACCGAGCTGTCAAGGGCGCTGGTGCAACAGTCCCCTTCCCTGGCCACGAGCACGGCTATCACTCTACGCACTCCGATACCTTTCAAGATATCCTTTCAAAGATGGAGATTCACGCAGCCTTGAACACAGACAAGTGCGGCGACGGTGGTGTCTTCAACATCGCCGATGGAAAGACGGTGTCGTGGTCACAGGTGTGGCCCGGACTGTGCTCTCATTTCGGACTCGTTGGCACTGGCCCTGTGGCAAACTCGACCAAAATGGAGGACTTTGTCAAGGGACATCGTGATGCGTGGTCGGCGCTGGCCAAAGAGCACGGCCTGAATGAGAAGCTTATCGACCAACAGGGCTGGGGTCATACCCACTTCATGTTGGTCGATTTCGACTTCGATCGGCAGTATGATCTGTCGCGGTCTCGCAAGGTCGGTTTCTCAGAGGAGATCGACACTGTCCAGGGTTACATTGAATCGTGGGAGCGGATGCGCGCTGCTAAGCAGCTTCCCCCCGTGTAGATATACTCAGTCAGGCATGATTCTGATATCAACCAGAACCATTCAAAATTGAAACCGACTCACACTGAAAATGGCATTTTTGCTTGAGCTATGCACCTGAATTTGTGAAGACTAGATATTTATTATATAAGTATATGAAGAGCCACTTTCGCAAGTGTTCTTAAGTCGTCGTCGTTGAGAACGTTGTAAACGTATCAAGGAATCCACAATAAATTGCCACATGGCTTAATTAGGCCCTATATATTATCTGTTGAAGCTGCATTGAGCCGAAATTCCCTGCTACAGTAAGTACGCGCGGTGTTGACATAAGATACTGCGGCTTTGACACATACAACTCGACCTGTCCTTCTTTAAAATTCCACCAGTCGCCAACACGAAAATCTCTTGCAATGCTTTATGCTGCGAACTATGTTAATTCTACCTTATATCATCTTTGACTGGTTCAATTCTGGCTGGCATTGATGCCAAGTCACACAGAGGTGCTTGTTCACGATGACATCAATGCCGAAAGAGGATTTCGCCTCAGAATCAACGCCCATTCATTGGTGGCCTGCTGATGACACAAAAGCACTGATGTAAATCACGCAATTCAAGCCGCGATGCTACTATCCCACCGGCAAGGCGCAATCAATGTGCTGCTTCTGGAAGAAAAAAAGCCCCATTTCATTCGTTCGGGCAGGGCCCGTGGTACTCAAATTTGACTACAGCACTTGGCGAACGATTACCAAGTTTCCTCACTGATGAGCTTCTCATTCAGTCGGAATTGACGGGGCGATTTCGATGGAATTGCCAACAACGCTATAAATACTGAGTTAGTTACACAATTTGTAGGGATTTCCACATGCCTTTTGTATGTGCTTGGGTGCGAGGTGAGCGACTCAGAGTTAGTGTTAGGCGAGAGATTCCCGACATACCTAATCTAATATGGAGAGAGGAGCTTTTCCAACGTGGTATTTCGGTAATTGAGACTCCAGGATCGTCTATTTGCGGAAGCGTTTTCTCCGGAGTTGCCATCCTAGGAACCTCACTCCTCATTGAGTGGTGCAGGGAAGCTTCATGATCTACCGGGGACAAGGGTATGTGATTGGGGGATTTCTGATTTGACCGCTCCTCAAGAATCGGAAAATTGCCGTCACTTGGCTTCCTACTTACTTGCGACTTGTTGCTGGCTTGTTGGCCATCCTCCAATTTGCGGCAATCGCTGGGGTTTCTGGGTCAAAGGGGGAAATTATAAAATGTTTATTAAGTCCAAGTCCAGGTAGGAGCGATCGTTCCTCACTCGGAGATCGGCAGCGTCAGATCAGAATTTCAAAATGGCACCGTTTCAAGCTGTCCCCGTTGCGTTCTTGGCCATATTAAGCGGCGTGGCTGCCCGCGATATTTTTGTGTCTCCCTCCGGCACCGGCACCGGCAGCCAAACGGCTCCGTACGGGTCTATTCAGTCGGCAGTCAACGCCGCGGCGGCCGGCGACACCATCTATCTCCGTCAAGGAACCTATGCTCCTTCTGCCAACATTCAGGTTGGCAAGAGCGGAACCGCCACATGGCCCATATCTGTCCGTCCATACCAGAATGAGAAGGTCATCATTGATGGCGAGAACATGCCCGGGTAAGATGAGCTGGACATATGCAGCAATGCAGTGCTAACCGTTATCAGAACACCGAAGGCATTGAATGAGGCACTGCCGAACTCTGAGCGGGGTATCTTTCATATCCAGAATGCCAATTACTGGGTATTCCGTGATTTGGAGTAAGACTTCCGGATTCCTTCGTTGATCCTGTTTCTAAACATCAAACTACTAGGTTGATCAACGGTCCATACGGCATCTACGCTCGAGATGCATCGCACAACTACTACGACGGTCTATCGACCCACGATAACTACGAGACTGGTTTCCAGCTCGAGGGCGCCTCTTCCAACAACACAGTTCTCAACCTCGACTCGTACCGCAACCGCGACCCTCGAAAGAACGGCGAGAGCGCCGATGGCTTCGCCTGCAAGTCCGGCTCCGGCACAGGCAACGTGCTTCGCAACGCCCGCCTCTGGGACAACGTCGACGACGGCCTGGATCTGTTCATGTTCGGTTCCCCCGTCACGCTGGAGGAGGTCTACTCTTGGGGCAACGGCTACAACCGCTGGGGCTTCAGCCCCTTCGAGGGCGACGGCAACGGTTTCAAGCTCGGCATCACGGACAACCCGCCGGCGAACCACATCATCCGCAACTCCATCGCGTTCAACAACTTCAAGAAGGGTTTCATTGACAATGGCAACCCGGGCTCTCTGACTTTCGAGCGCAACACGGCATGGAACAACGGCGATACCGGGTTCGTGATGCGCAGCTCCTCGTCCAAGATGACTGGCAACATTGCTGCGGTCAACGTCGGTAGTGCGCAAGTCAGCCTTGTTAGCTCTGTCAGCGCTTCCGGAAACTCGTGGAACTCTGGCAGTTGGTCCAACAGCTCCTTCACGAGCGTCGATGCGTCTGTCTTGAAGGGGCCTCGAGGCTCGGACAAGAAGGTTCAGGGCAGCAACTTCCTGATTCCGAAGTCAGGTCAGGCCATCGGTGCGACCACGCTGCAAGAAGTTTAAGCAAGCTCGTTGGACTACACTTTGTCCCTCATTCAGATGAGAGAAATTCTACTGTAAATATTGCATTGGTACATACAAGCCCTCATAGGTCAAGGCATATACCGTTCTTGTCCCATCTTGCCCGCACGCTGTGTCGAACATCTGTTTCTTTGAATCAATTTTTAGGTTTCCAATGGTACTTGTGTCTGTCGTTGGTCCTAGTGACTGGAGGCTCATAGTTTAGTACTTCTCATGTACAAGGAGATCGGAGGCATCTCATTCTTGATCGCATATGAACATGAAACGCACTGAACCATGAGCCTCAACTCACTAATTTCAGTGTCTAGTAAGGACACCAAGCCAAAACTCCTTGGTGCGTCTCTTAAGCAGAACGACCTAGTGGGTTTATCACATTTTAAATGAGGCATTTGACCGTATGACGGCCGGAGACAACTTGAATTTGCTATACCAAATCAACTCGTCAATCGTATTTCACAAGTCAAGGAATTCACATATTAATCGTATGGACTATATACCAAATCAACCAGATATTTATGCCAGGTCATTCCAATTCTCCGTGCTGAAGTCAGGCCAGTACAAACCCTGCAAGTCATCATAGAATGAAGCCTCCAAGAACTGCAAATCGAGCACCGGCTGTGCCAGTAGTTCTTCCAGTGAAGGTTCTGTAAGCGCCATGCCAGCGGTTGTGTGAGCCGGCAGTAGGGGAGCTGGCCCGATCTGTGCCGTGCCCGCCGGCCGCACCGCATCATCATTGAAGCCCGAGGTTTGGTTCGGGAAATCCAGTCCAACTCCCATCCGTTTGGCATAGACCTTATCAACGTCAGCCTTCATCACGTCGACGTGATGACAGTACTCCTGCGCGGCAAAGTTTCCGGCGTCCCGCAACTGTGAAAGGAATCTTGCTGCTTCCTCAAAAGCTTCCCTGTCGCTCCTGCTCTCGGGCCCATCCAGCAAGCTTGAGGCTGCTAGGATAGTAAGAGCCGAGAAAAGATATTGCGTGTAAAAATAGTCGAAGGTAGCGAAGGACCCATCGATCCAGGAGTCTGTTAGCAGACGAATAGAGTGGCGTGCACAACGCACACAGGCTTCTGATAGTGTGATGGCGCTCGCAGGTACCTGCGATTCAGTCACAGGATATGATGAGGGCCATGAGGCAACTTGAGTCCGTAGAATGTGAAGTAAGATAGGACGAGTGGCCAAGATGGCACACTGAGACCAGTTAGATAAGATAATTCATTCATGCGGAAATGTTACGTGTTGGGGAGAGACGAAGACTTACCTGATTGAAAGAAAGATGAAGTGAGATGGGCTTTGGGCCCGTTTGGGATTCCGGATTGTCGATTTGCAAGTGAGTAGGTAAGTCTTCAACCCAGGCTCGAAGGTCTTTGAGAGCCTGTTGTACTCTGGTGGACAATGTAGCCTCACCCTGATTTCTCTGGCCATAGATTGAGCGGACAGTCTTGGTGACAAGAGCTGCCAGTCGGAGACTGGCTATGTGGTAAGATGTGTCATCGAAGTCGGCAGCAAAGGTCTGCCCGACGACCGGCTCTGAGGGAAGATCAACTCCGATGTCACTGTCCTGAATAGCGCTCGGATGACCAAGCTTAGACGCCCAAATGCGATCAAAGACATAAGTCGTCCAGAACAATCGTTTCCTATGCTCTCGCAAGTCTGGATCACGAAGCTGAGATTCTGGGATGTTGAGGTGTAGTCCCATCACGATAGCCATACGCATTGCGGTTCCGGACATGACGAAAGCACTGTATCTGCGATTGAGAGCCAGGGAGTAAAATGACTGCAACGGTTAGAATCCACGGTGTACTGACTAAGTTTTCACGTACAATAAGGAGCATAATCTCGATGGAGTCTGTTCCGGGCCGCTCGTCGAGCACGCCAAGTATCCTGGAGGCTTTCGCGAAGTAGGGCATGCCAGGGAAGTCCTTTTCAGATGGGATGGACCGCGTCGAGTACAGTTCACCAATTGCGAACAGCGCCCACAACTTCGATCGAAGCATCAAGTCCCCCCATGACGGATTGTGAATACTCTGTTCCAGGTTCTCCATGATGGAGCTCCGGCGCACGACATGATAGCGCCGGCTCACGTACTTGAGAGCGACCTCGACGAGAAAACGAGAACGAGATGGCGTCGGCCAAGTGATATCCGACTTGACGAGGCTCATCAGCTCTCTGTCCGGGGCGTAGTTGAGCCTCAGTATGTGTTTTGGCTGTGGCGAATTGGGGTCTGTGATGACCTGACGAAAACGGGTTGTGAAAGCCGCGTCGGCGACTTCGCCGATGAGGATAGGCGTGCGGAAGACGTTGGCGTTGATGAACCAGGGTCTCACTTCGAGGGTCGCGGCTTCTGAGGGTTCCTCAGTGTCACTGACTCCTCTCCCAGAGGACGGCGTGTTCGCTCTGTTGCCGGTATGGCTGATGCTGCTCTGAGTCGCAACATCGTCTCGCGTGGAGCCAGACACACTTTGCGCATTCTGACTTTTGAGACGGCGAATCTCATCCAAGAGCCCGTCTATGTAGCTTTTTAATTGTGAGCGGGAATTGAACTGTAATTCGTAATGTGGAGAAACAAGTGGTGAGAAGCCTTTTTTACCTTTGCCTGACCTTGACTTGCCTATTTCGTCGCGGATAAGTACATTCGGTGCCTTTCCCTGCGTGCCGACAGTTTTGACAAGGCTGCTCTCCTGAGCACTTCACTTTCCTTGAATGACAGCGTCGGCATCTATGATTTCTGTTAGTAAGAATAAGAAGATATTGTTTGCGGGAACGAGCGTACGCCGTCGACTTGATGGGTGGCAGGGGACCATCAGTCAAGGGGCTTCTGCTCCCAACATCCGTACTGGGCGGGGTTCTGTTGCATGCTGCCATGGGTGGTTGGAGAAGGACATTCGACAGAATGCCGACGGAGAGGAAAGATTTCTTGATTCAATTCGGCATGTTTCTGTGAGATATCACAGTTCTCGTTGTGATTCAGTAAGATCGTCTCGAAGTCTTGATGTGTCAGAGAGGGCCACTTGCACCGGGGACGGCGAAATGACAAGACGCCGATAGGGCGGGCCGGCAAGTTTGGGTTAGTCAGAATATCTGACCCGAAAGGGGAAGACGGCTCTGCTCCCCGTGTGCTCGGCAGTGGCCCGTGCTTGTGTCTCCGGTCTCGTCGGCTTTTTGACACCTTTGCCGAGATGAGTCATCCGAGAGGTTGTGAACCGTTTCAACAATTATCTGTTGCGCGGTTGAGAACAATTTGTTTTGAACACGCAGTTGTCATGAGCAGCAAAAACATGAGCGGCGATGGAAATAGTACGCATTCTGATTCAGTATGCCAAAACCAGCAAGAAGAAGTCCCATGGCATTCAACACTGCTACCCGGGTTCCTTCAATGTCCGGCAAACAAGCTTGCCAATCTTGCATGTGCATCCCAGATAATTCTCGTGTAGAATTTTCTCCCATCTTTGAGAGGGTCGATTCGCATCGAAAGTCGCCTTGTCGCGGTCGGACCAACCGTCTCGCCATTGATCCATCGTCCATGATCCGTTCTTCTCAATGAGTCGGTCCACATTCCACGACGTTCCAGAATCAAAGTTGCAGCTAACGACGGACGTCCCGCTGGCGATATCCCGCATTGCCTGCGGGAATTCGTCGAATATAAACCAACTTTCGTTATCCCCTCTCACGTACCTACAGACTTGCCGCATCTGCCCCCAGGACAGGGCAGGCAGAGATTCCCGCTTCATCGATTCAATTATGGCCATTTGCCAAGCGGCATCGCGGTGCATAACCGTTTGAAATATTTCGGAGCAAACGGAGTCACCCTCGAAAACCAACTTGAAAGAGCCTGGCGGCATTCCGCCGGGCCCAAGCGCTAAAGCTTCCATAATCCAAACCGCAACGCCGTAAGATATGTCGTCGGCACATAAGGCTGTCTTCGGGTATGGAAAGTGATCAAGAGAATCACTTCTCGATTGGAATGCTGTTCTCCACATACTAACCCTTCGCTCTATCCGTAGATGAGGGTTTTCTTGGCAAAAAGGAATCAGGCCAAGTGCGTGGCACTCGGTGTTCGATACGGCTGCTCGATCCTCGTTCAGGACAATGCTTCTGACACTCGCGCGGTCTTCTCTGGACAAGGATCGCAGGAATCGAATGGCTACAGCAGCGGCTGAGTAGTGATATTTCTTATTCTTGTCCTGATCTCGATGCGCGTGTTGTTCGTCGTCCATGATGCTCTTCATTTCCTCAACGAACTCTGAAGTGGGAATGGCCCAGGGTTCGGGGATGTGTTTCAGGAGCTGCTTGAAGGGAAGTTTTGGGTGTGTAGATCTATTCTTTGAAAGTTTGGCGAACTTCTTGGGGAATCGGCGTCTCCGTTTAGCAACTGCTCTCAAAGCGAAGCGAACAAATTCGCGGTAAGTCGATGGTGTCTCACCGCACGATCTTCTTGATAGTAGACCCCACAGTCCATCGAATTCGGGATCGTCTCTGATAAGATCCAAGAGTGGCTTGAACTGCGGATACGCATTCGTGATGGTTTCGGCGATATCGTCTTTGTAACACGTTGTAGCCCACTGATAGAGTTTGCCGATCAGGTGATTGTCCAGATTGTCCATCAAACGCCCAAAGTGGCAAGCATTCAATCGCTCGCCATCTGAGTAGAACGTGGAAAAAGTAAGGGTGTTGGCAGCCAGGATCACGCCCTTCATTTCTTTGGCAACAAGCTTGCACGTGAGCATGAAAGCAAGGTCAAATGAGACCGGCCTCTCATCAGCGCGCTTCAACTTGTTGTTGTGGGGGTTGAGGATGTATCCGCCATCAACGATGGCATACTGGATGTAGATGAGGTCTCGCAGTTCGCGAGGGAAAACAAAAAAATCCAACATTGCTTTTGTTGGAATAGTTGGATGGTTGGTGCAATGATTGAGTTGGAGGACGTTATGACGGAGAAGGGTGAGTTAGTAGTGGAGGGGAAGAGGGGTTTGCCGTGTGTTTTAAACTGGCGGACGGGCACAAGCAGTCGCAATCAAAATTTAGTAAACAAGAACAAGGACACACTTTTGTTGAGGCTTTTGTGTGAGTCAAAATCAGAAAAACTCAATACTAAAACTAACGTCATGAATGCGAATATTTTAGCAAGAAAGATGAGTATTAGTCACACATTGCCGTACCTCAAGGTAGCTTGCTTAATTGATATGCAATAGGCGATGCGGCGGAAGATTTCACACTGGTTTGAGCTCATACTTGCCACGAGTCTCTCTGATGTTTCAATGCAAGCCTTCCTCAAAGTATTAAGGGCGTTCTTCACTTGTGTTCTCTCGGTCATTTCTGGCTTTCCCATCAGTTGTTCAGTAAAACCATGAATCCTGTTGTGGTTGTCTCTCTCACCCCACGTTCCCTTCTTTCTTTTTTCGAGGTTTGGCGGAGTTCGTGTGGATAGAAGGCTTGCAGACGCCTTCTGGTACTTGCAGCCGCATCAAGGTTCCCCACAAGGTTGGAGAGGAGCCTGATAGAAGGTTGAAGGTGGCGTCGCAAAGTAAATCAACTCATACCAATGTGGTGGTGGTGGGGTTTCCTCCTCTCGCCCGGAACCTATCGGCTCTATTCTAGGTTATGGCAGATGATATGCCTACCATAGAGTTTCTCTGTCATGGGTAAGCACCACCGTAAACGTAGTCAAGTTAGCATTTCAGAGCTAACGTTCTCTACACGATCGCACCGTCAAAGAAAGGGGCTCAATATAGAGACCCGCGACACCGAATGATCAAAGCAGATTGAAAGTCCGAAACCCGGCAGATTCGTCCCAAAACGGATCACTAGAACGTGTCACTAATACAACGCACAACTAAGTGGCGGTTCAGTATTGTGACAAAAGGTCATCGGCAACACTCAGTTTGCCTGCCAGGTGAAAGCCCATGAGCAAGGCCACAGTTGGCTAGTGGTAGTAAACACGATCGTTCAATTTAGATGAAGGAATTAGGACCACAATGACTAAACAGAAAATCTCCATCATCACATATCCTGATCGGCGTACTCAGTTCCTCGACCGAGCAAGAGCTTTTGGAGCCGCGTTAATGAGAGTGGTAATGGTTGCCAGACACCTCGTGCGCGTTGGGCATTGGAGGCATAGGTGGAGCAGTAGACTGCTGTGGTTGCATCTGTGTGAAGGAACCCCCTGTGTGTTGCGCACTCAGGGGCGTTGGAGCTTGTTGGGGATAGAAGTTGTGCTGCTGCTGAGGCTGCTGTTGCTGGATAGGTTGCGGGGAGTACATCTGTTGCTGAGTTTGGTGATGGTGCTGCTGAACCCCTGCATCAAATGGCTGGTGCTGCTGCTGTTGTTGTTGCTGCTGTTGTGGCTGCGCGTAAGGAGGCGCAGCTTGTCCCTGGTTGACGGGTTGATAGGCAGTGTTTGTGGTGAGATGCGTAGTGTTCTTCTCACTGTTGCTGTGATGGCTGGATGATGACACTGGGTTGCAGTGCAGACCGGCCTTGCGATGGCGATGAAGCATGACGCCGTGGATCGATAGCGAGGTGATGAAGAGAGCACTGCGCAGTCTGTTAACATGGGTTGAGCAAATCCAAGACGAGACAACTTACAATTCGAGGCCACCGACACCGGCGGCGGCAGACATGCAGGCGGAGATAATCAGCAGCGCAGCTCTGGTGGAAGCGTAGCAATCGACGTAATAATCGCAGTAGGCGCCGAGAGCAAAGACGTAGGCGGCTTCGGATGCCAGCAACGCGAAGGCGCAGAGCCAGAACACGACGAGGAAGCAGTCCAAAGCCAGTACGGCCCAATCTAAGACAGCCGAGATTAGGTCCCGAGCTCGACGATGTAGGTATTGGTGGAAGCTTACAATTGTATGCCTTTGGGGCGCCATATTTGGCGACAATGAGCCAGGTAGTCACGATGACAGTTGCCACGGCCTTTTGGAATGGTGTTAGCCCAAATGGCACACTTGCGACGCTGGAACGAATTACATACGACGAACAGCATGAGGCAATTTCCAGGGGTTGGGGCGGCATAGGCGCCGAAGGCGCAGAGGCCGGTTATGATGAGGGCCAGAACGAGCTGCACTATTCTGAGAGCGATGAATCCTCTGGGGTACAGAGGGACATGTTCGCGGCCAGCGCGCCGCTGAGGGGAATATTTGTCTGTGTTCTGCATTTTGTTTCGTAGAATGAGAAAGATGATATGAAAGTTGACCGTCAGGTACAATACCAATGAAGAAGGCGGAAAGAATACACGGGGAGAGGGGAAAGGGAATCCAATCCAGTGGTCAGATGTGCTGTCTGTTGTTTGATATATATGCTCAAGGGGCGGGTCGTATGGAATGAATAGATAGACAGATTTCATCTGCTTCAGACCTCCCTGCTTTTCTCAAAGCGTCAGCCCTGCCGGTGGGCAATCGAGGTAACATTGAATGTCTTAACCCTGCGCAACGCGGGACGGAAAGTCACCAATGGCACCACGAGTACTGACAGGACTGCAAAAGTCACTCAGTCCGTGGCGTCAGAGGCACCAGCAGGGCTCAATAAAGCCTTATTCATCATCCTATTTTCTCGGACCAGAGCAAGTATCTTCTGCGAGGTAGCTTTTCGAGGCAACTTATGGGCTACAACACTTTCAAATCCATAGAAAGTTTTCTTCCTATTGTTTGCTGTCAAGACTAAAGGCTGCACCTAAATGGAAGCTAGAAGCCGTCCAAGTACGGGTATAACTGAGGTCCAGTGGGTTGCGAGATTCAACGACGCAATGTGCCAATGAAACTCTACTGCATTTGGCCATATCTCTGGCCGTGTTAGAATCGTTGATGTGGCGCTCTTGGTGTGAAGTCGCAATGTGAGGTTGTAGTGCAGCTGAATAATGCGGCTGACGCAATGAATGAGACTTTCTCAGGGGCCGGGCGGTATCCCTGCTATCTATTGGGGTTGTCTCAATGAACATTTCACGGTCTCAGGCACCATTCCATTAGAAGCATCCACTGCGATGATGCGGAAATCTGCCGCACAAGCCGGGCTGATTTTAAGGAGAATATCACTCACATGAAATGCAAGGGCAAGCTCTCCTATGGCATTTTGATAAGATCGCCATGAGCAAATGCGATACCAGCCATTATTGGACTTTGCTTGATGGCAGCTTGCTAGCCAAGGAGCACAGTAATTATCGCGTTATCAAAGATGTTCTCACACAAGTTTAAGAAGGAAAAAAAAGAAAGAGAGGAAGGAGACACTGGGCGAGACTGGGTAAAGATGCCCAGTTTTAGTAACCTCCTATGTAGTCAGTAAACCGTGTAGATTTCTCAAGATCACATACACTCAAAACGCTAAATCGATGCTCAATTCCGTCTCCATGCTAGGCGTGCCATGGGCGATTTGACCATGTGATGAAGCTCCCTTCTTTCAGCCTTGCACCGGCTATCCATTGTCAATTCCGCCTGCCAAGATGAGGGTACCAGATGGCGTTCTCAGCCGCACCCAGCTAACCCCCAAATCGGCCAAAACCGAAGACAACAGTGCGACATAAATCGCTGGCCGTTGAACTCAACTGGTGCATTTAAACGAGCTGGCCATTCGCAGCGGTAGTTGGGCGGCGCAGTTGGCGTGGTTTCAGAGCGTTCTAACAGGCATCTTGACGGGGAAAAATGAAGGCAAGATGTGTGTGAGATTTTGTGAAAATCCGAGTTTCTCCATGGTCGCTTTAGCAACAGAACAGAACCATTACGTGATTCGTTCTGCAGACAAGTTGCCATCAGCAGCGGCAAGGTTGATCGGAGTAAACCTGTCACTCTCGTCTGTTCCATTTTCTTTCTGGCAGGTTTTCATTGCCGTCTCCCGAACGAAGGACATATGGAAAGCAACCAGGATTCATATGCCGCAAACTTGTCAGAGGATAATTGCAAACGGCAGGTACGAATCGGCCGAATGAAACATGGTCCTGTAGAGGACGTGGACCCTTGTGGTGGGGCACATGCACACGGCCGTCTGTGCTTCGGTGGATCGTCTGAGGTCATGACATTCTTAAATTCGACTTCAAACTCTCAACATCCTAATTACATGTTCCCAGGCTCATCTACGGAGTGACACGACGGCTGAACAGCTGCGAAAAAGTTCTCCTTTCGTTATCCTGACCTGCTTGGCGCCGTCGGTAACGACCGATTTGCTTCCTTTGCCCCTGCTCGCCTTCCGTTGCGCTGACAATGGACTTTCAATCTGGGGATACCGGATGTTGCCAAGCCTGGTAAGCAATATACGTCTGGTACGAGCTTAGGGCCAGCGAGAGGAACCCAAGAAACACCGCGAAGAGCACACCTATCATGGTAGCCATCATCATGTATCGGGCACCGCTGCGTCTCTCAAACTGTCGCTCCAGCCATCCTCTTGGCTTCGGGTTGAGGAGCTCATGATGCAGCTCCGACAGCCGTGTCGACAGATAATAGAACGGCACCGTCTCTTCTCCCTTGTTTTTGATCGATACGAACTCGAAGTTCTGAACATCTGGATCGAAGGCTCCATTCGCGACGTAAGACGCCAGCATCTTGCGAGACTTCTTGTCTGACAGCGGAAATAGGACTCCCTGCAAAGACTCTAATACCTCGAGCATGAGCTGGCGCGGAAGAGCTCCCCTGGAGCGGTCACGTTAGCCGTACCGTACATGACGTGCAAATTCGCTGATCTCACCGTTTCAGGGCATCTTGGATCGTTCTCTTGTCTCCCGGGTCCTTGCTTCGCCTCAGATGCTCCTTGACGAAACCGGTGCAGTGGAAGACATCAAGCGTCATGTTCTTCCGGTCGAGCTTCAAATGATCCCGAATATCGTTTGTGGGACGGATTACTATCCCAAGAACCTTTTTCAGCTTCGTCGCTTTCAGGTCCGATTTGAAGTCGGCATGGCCAAGATGCTCCGGGTAGCTCAGGACCATGTGCGACTGCGGTTCGAAGAACTTCTCGATGAATTTGCTGAGGGGCTCCGTATCTCGCCATTCAGCACGGTAGCCTCCTTTTTCTAAACGGTCGGTCGAATAGTCCAAGGCTAAGCAGCTTGTCATGAAGGCGATTCTTGTGGCGAGCTCAATATCGCCTGGTTGCTTTGCGGACAGCGTCTCTCTCGTGATATCCGGATCGGCTCGCATCCGGCTCAGGAGGATCGCTAGTTCCTTGATTTCGATCCCACCGCTTCCTGTTCCCCAAGTCTCGCGCAACTCTGCTTCACAAAACTGGAAGTATCGGTCCAGACGAGCGTCAGAACACGGGCAGTGGCCTGAGCGGTGCGATTCTCCGACGTCGTAGCTTTGGCGAGACGACGAATCAATCGCGGCACATATTTGCGACTTGATGTCCAACATCATTGGTGTTCTGGGCATTTCCCCCTGCTTGTCAGCCACGTCGAAAAACTTGGGTCACTCGCTCAGAGCCTTGCCTACGCGGAGCTTACGCACGTGATCCGCGATGCAACCCTCATCTATGTTGTCCACGTCCCAAGTGCATATGCAGTATGCAGCTCGTCTCAGCCTGCTTGAACCTGGGGCGCAGCAGTTACTTTACATTTTCGACTGCCGCAACCAACTTTTCCTTTAATTTGGCCGACCCCCTCTCTTGCAATTCAGCTTCCTTTCGCCAGAACCACCTGTGAACTTGCACCGCAACTTGCCCCTGAAAGAATGGCCGAGCCTTCAGTGTGTGCTTCATCGTTGCCTGCACCACGCTCATCTTACCTCGAACAGAAATCGAGTATCGCCCGTGAAAGTATCGTAGCCTCGTCGATCGGTTTTGAAGCTTGCGCCATGGATACACCGAAGTTTGATACCGCGAGCGACTCTGGCTACGGCTCAAACTCCTCGATTGCAAGCGGCCCTTTCAGCAACATGAGCGACCAAGACTCATTGAATCGATTGGAAGAGACTAAAGAACGACCGGTAGTTCTCAATACAGGCAGGTGGCCTGTCAAGAAGAAGTTACTAGTTATCAACAGAAGCATACCCGAAGCTGCTATTAATCACCTCAAGGACTGGAAGATTCTCTACGGCCAAGCTCTGTGGGAGTTTGTCACAGTCTCGGCACCTACTCATTGCAACTCGAAAATGGCAATGAAGTTACGATACCTCGGTGCGTCCGAAACTGAATCCAGCCTATACTTGATATTCTTCTGCGACAAGAAGATTGCAAAGTACGTCAAACGGTTCGTGTCTCGGGCCCACGTGCAGGAGGACATGCGAAACCATTTTGTTCCGCAAGTCATCTCTCAAAGCCCGGAACTTCTGAGGGGAGATAAGGTGTTCTGCTCGGCAGAGTCTTTCTCAGAAGAAACTTGTTGCGGAAGAAGAGTGTACCTTCTCGGGACTCAACACGAACAATCGAGAGTTGGAACTCTGGGCGGCATTGTCATGGCATGGAGCGCAAAGGATATCCAGGCTTACGGGCTGACGAGTGGTCATTTGTTTACCGAAAACGCGCCTCCTCTAAGCAAAGAGTGGTCCCAGAAGCCACTAGATGACAGCGACGATGACGAGTGGGAGGATGATATCGAGCTCGACTTCGATGCGGTCACAATCACCTCAGACACATCCAGTTCCGACCTCGCAGCTGGACAAGGCAACACTTTTGCCGAGAACGATGGTTCTTTCATTCCGGACGAGGTGTTTCTGCTGGGAACTCACCAGCCAGTTGACCCCGTCCTATTCGGCACGCCGCACAAAGCAGGAGATTGGGCGCTGGTCAACATTGATGACCCAATGGCAGTCCGCCCAAACATAGCTCGAGGGAGTGCAGACGACACGTTCCCGCGCATGTTCTTGGAGACCCTCGCGGAACCGCACTGGGGCAGCTCCTTCGACGACTGTGCAGACGTTGCAGTCATCACCTGCCACAAAACTCTGACAGGATCACTCCGCCAGAGCGGAAGCACAATCTCTGTTGGGCCAAGCGCCCCGTTTGCCGACATGTATGATTTGAGCGTGGCTAACGGAGGTAAGTGTCTCGTCATTCTTGAACAAGTAATTCATGTCCTGACGGTCCTACAGCGCTACTTCCTGGCGATTCCGGCGCGTGGGTAGTCGACGCGAAGTCGGGAGATGTTTACGGGCATGTCATCGCCATTGACGCCCTTGGAGAAGCCTACGTCGCGCCCATGACGGATACGCTCGAGGAAATTCGCGGTGCTCTCGGCGCGGACACTGTGAAATTGCCGACGCATCACGACGTGTGGGAGTACAAGTACAAAAAAGGCCGGAATGATATTCAAGACTGGGGCTCAGAAGACTGGCGTCAGAGCCTACACGCCAGTCACCGAGACCCGCGCAACAAGAACCCGAGCAGCGATGATGAAAGCACCAGTTCTGTGGAGCTCGCTACGAGACCCCGCGCAGCAGTCGGTTTGCTGTCCTTGATGACCCGTTCCCAGAGGCGCCAGCCTATGCAGTCATTTCCGCACGACCTCCTCGACAGTCCGTCCCTGATGATGCGCGACCGAAACGCGGATAACATCGCCCAAAGCGCGAACTCGGAGCGCTCCTCCCAGCCTGGGACTCAGCCCGGTAGCGTAGCGTCCTCGGACGCGGGCAGCCGTGTCGGCAGCGTCTTTTCCACCGGGAATACGACCATATGCAGCAGCTGCCTCAGCTCTTGGGGCGGCAGCCCCTTCCCTTCGAGGCGGAGCCTGTTGGCTCATCAATCGGGCAACCGCATGGGCGTGGCCTTGCCGTCCCAGAAGGCCCAGGGTAGCGGTGTCGTCATTGTTAAAGAGGGCAGTACCCGGCGAGAGCGTTGGCCGCCCACGAGTCATCCCGTGACCAACCGAGATGAGATGACGGCCGGGACGGCCGAGAACGCTGCGGCCTTCGGGACCGGAAACCCCGATATTTGGCACCCTGAGGGTGGCGCCAACAGCAACCCGGCTACACGTACGAACGCCCAGGATGTAGAATCTCGACCGGAGCAGAGTGACGATTCGCCGGAAAACCTGAGAGATGCCCACTCGAACTTTTGTGCATGGTGATGGAGTTGGCGCAGCAGTGGGGGTTGCTTGTTTTATGGAGGTATTGCCCTTGGAAAGGTTCTGAGACTGGTGATGTACTTGAACATGCGGCTCCGAGATCACGCGTTGCGTGATGTAGTAGAGGCATGCTCAAGTTTGGACTGCGCCTCCCGTCGGAGTCAGCCTGCTCGAGACATAAACGGTGATGAAACCCATTTCTGCCGCTCAGTTATCACCAGCGAAAAACGCAAATAGACGCAGGTGTACCGAAATTTGCATCTTGAATTTCCACCTTGAACTGAGGCCGTATCCGGCCGGGTATCATATCCACCCCCTAACCACGCTTCGTGCCCCCAAGCGGCGCACGCTTAGTGCTCGCCTGACTCAACAACTCCACGTTCCGCGGCAGATCAAAGTCCCCCCTAGCCTCAAACCAAAACAACATCTCCGGCTCCGGCCCCGTCCGCTTCGGCGCCTGCTGCTGTTGCGGCTGCTGCGGCTGGCCTTCCATAACAACATCCTCATCCCCGTCCCCCTCGTCGTCTTCGCTCTCCTCGTCGTCCTCCAGCCCCCTCCTCAGCCCCGTCCTCACGTTCTCGACGCCCCTCTCGCGCTCCTCGTCCGTGTACACGTCCCCGGCCTCCTCGAGGACGTACTTCTGCACCCGCTCCACGGTCCACGCGCGCACCTCGCGCCAGACCTCCTCGAGCTTGGCCTCGCCGTTGGTCGCGTCCCCGCCGTCGCCGCCACCGGTGCCGGTGCCGGTGCCGCCGCGGAGCTCCCGCGTCGTCTCGCGTCCGCGCTCGACCCACTCCTCGACGCCGGGCTCGAGCTTCTTGCGCAGGAGCTGCAGGAGGATGTTCTCGTGGACGCGGCCCGGGTACGCGACGTCCGGGAAGACGTGGAGGTGCTGGAAGACGTGTGTGTTTTCGGTGAGGGTGTCGAGGAGGGTCTGGAGGTTGCGGAGGAGGATCTGGGACTGGGCCTGCAGGGAGGATCTACCAAGTTTCCAAGAGTCAGCCTGTGTGTTGTTTATCCCGGAAGGCGCAGTGGTGTGCTGTAGGCTTCTGGCGGGAGGACAGAAGGGGAGAGAGAGACGTACGGAGGTGGTAGCGGGTTGCTCTTGAGCACGTCCACCTTCAGACCCTGAATGCTGTTTGACAGCTGGAACAGGCGCTGGCGGGTCTGCTCGATGGCCTTGAACTCCTCGGCGGAGATGCCGAGGGCGTTGGGCTTCTCCATGGCTGCTTGGTGTCGCCGTCGAAGACTCGGTGGAGGGGTGGTTGTCTGAACCGGTTTCGGTCGCGGATGCCGCTCAGGGTCTTTTCTCTGACGGCCGTATCTTCCGTTGTTATGTCCGATGTCGATTGATGCGATTTGAGGCGCGTCGCGCGGGAGTGCGTTGTTTGCGACAGCTCGAAGCCGCGACGGATCGTCCAGAGGTGAAGTTACGAAGATGAGTTGCGGTTCCAAGAAGCTCAAAAAACGGCCGGGGGAAAGAGTGGGCCCGCTAGGTCTGTTCGGGGCAGGGGCGATGGGACCTCCCTGATGCATGTACAGGGCACCCTGGTCGACATCACAGCTGGGTGTCACCAGGATGTCACCACCTTCAGATTCTCGTTGACGAAGCTCTGGCCAGTAAGATCCGGCGTCTTGACTTCCGTTGACAGTAGACTTCTTCCATTGAGATTGGACGATCAGATGAAGTTGGCGAGACATGCTATTTCCCCGCAATCACAACATTGGGCATCTCGAAGCGAAACCAGCCTCGGCTTCACCTAAACTCAATGTCGGGTATTGTTTTGCAGTGGGCACTTGTCACTGATGTTGAAGCCGTTTCGTGCGTAAGTGTTGCTAGATTCAATTTGCTACGGGACCTTTTCCATTGCCCTGCAGAAAAGTATGGTATACAGAAGAGCACGATCCATCTGGTATCTTCGCTCCAAAACCACGGCCCGCAATGCGGAAATCAGTGAATGAGAAGATGTCGATGCTCAAACAGCTGCTGTCGAACGTCCAAAACGCCATCCCTGAAATGTATCTTATATGGTCATCATCATTAAAGTCATTGAAAAGCCAGCTACTGGCCGTGAGATCCTGCTTGGTCGACTAGAACACGCTTCCCGATGACAGCTGTGTCGATTTCCCGGCCATACTTATCAACGGCCGGGAAACGAGCGCGGCGTTCAAGTTCGTCGAGAGGGATTTGGGAGCGGATGTACCTATGAGATAATTAGCCTCGGCATGATGATTGGGTTTCATGATGACTTACTTCATTCTGCCGTCGTCTTCGGGGTTGAAGTCCCAGCTGGTGAAGGCGCCCTTGGTGAGAGATCCCCACACCAGTTTGCGCCTACGCTGAGACGTCAAGACCTCCTGCGTGATAGCGTCAAAGTCCCACTTGCGCTTGCTCTCGGCCGTGTACTCCTCCAACTTGGCCTTGGCCTCTGCTTCAATGGCCTTCGCGGCCTTGCTAGAAGCCAAGTTGACAAGCTCCAGTGGATCATGCTCGAGATTGAAAAGCTGGGTGCCATCCGCTGGGCAGTGGATGAACTTCCAAGGCCCCTCCCGAATCATCATGAGCGGGCTAACAGTGCCCTCACCCGTGTACTCGGCGTAAACCTTATCGTGACCCTCCTTGCCCTCGAGATGGGGAAGCAACGACACGCCATCCATGGGTAGGAATGATGCTGGCTTCGTGCCGACCAAGTCGCACAAGGTTGGAAGAATGTCCAGAGTACTGACGTTCTGAGTAACGCGGTGAGGCTCGAACTGCTTGGGGTAGTGGACGAAGAGAGGCACTCGAACGGACGACTCAAAGTAGCTCATCTTGTACCACAGACCGCGCTCACCGAGCATGTCTCCATGGTCACCGCTGAAGATGACAATGGTGTTGTCCGCAAGACCGCTCTTCTTCAGTACGGAAAGAAGCCTGCCAACGCAGTCATCCACATAACTGACGGCACCATAATAAGCGCGACGAGCTCTCTTGATCTGCTCATCCGTGAAGTCGTAGTCCCAGAGATCGCAGACCTTCATGAGACGCTTGCTATGAGGGTCCTGCTCCTCCTTGGGAATGCGCACCTTGGGCAGGGTGATGTCGACGTCCTCGTACATGTCCCAGTACTTGTCCTCGATGGTGTAAGGGTCGTGAGGGTGAGTAAGAGAGACAGTCAGGGCGAAGGGGCGTTTCTCAGGGCCTTCGCGGATGTGGTCGTAGAGGAATTGGGTGGACTTGTACATGACCTCCTCGTCGTAGTCCAACTGGTTGCTTCGCACGCAGGGGCCAGCCTGAAGAATTGAGCTGGAGTTGTGGTACCATTCAAGTCTGGTGTCTGGCTCGTCCCAGTTGACGGCCCAGCCAAAGTCGCCAGGGTAGATGTCGCTGGTCAGGCGAGTCTCATAGCCATGCAATTGATCTCCAATGAAATGCATTTTGCCGGCCAGTGCTGTCTGGTAGCCCTTCAGACGCAAGTAATGAGCGTATGTGGGAATGTCACTCGAAATTTGGGCGGCGTTGTCGTATGCGCCGATCTTCATGGGCAGAAGACCCGTGATAAGACTCATACGGGAGGGCGCGCAGAGTGGTGAAGGGCAGTAGGCTGAGTCAAACTGTACAGACTGGGCCGCAAGGCCGTCCAGGTTCGGGGTCTTGATCTGAGACTCCGGGTTGTACATCTTGAGCTGAGGCGCGGCCAGTTGGTCGGCCATGATGAAAAGAATGTTGGGCTGCTGAGCAGGGGCCGGAGCCGGCGCCGCAGCATGACCGTTGCCATTGGTAGGCCTGCCGCTTGGCTGTGCCAGAGGCGAGGAGGGGAGAGAGTTGAGGTCGGGAGCCATTGTGCTCACAGACGCCCAGGCTGAAATAGAGGAGAAGAGGCCGTTCTTGAGTTGAAACTGCCTTCAAATAGCGTTGGTGATGTGTCCCACTGGAAGAAGTAGGCAGACGGGTTGGTGGGCAAGAAGGCGGTCAAAGTGGTAACAAACAAAGACTTTGATGGATGGTCGATGATGATGAAAATGATTTGTAAGTGTCCTAGGGGCAGGGGCAAAGGCAAGGCGGAAAGGTAAAGTATAACAAGCCGAACCTTTGAGATGATGAGACAGAAAAGGGAAGAGTCAGTTCATGGCTTATGGTGGGAAAGAGCAGTCATTTAAAAAATCAGCGTCGCTTGGCTCAAGGGAAGGGCGAGCCACGCCTTCCCTTTCCCTCGAGATTCATCCCCGGGGCCCTGGGCTGGAGCCCGATAGGAAAGAGCAGCGGGACTGGGACTGACTGGGCAAGGAAGGCGGGAGCGTGGACGTGAGGTGGACTGGAGAAAGAGCGCCAAACGGGGCCTACGCTTAGTATGCACACACAGTACAGAGTATCTATGCATCTATGCGGATAGCGAATTGTTGAGGTGTGCTACAGATAAGGATACCCCGGAAAGTGCTGATTCCTCTCCCCACCGTAGCATCGCTTGAACTGGCCCGCCCAGCTTGGTGGAGCTTACTCGACTCATGCAATGTCACGGGGGTGCAGCTGACCTTGAGTTCAACCCATGCCCTCCTGCGTCCCTCTTCAGAAAAAAAAGATGAGCACCTGGAGCAACCGGAGCCCAACACCGCTTGCCGGATTTCGAGCCCTTCCACGGTGTACAACTTACCTTACTTCAGGAAAAGGCAGGAAAAGGCAAGCGCGCACACCACACAACGCACACACACAGACACGGCCAAACGACATGGTGTTCCCTGTCTGCTTCTTCGACCTTCTTCTTGCTTCGTAATGTTCCTTCAAGCCACTACACGAACATACGCTAGTCCGCTGCTCGGTCACCAACCAAGACAAGTCGTCGCATGTGTCAAAGATGGCGCGTTTTGATCAACCTATTGCGAATTTTACCAAGCGGAGCATCCAACAACCAGTCACGCTGTCTTCAACGCTCGCAATCACGTCCCGACGTCTATTTGGCCATACTCGCATTACAAAGAAGCAACTTCTTCCTCGTCCGACTCCAGTTTATCGTCAGGTAACCATCAACCTCCTTCGACATACGGCTAGTCGACTTGTTCTTGTTTTTTTCGCCTTCGTCAACATCTCCGCAGGGGATTGGCGATAGATGGCGGTGTGAACAAATTCCACCACAAACGGAAAATCGCCAGAGAAAATTGAGAACCAGAAAACGGTCCGCTAGACCTTCTAGAACAACAAGCATGGGCAGTCCTGTCTCGTGCTTCTTCCCGTCATCAGGCACATCTGGATTGGCACCCCGGACACTGACACCGACCCGGCCGACGTTATGCTTCAAGCGGGAATACGGATACCTGCTGATGGATTACCGCAGTACAAGCACTTGAAAGCTGCATCTTCCCTGCTACTGGGACCCCTGGATCTCGACCACTAAACCGCAATCGCACACCTGCATCTAGGCATTTACCCAAAGACCAGCGTCAACCTGCATAAGCGTCTCTCAAATCCATGTCAGGGTCTACTCCGATTAGCTGCGCCGACTGGACAGATATGCTTGACTTCGAGGGTGCAACAAGAATTTTCCTCTCGACGACGATCCAGACTCGGTGAGGGGATTGAGGGGTGGTTGCTGGTGTTCGCGAGCTACCTCACTGCTACGTGCACGCGATCAAAATTACGGAGGACTCCGTTTGTACCTCAACCACATCTCCACAGATAACACCGCAACACAGGGCACGCGAACAAGCCGGCTTGATGGGTCTCGACACGAGATATCAATGCCATCCACTTAGCATCGACATGATTGTCAAGGGTGCCTCCATCTCGGATCCTCGGGGACTGGGTCGCCCCCAATAATCCCCATTTACGCATGTAGGGCACAACACCAACACCGTGGTTGCGAATTGCAGCGAACGGGGCTCTCTCCAGATTCCAGGTGGACAACGTCGGGCCATCGGGTCAGCAATCGCACCCTCATTTCCAAGACCGTCAAGCCGTCTCCGGATCCCACCTGCGCCCCTGGCATTTCTCGCGGAGACATTTTCGGGTCACAACACCGCACATCGCACATCTGGCAATCAATCTGTCCAAATCTCAGATTTCCACCACGGAGAGTCTTGGGAAATGTCGTGATGGCGTCCACCTCCGGGTTTGAGCCGCCTCAGACCCCGCAGCTGCGGGGTTCCCTCCACGGCTGCCCGGTCACGCCATCGGACTCTTTTCTCTCGCCTTTGGGACCTTTTCAACGCCGCAATGGCTTATTCAGGATGTGAATCATCCATCCATCATGAACGCCTTTCTTCCATAACTACGCCTCTCAACGCTAGCGCAACGCACGCGCCAACATGCCATACCAGTCGCCGCACTGTACACCCTACGCCGTATTCGATATCTGATTACGCTTTACCGCCGGCGTATGTGGCCCCGGCGTCCGTCCCGTCAGCCAGGCCGCAATCACATCATCGCGCTCCAGTATTGCTTCATCAACTAAAACAGCGGAATTCGAGTCAAATCGCATTCTGTTCGTTTCATCGCAAATAATCGCCCATTACGCTGCAGGAACGCAGCCACCGCCCACCGAAGTTCCATCATCCCGAGCTTCGATCAAGGGGTACAGAGAAAGAGGAGTCATAAATGTCCGTCGATCCGTCACGGCCTGATTCCTGCGCTTCCGTCTTCCACCCTGTCCGGCTCGCCCCTTCTCATCAGGCGTGCCATTGTCCATCTTCGTTTTCGGCTGAGCAGCGCCAGCGCCCCCTTTACACCACCGCCTGCCTGCATTGCACTGGATGATCATCTGACGGTCATCATTCCCATCCGTTAAGTGCATACATGGCGTTTGAGATCCTCGTCATTGGGAGGGAGGCGGCCGCATTAGCTAATGAAGGTGTAGCAGTGATGAGCTGCTGCTTGTCTTGTCCGCTGCCTTTAACAGAGAGGCAGTCATTTGCCGCGCCCCGAACATCCCGCAACACGCATACCACGCCAAGATCATACCCGCCGCCCTCCAGAGCCCGACCTTGGCCGCTGCAACCTGCAACCTGCAACCCCCTCACCACCCACTCATCGAGTCCCAATTCGAGACAGGCCAGGGGTCCAACTACACTACCACACTACCGAACCCAACCTTCCCTCGTCGAGAAGGCTGAAAGATTATGCAAGAATCCAGCACATTAATCTACAGCGAAACAACTAACACCGTCCCCCAGACCATGCATCAGGCCCCCTCCTCTGGAAATAACTCGAACAAAACAAACCAAGACCAGCTGCTCCGTCTGAAAATCGACCCGTGAATCGGCCGTCGTCGCTTGCGATCGATGATCGGCCCAGAACATCACGCCCCCCTTCCGCCATCATATCGCCGTCGTCTCTGGTCCCCTTGTCATCCCTCACCCATCTATCCCAACATCGAATGCCCTCACCTGAGCTTTCGCGAGAGCCTCAATCCCAGAAACTCACCAATAACAGCCCCCAATCCCCTTCCCCGGATTCCCTTTCATCTCATGCCCCCCTGGCGGCGTGCCCGGGTCTCGAAATACCCTCACATGACCACTTTCCTCGCGTTTCGCCGTCGAACCAGTGCTTGGCAGCTAAAAATCTCCCACTTGCCATGCAGACAGACCACGCGCCCGCCCTTCCCACACACCCTCCACCTCCCCAATCCCCCCAACGTCCACAAACCTACGAGGCTGGCCCCGTTGCAGCCTGCGCCTGCCGCCTTCGTCACACTCTTGATCACGAACCACTCATTTTCAAACACATTGTGCACGTTTTCTTCAAGCTCCCACCTTCGGCACGGCCAGCGTCGGGAGCCCGGTAGTCGGGGGCGTCGGGAGCCGTGATGTGATGTGAAGACGGGAAAGTAGGAAGTCGGTCGTCGGTCGTCGCCCGCGGCGCCAGAGAGCGAAGTGCATGAGCTATCTGCTATCGCGAGCCGTATCGCAGCCACTCATCTTGCAACACATTGTTCACGTTTACGCATCGGCCACACACATATCACATGCACAGGGATATTCAACAATGCGGGTTAACATTCAAAAAGGTATCAACTAGTGGCGGGGTGGTGTGTGTGACATATGCATCTCCAACCCCAAAGCCCCCCAAAATCCTCTCCCGTCCATCCGTCCCCTCTTTCATCGCGCCTCCAAACCATCTTTGGGATGGTGTGGGCTGCTGCCGCTGCAGCAGCAACCTGAGAAGCGTGAGAAGGCTGCCATGCACCCCAGCGGATCGTTTGCCCGCGGGCGCGTCCAGTCTTGTTCCATCATATATACTCCTACAAGCAATGTCTACCAGTTGATTGAATTTTTGGTTCCCCCTGCAATGCAGTCTTGAATGAATCAGACGAGTTAAAAAGGAAAAGTAAAGATAAAAATAACCGCCCTCGCCTTGCTTTGTCAGTCAACCCAATATGCGACCCAAGTAAGAACATCCGTCGTCGTCTCGATGCATTCCTCTCTTTCCCAAGAGAGAAGAAGGGTAAGAGTAAAAAGATCCCCACGCCTGCCTACTCATACCCAATTCGTCCCATCAAGCCATGTCTCGTTTGCTGTTATGTGTTTTGTGTCGTTGTATGTATGTAGCTACTACAGTGGCAAGCAGCTGTCTCGTGTGCCGTCCACGCATCCGATCATTGCGTGCGGTAGAACTTCTTGTACAGAAGATGCAGCAGCAGGTTGACGTTCAGCTTGAGGTTGCCCTCGAAGAGGTTCATGAACTGATGGGCCTCGAACTGAGCCTGCAGCAGGCCCTCGATGGGCACGGTGGCGCTCGCTCCGGGCATCTGGATGTGGCCGCGGGAGCCCTCGAGGTTGAAGACGCCGACCTCGTCGCAGGAGATGGTGAGGTTGACCCTCTCCCAGTCGATGACGCCACTCCAACCGACGAGCACGCCTTTCTCCGCCAGAGCCCGAGCGCTATATTTGTAACTGCCAAACTTGGGGACCCGCCCGCTGCGTTCCAGTTCGCGCTGGTGGTTGTACTGTTTGGTGAACGGAAGCAGGAACCGTTTCTTTCTGTTCATGACGAAATTCAGTCAGCCGATGGCGACACACTTGGACCGTGCTTGTAATGTGGGGATGGGGGATGGGGGATCCGGGGTCGGACAGGGGGAAAACGAGGAGTGGAAGGAACTAAAAATGACTTACCCTTTGTTCTTTTGAAGCGTTGTCATGGCAGACTCGATGTAGTCGTCGTAACTCTTGCGTTGCTGCTCGAGGTACTTGGCCTTCTCGTGGAGGTTGGCAAGAGTCAACCGGACACCTTCGACTTCGCGCTGGCGTTGCACGCGTCTTCGGCTCTTGGTTCTGATGTCGAGGGCGATGGCGTTGAGAATATCCTGGTAGTAGTTGTGCTTGGAGATTCTGCCCATGTGCTCCAGTCTCATGATGTTCTCGAGAGCTGTCCGCTTGAGGTCGTAGTAGGACATGCGTGACACGTCTACCATGTGGGCATCCGAGTACGCGCCCCTCGTCTTGTCGTCGTTCACATAATCATCGTGCAGGACAGACCGCCACTTGTGCTCATCCTCGTCCGAGATCGGCTTCACGAGGATTTCGAGGAGGTTGGCGCCGGTCTGTACACGAATAATGTACAGGATGCATCGCTTCGTCTCCATGAAGAGTGCCTTAACCTCTGCGTCTGGATCTTCGATGTCGTGCAGCTTCGGCGTAAGGTACATCTGGATGTCGGAGGAACCCGCCGCAAGCATCTCGTTCTCGTTGTTCTTGGCACTACCGAGATCCTGCAGAATTTCCCGAACGATGTCGTCTCGGTTGGGGCATATTGATGGCAGTTCTGCTGCGACGAGGTTGTGAATGGCGAAGATGTCGGTCATCTTGATGTAGAGGGTTGGTTTGTGCTTGGAGTACAAGTCGTTGAACTCGTCAATGTCGAAGTTTTGCTCGGCATCGGGTACAGAAATGAGGTCGTGGGTGATCTGGGCGAGGCGCTCGCAGGACTCAGCAACAAAAGCATTGAGAGGTTGCAGGTAGATGTTCTCGCCGCCGAACGGTCTGCTAGAGGCGATCTGACCGAGAACCTTGGCAACTTCGCCCAGGTTGCGCTTCTGCAGCGGGCTCAACTGCTTCTCGATGACACCAACGTTCTCTGGGGAAGTAACAGCAGGTTGAAGATAGAATCGCCAGATCCAGTTGGTGACGACCTGAAGATGGTGGTGCTGCGGGTCTTTCTTGAAGTGCTGGCAGAGGGTCTCGAACATTTGCCGGCAAAGGAAGCGGAGGCCGTACGGCATCTTGGGGAGGAGATCCTCCAGGGCCAAAAGGTACTGGTCGCAAATCTCCCGCAAGTCGCGCAGGTGGTCGATGAAGAGGTCTCTGGTTTCGGGGTCCTTGATGGCAATCTCGCGCGGGACGTCCAGAGGACGCCTACTCGGTCGTCCAGTTCGCAGTTCTTCGTTGTTGATGGCTGCTCTGTAAATCTGGAGAGGGTCACTCTCGAGATCCAGAGCAGGGTCCTCCACGATGTTGTCTCGGACGATGGGGCCGAGGAGTTCCCGAAGGTATTTGCGATCGCGTGGAGAGCGGGTGTAGTTGGAGAGAACCTTGGTCCAGAAGTAATTGCCGCGGAGATAATCTTGCAACGTCCTGGCACATTCGATCTCCTCTCGCATGGCTCTGGAGAGGAGCTTCAGAAGATAGTACTCCTCACGTCGCTTCTGGGCGTAACCGAAAAGACCCATGACGAGATGCTCGATTCTCTTGCTCTCCTTTTCGGGAGTTCCTTGCTCGCGAATGCGCTTGAACAGACGAGCAAGATATTGGGGCTGAGTCTGGAGGTTGAAGAAAAGTTGCTGGTAGGATTCCAACTTCTTTCTTGAACTCTTGTTCAGAGCCTTCAAATCAAAGTGGTTGGTTGAGGACATGGTAGAGTTCGCCAGGAGACCGATGGAGCTGCCGCCGTAGTTGCTCTGGTGCCTCACAACTTCGTCCAAAGTGATCTTGTTCTTGACGAGCAGTGCAATCTTGATGTCGAGCTGGTCGATGTACTGCTCCAACATCTCGTTCTGGCGAACCTGCTGGACCACCGTCTTGCGCATCCGCTCAAACTCAATTTCCTCGTTGAAGTCGAAGTCACTGTCGTTAAGGAGATGCACGAAATTCTTGACCGCGTTGACCGGTGGGTCCTTTCCGTGCGTAAGACTCTTGTATGCGTCGCCCTGGATCTTGGCTCTGACAAGGCTTTGGATCTTAACGACTTTCTCCATGTTCTCCTTGAAGAAGCGCTTCTTCTCTTGGAACTTGGCGCGGACAGTGAAAGCCTTGGCGACTGCTTGCATTTCAGTGATGGCAACCTCTTCCGCCTCGATGTCTGAGATGAGGTTGAAAACATCACCCCTCACCATCATGGCTCTTGCGAGGCCTTGCAGCTTCTCGATCTCGGCGGTGTGAGACTCCAACTCCTCAAGCAGAGCGGTGTGGTTTTGGCGATGAAGGTAGCCTCTTATGCGAGCCTGCAGTTTTGTGATCTTGGGCTCGACCCGGATGAGAGCGTCTTGGTCGGCAGCAATGCGACGTCGCTCAAGCGTGCCGCGGGAGATGGACTGCAGATCAATGATGGCTGGCTCGTGGCTGTTCAAATGTTCAAGCAGTTGAGTCACATCGCGGCGGACGGCAGCAGCACGAACGTGCGCCTGAAGGCTCTCGACCGCGGAGGCGTGTTCACCGAGCTCGGCCTTGGTGGCAGTGACCTCAGAGCGAACTGACTTGCCCCGGAATGCAGCCTGGAGGGCCGTCCACTGGGGGGCAAAGCTCTGGAGATGTTCTTGCTCCAGAGCAATCTGATTTCTAGTCTGCAAGGCTCTGGCGGCAGCCTGCAGGGTCGTAATGCTGTCGGCTTGTCTGTCCAGAAGATGGAGATCATGGGAAACGCGTCCTCTCAACTGCATTCCTCGTACCGCAGCTTGCAAGCTCGTCGTGTTGTCGGTTTGTTTGTCCAGGTGATGCAGATCGTTAGAAACACGTCCTCTCAACAGCATTCCTCGCACCGCAGCCTGCAGATTACTGACTTCTCCAGACTTCTGGACAGTTTCCTGTTGTTGAGCAACAAGCTCTTTCCGGGCCAAGAAGCCCCTAAACGCTGCTTGGATTTCACGGACGGGGCCGGCATGCTGGACCAACTGAGATGTCTGGTCTCGTACCTCATCACGGACCTTCTTGGCCCGAATAAGACTTTGAAGCTCCAAGACAGTGGGCTCCAGGGATTTCCAGAAGCGCTCCTTGTTGGCTAGTCTGTTGCGGGCGAGAAATCCGCGACAGAGGCTTTGCAGATCGACAGCAAAACGTCTCATTTGGAGCCGGTAGCCGACGATTTGGCGTGTCCAATCAGCTCTGATGCGAGATTGAAGCTCGACGAGGGAACTCTCAGCGTCCCAAAGCTGATGCATGGTGTCTCCCAGGCGCATCCTCACTACCGCACCCCGAACTTGAGCTTGTAGTTCGACGATGGACTCCTCGTTCTCAGCCAACTCGCGATCAGTCCTCTCTTCTTCGGTTTCCTCGGGCTCCGGGGTTGCAGGCTCAACACCAAAATCAGCTCCCATATTACCGAAACTGGGCATGTTAACCCCGAGTTTATCAAGGCCTTTCTGCATCGCCTCGAGCTCGTGGTGCTCGAACTCGAGTTGACCGACCAAGTTACCGATGCGAAAGTCAACTATTCCTTTTCTGAACAGGAGCCAACTCAAAGCGTGGATGCAGTAGATGACTTTAGGTATGTTCTTCTTCTCGTATAGGTCGATCAGCTCGAATCTGAAAAGGTCGGGAAGCTCGACTTCGTCCAAGTACCGGAAGAAGATGGCGATGTTGTCGGAGTGCCGGAACTGCAGCTTTTGGTGTCTGAAAATGCGGAGGCGACGTTCAGGGTTGAGAGCCTCAACGACCTCCGCCAAGGTAACACCATCTCGTAGGGCCTCCTCCAGTTCGACAATGGGAGGGATGGCTCGGTGGATGACATCTTCGATCCACTCCTTGGCCTCACCAATGTGACAAAGATATTCGTAAGCCTGGAGAAACTGGCGCTGCTTGTCCATCCAATTTCTGCCTTCCCAGCCATAGCCACCAGCGCGTTGTTGGTTGCTGTTCTGTAATCTGCGACGACCTCGGAGTCCGACCACTTCTTGCGCCGGTGAGGTGATGGCAAATCCTTCGGCAGACTCGGACTGGGCAAGCCTCGATAATGTTCGTAGCTGGCTGGTTGATGATCGGCCGAGCTTCTCGAGGTCTGGACGGGCTAACGCTGTCGAATGAACAGGAGCAGGTGGTTCATGAGCGTGAGGGAGAGCGGCTCCTGCCCTGACCGTGTCGGAACGGCTGACTAGCATCGAATTGGGCCGGATAGTGAGAGTTCGGGATAGCGGAGTCGGAGATGTGCTGCCGTCATACTGGGCGTGCGACAACTTTCCAATATCCACGCTTTTTGTGCGATCGTGGCGAGTGAGGTGGCGGGGAGGAGAAGGTGTCGACGGCGTGGGTGATGCGGGTGAGGCCGATGTTGGGGCGGGAGCTTGAGCGAGTGGTCGGAGGGACTGTCGAGCCATAGAATAAAGGTTGTCCTGGTCTTTCTTGTGGTCGAGGTTCTCTCCGCCGAAAGAAACGTGATGCAAGCGGGAACCATCACTCTTGCCTCTCTTATGAGTGTAGCCGCTGGAAACCGAAGATGTTTGGGTGCTCGCTCGGCTGTTATCGGAGTATAGAGAGTACCCCGACGAAGCTATGGAAGAAGCGGTAGAAGATTGCCGGTTGACGTTGCTAGGGTAGTCCAAGGTATGCGACTGTCTGAGAGGGTGCGGCCGGTGCGACATGTTGGGCGATGATTAGGATACCGGAGGAAGCCTGCGCTGAAGAATGTATGTGCTCAGGAATTCGGATGACAACATTAGGGCGCCTTTTTCGGACGTCGTGTGGTATAATATGAGGTGAATTATGTTCGACCTGAGGTCTCGTACGTCCGGGTCGAAGCGGACTCTTTCGTTTTCGGTTCTGCGGTGCTCGATCAAAGACCAAACAGGACGAGCAAAGTCGGGAATTCGAAGCGGCCGGCGGCAGCGCGGCAAAGCGCGAGGAAGAATGGAGATCAGACCCTCAAGACATGAGCGCGCACTGCGCAAACAAAAGAGAAGAAGTTGACGACGGACGAGGGCGAGGTCAAGGACGATGAGTCGGAATTTGAGAAATGGATTAATGATGGCAACCCACCAGCCACTGCGATTCACAGTCCTCGTCGCAATCTCGTCAACGACCAGGTGTGGGTGGGATGTTGGGTCGTTTGGTGGTCAGGTAATGGACGATGGAGGGGAGGAGGGGAGGGAATCGGGACCTGATAAGGCAGTTTGTTTGTTTACTGCTGCAAGAGGTAAGCGAGCTGCGGCAACCAGCCCCTTGCAAACAGGGGTGTCCAGTGAGAAAGTCACCCAGAAATTCCGGTGGCTAGTGGCTCGTGTGGCCCCTGCGTCACATCCGGCCGGCTTTTTTAAAGTGGGCCATCATCCAGCAATCTTTCCGTTGCACGGTCCTTGGGATCCGCCTCCGCCCTCTGTCAATTGGCCTGTCGTCTGGACTTTTCTGGGTCTTGGACTGGCGCTTCTGCGGAGGGCCGGAGGACAGGCAGTCAAGAGTCGAGACTGGATGCCCAACAAGCCAGGGCGATCTATCACAACGTGGTTCAGGCACGTCCCTTGAAAATCATGGTTGAAAGCGAAGGCAGTGATTCGACAGATGTCAATGTCTGCTCCATTCTGGCCTGTGACACGTCGACCAATCTAACCTGATTGCCGTCGTCCAAGAAACGTCATTTTGGCCTGGTACGGATACAGGGAATCCGAACAATTCTGTCCGTTACCCAGGTAAACACAGAGTACGGGCATTGGGAACTGGGATAAGTCATGGTCAATTGATCAAGTTCAAGTTGTACGCCTTGCGTCCTCGATGTCGAGTCCAAGATAAGATGCAATCCAACTTGCGAAAAGGAACGAGTTGAAACGACTCAATGTTATTCGTCAATCAATATGACCCATGCGTGTAGCCTCTTGGATGGGATCAGCCATTTTGTGGCAGGGTTTTCTCTCAAGGGCGCGAAAGGATGCAAACCAAGACGAGCGATTGCTTTCGTGTTTTCTTTTCTGTCTTTGTTCCTTTTTTTCAGTACACCTAGTCTAGCCAATCAGAACCTTTGGAGGCTACTTCGTCGGCTTTGACCGCGAAAATTGCGGCAAGCTGCGCTCGAAGTGCTAAATTTGAGCAACCGGCGACATTGACCACAGACATTGTGGCTGAACCCGCAGATGACATGGGGCACGATGTGGCTAACGATGCTTCAGAAACGCCCCGAAGTCTGCTGCACTAGATCAGTCCATCGCCAGTTTCAATTAGACGCGCAAGAAGAAATTATAGAATCTCGCGGGAACGCCTTCAGAACGGCACAACCGTCCAAACTCGCCCATCTTTATGTAGGTTGGGGTATTTTTGTCAACAACGATACCAGACTCTACGAATACACGACATATCCTCAACCTTTGTTGCAGGCATGTTTGCTGCGTCTCGTATCAGGCTCAGCCCAGTTGCTGCACTGAACCTGAACAAGGATTGTCCTGCACCTGTTGCTGTGGTCAACCCGAGAGTCCAAGGTCGGCTCCCGAGTCTCCAACAACAGCATCTTTGTCATGGCTTATTTTCAACCCGTAAAGATCTTGCGGTTGCCGTGGAACATGTCACTGCGGAGGCAAAGAATAAGGTGTTCTCACAACCGTTTCCACCCACGATTACAATGGAAAGCCTTTGAAGGCCGTTTCCCACAACGTCCTGTTGGACTTGCGTCATAGGGCCCAGCGACTGCCGAGCTTAGGTAAGCCAGCGCTACCGTTTGCCCAAGAGCCGTTGCTAAGACTTGTGTGATGCAACCCAAGAATTAGTTTCGCCAGTAGACTGCGGATGCCTTTCTGAGAATTTTGCTACAGTCAACTCGAACAAGTACACGATTTTCTCTCTAAAGGTACCTTAGGTAGTAGAGTCGGTCAAACCCAAGGACAAAGCCCAATGGACCCGGTCAGGTCTCGGTCAGGCCATTCTTGGCACAGTAGAGCCCCTGTCGCACATGGTCGCGCCGCACTGTGACCCTTCACCGCCTGCCCCTCCTGCCCCTCCATGCGCCGGTCGCGCACGCGCAGGGTCCCAATTCCATTAAAAAATTCTCTGCGGGGTGTCGTCTCGAAACTTTTTCCTCCTTCTTTCTTACGGGAAGAAGAGACCTATCCAACCTTAGTCTTCGAAATCGAGCCAAACTCTTGTTCTCTTTCGAAAGACTAGCAGTTCTTCAACTCCGTACTTTCCTTTCTCCTAACCACTTATACCCTTCTTTTTTACTTTCCTCGGAAGAAGCTGAAAAAATGCCTTCCACCAACGGTATCAACGGCGCCACGGTGCTGGACTCCAAGTCCGCCCTTCAGGTCCTGAAGGAGTACGAGAGCCGTGACGGCCTCGACATCAACGAGCTCATGGACACCAAGAAGCACGGTGGCCTGACCTACAATGATTTCCTGCTCCTGCCCGGCTACATTGGCTTCCCCGCCTCCGCCGTCGCCTTGGACTCTCCCGTCACCAAGCGGGTCACCCTCAAGACCCCCTTCGTCTCCTCCCCCATGGACACCGTCACTGAGCACGAGATGGCCATTCACATGGCTCTCCAGGGTGGTCTGGGAATCATCCACCACAACTGCTCTCCTCAGGGCCAGGCCGACATGGTTCGCAAGGTCAAGCGCTACGAGAACGGCTTCATCCTCGACCCCGTTGTCATCAGCCGCGACACCACCGTCGGCGAGGCCAAGGCCCTCAAGGAGAAGTGGGGTTTCGGTGGTTTCCCCGTCACTGGTCAGTATTTCCCTCCAAACTTTCCTTCCCTGGCTTTCCATGATTACACAACCAATTCATTATAACTTTCGTTCCACCAAAAGGTGACCATGTCGCCATGCGGAGACACTTTACTCTGATCTTAGCCAATTTTCACAAAATTTTCTGCACTTCCGTGTTCGAATAATGGCTGACAAATTCTTACAGAGACCGGCAAGCTCGGTTCCAAGCTTCTCGGTATCGTCACCAACCGTGACATCCAGTTCGAGGACGACTCTACGCAGTCCATTGCCAACGTCATGGTCACTGACCTGATCACCGCTCCTGCCGGCATCGACCTCGTCGAGGCCAACAAGATCCTCGCCAAGTCCAAGAAGGGCAAGCTCCCCATTGTCGACAAGGACTTCAACCTCGTCTCCATGATCTCCCGCTCCGACTTGAACAAGAACCAGCACTTCCCCCTGGCCTCCAAGCTGCCCGACAGCAAGCAGCTCCTCTGCGGTGCCGCCATCGGTACGCGCCCCGAGGACAAGGAGCGTCTCCGCCTCCTCGTCGAAGCCGGTCTCGACATCGTCATCCTTGACTCCTCCCAGGGTAACTCCATGTTCCAGGTCGAGATGATCAAGTGGATCAAGAACGAGTTCCCAGGCCTCGACGTCATCGGCGGAAACGTCGTCACCCGCGAGCAGGCCGCTACTCTCATTGAGGCTGGCGTTGACGGTCTCCGTATCGGTATGGGCTCCGGCTCTGCCTGCATTACGCAGGAGGTCATGGCCGTCGGCCGTCCCCAGGCTGCTGCCGTTCACTCCGTCAGCAGCTTCGCCGCTCGCTTCGGCGTTCCCTGCATTGCCGACGGTGGTGTCCAGAACGTTGGTCACGTCGTCAAGGGTCTCTCCCTCGGTGCCTCCACCGTCATGATGGGTGGTCTCCTGGCCGGTACCACCGAGTCCCCCGGTACCTCCTTCGTCTCCCGCGAGGGTAAGCTCGTCAAGGCCTACCGTGGCATGGGTTCCATCGACGCCATGCAGGACAAGAAGGCCGGCAACGGTGGCAAGGACAGCCAGAAGAGCAACGCCGGCACTGCCCGCTACTTCTCCGAGGGTGACAGTGTCCTCGTTGCCCAGGGTGTCACCGGCTCGGTTGCCCACAGAGGGTGCGTCCCGCCACATCCCCCTTTCCGAAATATCAAACATGCTAACCGTGTCCCAGTCCTATCAGCAAGTTCATCCCCTATCTGGCCGCTGGTCTCAAGCACTCCATGCAGGACTGCGGCATGCAGTCCCTCAAGGAGCTCCGCGAGTCCGTTGACAACGGCATCCTGCGCTTCGAGCTGCGTACTGCCAGCGCCCAGATGGAGGGTAACGTGAACATGGAGTCTTACGAGAAGAAGCTGTTCGCCTGAGAAACGGCGAGCCACAGCTTGAAATGATGAATGTGACGGGAATATCAAAAAAGGGTTGATGAGATATCACTGGGTATGGGAGGGAAAAATTGGGGGTTACATGAAAAATGCACGTCTTCCCCCGTATATACGTACGCGATATAAGGGAGGAAAGGATGAGATGCTTTTTTTGGTTAGGACGGCAGTGCTTTTGAAAAAAGTCTCAAACGGAGTTTTTGGAGTCTTTTTTTGCAAGTAGAGATGATGAAGCGATCTAAATACCAAACCCTCCACACGGAGCACGAATGAAGAAATTTTACGACTCAATGGTCATGCCCGATTTTTTGCAGGCTTCTGGTGAAGTGTGATGCTGCCGGATGAGGGGTCATGGGCTGACTGAGTCAGACCCGACCTGCACCGGGCAGGACGGGAGTGGACCACTGCCCGGAGGTCGGGGCCAAGCGGGGCGGACGTCAACGTACTTCCTCATTGCCTGGAAGGAGAGGGAGTGAGATTTGGGCTCGGGGACCAACGAGTGCGCTGCGATGACGCTTGCCGTTACATTTGAGGCAAGCGTATGTGCATTGTGATTTTACTCCCAGGACGGAATATGTCGGCTTTGGGAGACACCGTAGGTCCCAGGCAGAGGCGCCCGAAAACCCTCGTTTATTCGGGCTAAGAGGCACTGGTGATAGCTTCGAACCAGATGGTTCTCGGCAGTATGTGAAGGGAGAGGCCACGGGACGGGGACGGGGACGGATCCTGGGACACGATAGCGTTCGAGGCGTGGATTACAATGTCGCGTGCCAAGAACGATATGCGTTGAAGGAGGGCGGACGGAATCTAAAGACCTTTTTTTTTTTGTCTTTTCTAAACCTCGGGGTCTTGCCCATATCTCTCTAAAACCGGGATCATCTCTAGGTTGGGAACCGGCAGAGGCTTCTCTCTAGAGTGCCAGGCACAGGTTCTTATCAATGAGGCTGGAAAAATATTTCAAGAGAACCAGTGGGATAGAGGCAGGCACGCACGCATCGGGAAAGAACCAGAATACAGCGGAAGCATAGTATTATCATCTATCTGTGATGATTTCTGATCTCTCTATTGTGTCCATCGATGATCTCATCCTGTCGCCTTCCAAGGGCTCATTTCGAAACCCAATGCTGCGCAATAGAGACCAAGTCCAAGACGACCGCCCAAGATCCATGGGATATCCATCTCCGTCTATGCTTCCGAGCCCAAGCCAAATCCATCGCCCTCGAAACTTTTCTCCCAAGACGAAAGGAAATCGTAACTCATAACCTCGTATCACGTAAACTGGTATCGTCCTCCCTCTGTCGAGAAATCCACCAAACGTCAAAGACCAAAGCAGAAGGCCCGTTTCCCTCTCAGAAGATCTAGTTCCCGTAAGATCAGGTTCCTCCGAAAAATTAGTCCGTGCCTCGAGCTCCACGTCGTATCAGCCGGTGGTGGAAGACGAAACTCAGCAAGAGAGGTTGCGCTTGCGGGTCATGGCCTTCTTCTGGCGGGGGCCAGCGAAGTTCATGTCGTCGGCGGCGAGGAAGGGCTTGTACTTCTTGTCGAAGACGCCACCCTCACCAGCAACCCAGGCCTTGGCTGCGGTGGCGTGGAGGCGGACCATGACGCAGTTGAGCTTGGTGTTGTTGTCAACGTCCATGGTGTTGAGGGGGTTGAGAGGGCCCTGGTTGTTGTTGCTCTTGGTCCAGTTGCTAAACATCTTGGGGCCATCGATGAAGATGAAGAGCATGGCGCAGATGAAGGCGACAAAGAGGTAGCCGACCAGGAGGGCGAAGGGCTTGACAACCATCCACATAACGCGCTTGACGAAGTTGTTGAAGGGGGGGTTCAGGCGCATGGAGAGGACGGTGATAAGAATCAGAACACAGATGCGGACCTGGGGAGACCAGGCGGTCGAGTAGTCAATGTCGATGCACTCAGCGCAGCGCTGAGCGAAGCGGCCTCTCATGACGTGACCACACATCTTGATCTGCCACTGTTAGTGAGCTGTCCAAATGTTCATAAAGGAAATTGGACATACTGAGTGGGTGAAAGGATTGTAGGCAAGTCCTTGTTCTGATGGGTCTTTGAAATGAGAAAGAACGATCCCCTGGTTGAGGAATCTGCTTTGGTCAGTGGCCTTGTTTGCTTCGATTTAGTCATGATACATACCAGGTGTGATGAAGTAATAGCTTTTCTTGTTCAGGGCGAGATTCCAGAGGAACTTGCGCGTGGGGTTATCAGAAGAGGGAGGGTTCTGAAGGGGAGTGTAGGCGAAAAAAGGTCGGCGGTATCAGGGATAGAAAGATGCTGCGCGCAGATGATACCGGCCAACCAAGGGTAAGAGGTAGAAGAGAGTTAGGGCTGCTCAAGGGAGAAGAAATATTTGTTGTTTTGTGCGGCCAGAGTTTGAGGTAGTTGAGAAAAAAGAGAGGTTGTGAGAAAAATAAAAAAAAGCTAGAAGTGCTGCGGGTTGAGGTTGAGGGTGGGTTGGCAACTCCAGACGGAAAGAGCGATAGAAAGACCACACACCCAGAGAGCTCCTTCCTTACCGGTAGTGATTGCAGTCCCTAATTCACCAAAGTTGGTAAACTTGATATCAGACGCTTTGAGGAGAGGAAAAAAAAGAGAGAAGTTGGGTAAAGAAAATCCTTGCAAATAAATGGTATCCTGCCTGACTCCTGATGACTCCGGCTGCTATATGCTTCAGTCTCCCTTTATGACCCGTTTACCCAACATACAAACGCCCCGGAATCCAACACAGTCGGATTCACACGTTAATACCCTTGGAGGTCCGTTTTCCTATCTCCAACAACCTCCCTCCTCGGGCCCCGATCCTCCATCAACCTCTCGACGCACCTAACCTTCACCCACCTCTCCCTCTCGCGGCCCTCATTCAGGATCCCCTCAAGACTGTTGCACCACTCGATCTTCTGCTCGTCGTCCCAGTCCAGCACGCTCAGCTCGACCTCGAGCCTCCTCAGGCAACCCATCTTCCTCAGCCCCTCCTCGATCCACTCGGGCCTCGGTTCGGGGAAGCGCGAGATGTCCATGGCCTGGGCTTCTGCGTTGTTGTTCAGCGCGGCAAAGGTAGCAGTGGGCTCGAATATCCCACCTCCGATCAGGATCTTGAGCCTCAGGCCCCGGAGCCCGGACGCCCAGCACGCGCAGAGCTCCACCCACTCCCGCAGCGCCGGGCCCGTGAAGTCCCGCCCCAGCATCTCCAGACGCGTGAACCGCATCGAGTCCCGCTGCCACCCCTTGAGACCCCGCGTGAACGCCCGCGCCGCCCACAGCCCCGACGAGAACCAGTTCACGAAGACGAACTCGTTGGTCTGCATCGGGATCGTCCGGCACTCCTCGTACACCTGCCGCGACGTCCGGAGGAGCGCCGAGGGGAGGCCGCAGAGGGGCCGGTGGGGGGAGAGGAGGGGCTCTTCGTTGTCGTCGGTACCGTTGGCGGTGATGGTCGCGTCCTTTCGGTCACGGGTGTCGTCGGCGTCGGCGGTTCCTTTCCCTCGCACGGCGGGTCCCTCAGTTCCTTCTCCTGGCTTGATGAGTTTGAGGTGGTACGCACTATACGTCGGAGTCGGGTACCACGGGGCCAGCTGAGCGTGTTGGATGGGGTGCATGGCGTGTACCCAGCCGTATATTTGCAGGCGGATTTCGTACGGCAGGTTCAGCAAGCGGGATTCTTCCGTATTTGCTGCTGCTGCCGCCGTGGGCGCGTTCGCAGTGGCAGGATACTCCGAGCACTGCGTCGCCATTGTCTCCGCCAGACTACTCGACATCTCGGAGTCCGCTTTGTCTGATCCAGTTTGTTGAAAGTAAGAAGCAGCGGACGACGGTCCCCAACAGGCCATACAGCTTTTCTCTTGAGAGAAATAGTCAATGGAAAGGAACCTGGGCGGTCTTTCAGCAATATCAAAGTCGCACAAGGCAATGACGAAAAGAGCCACGAGAATGACACCAGAATCTCAGTATGTCACAACAGCTCCCAATTGCAATGGCACAGCAGAACGAATAGCTCGTGAGACGCGAACACACAAAAAATGGAGGGGGTGAGACCAGATCTTTGTACAACCTGAAAGCGGGAAGACGGGAGGAACGAGAAACAACACCAGAATTGGCCAAGAGGGTATGCGCCCCTTCTTGAATATAACCTCCCCCAGCCGCGCCTTACCCCATGTTTGATCTGTCTGACTACCCGAGCCAGCGCACGAGATATACCTGCCCGGAACGACGACCGGGGGTAGGCAAAAAGTCACCGTAAGACGAACAACAAAGATCCTTCGTCCGTAAAGACCAATGGTCTCGCGGTCCGCCGTAAGCCACGGCGCCGACCATTGGTCCCGGCGCGGGGCGAAGATGCGCGTAACGGGCTGACAGAGGTCAGCTTCGAACGAGGCCCGGGAATTGGGTCGTCTGGAACATGTGCTGTTGGGGGGTGGAAGCGTCCGTAATGGGAGGACCGTCGACGTGGAGAAAGATGCGGTTGGCGTGAGGTGGGGAGGGGACCCTTTCCCCGAAGAGGAATCGAGGCATAAGCTGACCGCCGACGGAACGAGATTGAACAACGCCTGCGAGTCGACGTGATAGGAGAGGCACCGGCTTGGCCTTCTTTGCTACGCTTGGCTTATGTTGCTTGGTTTGCTGTTGACCGTCCAGGGAAGAATGAGTAAGAGGCGTCAGTCCTGCACGTTGTCGTTGTCGTTAGCGGCATCGAGGAACCCCAATTGGACGTTCGTGAGGGGTTGGTTTGCAGGCGGCAAGACGACGGATGAGCACATGAGAGCGATGGACAGAGAAGCAGTGACAGGCTGATCGATGAAGGAAGGGGTCTCATCTCCCGGCGGGACACGCCGCAGGTTACCTAACACGCCCCCCAATGGCCCAGTAAGTTCAATGTCTTTGAACGCCCAAGATGAGTGGACGGGGGGCTGTCTTCGAGGGCCCTCGGAAAGTTGACACAAAGAGGAACTTTGGTCGTCCAGGTTGGAGAAAACCAAAGCCAGACGAAGCGCTTCGATAAGTCGTTCGATATCTAAACCCCACTTTCAAGGGATGAACCATAATACGGGGAGGTACCTACCTCCTCCTCCACCTTCGTCTTACACGTCCCCCTTCCAGCATCGACCAACCACCGACACTCTCGACCTTCAGCGGACAATTCCCAAGCCAAGGTAAAGCGAGCACCGCAAAAGATGCGCGCGTGTCTTGGACGATCGGGACACACAAATCCCACCGCCACAGAAAGAGGCGACGTCTCAGCTCGGAGCGCCGGCGGCGCTGTCTAGCTTTGCGAGAATCTTATCTTGGACTAGATGTGCGGGGGGAGGGGGGGAACAAAGAAAAGAAACATGAACGAAAGAGAGAATCCAAGGTCAATTAATAGCTTTGCATCTCTTCCCGCGCCTTTCGCCAACCCAGCCTCTCCCACCGCTGCTTATCAAACTCGAGCTCATGAAAAGTGTGCGTAGTTTGAGGTGATATCCTCCCTCGCCTTCGTAAAAATCGTCCGTCCTCACCAATCAGAGACTCCGCCATGCGCAATGTTTCCGAGTTAACCTATACCGACCCTTCATCTGATCTCTGATCGTTGATCTCGGGCACGGACATATACCCCCGCGTCGCGGTTGAACCGGTGAAGCGGGGGAGCTAGCCTCCTTCGCGTGAATTGGTTGATGGCTTGTGATTCCTCTAGTACAAATCTCCGGGCGGTGAGGCTCAGTATGGAACGTCGACGTCACTCCGTACGTCGAACACACGATGCAGATAATCCGTGCCTCGTGGAGGGCAATCTCAACATTAACTATAAACCCCCGGAAACACTATCTTTCACTGGTCTCGACGTCGCCGTCGCCGGTGAACCTTGTCCTGTCCAGCTCACTTTCAAGCGGGAGCTGGGGAATCCAGAATTTGCCTTTGCCATCGTTTCATTCGCATGACGTTTGACATAAAAATAATAATAAAACGTCTTTCTCGGGTCCATCCTTCATGCTGCGCGTACAATGAACTTCAACCCCCTGAGCAACAATTAAACGCCTCGAGGCTGTAAACAAACAAACAACCATACCCCAAGCTTCCTTCTCCGGCCATTTATTGTGGCAAGAGGGGGGATCCGATCCCGTATATATAAACGCGCAACGTGGTTGAAGCAAAGAAGCTGGCACCTTTTGTTTCTTCAACGTCCCCAAAACTGCAGACCTAAAATGCAAGCAAAGCCGCCCTGAGGACAGCAGGGGTATCAAAGCTTTCTCTCGCGAAAACGTGAAAGGGGGGTTTGTCGTCTGAAGATTATGCGTATCGTAATGTGTGGTTGGCAGACTGTCATAATGCCTGCCATCATTAAGAGCCGCCGAGTTAAAATCTCGACTTTTTGAGTAATGAGGCCTAAGCGAAGTCGTCGGCTCCATTGTTCATGACAAGCTGGTCAACGCGTTGGACGAGCTCCTTGGTTTCCCTAGCGATCTCGAAGGCGATGGGTGGCAGGGTCTGCGTCCACATACGCCACTCTCGGTCATTGCGTCCACTTGCACCAACGTCTTGACCGCGATCGATGTCCATTCCGCGCTCGCTGGCCTCAAGAAGTCTCTCGCGGCAAGCGGCCAAGCGGGAAATCATAGCGCCGTTGCCAGACGCCTCAGTCTCGGAGATGACCTTGCCGACAACTTCGTTAATGCCGTTGATCTCTGATGTGATTTGGTTGATAGACGCGTCGCTGCGGATAGAGCCGACGAGGTTCTGAATGTTCTGAACCAGGATGGCGGTTTGGTCCTCGAGGTAGATCTTGAGCTCCTCGGCCTGGTTGTCCTGGCGCATGCCGTAGCCGTTCGCAGGGCCGTTCTTGTTCATGCCCATGTTGTAGCCCATACCATTCATGCCATTCAGCCCGTTGGGGCCGCGGTTGTAAGTGTCCGCAGACTGACGGGGCGAGTTAATGGGGCTATAGGCAGAGGAGTCCATACTGGCTCTGCCGCCGAGGCCTTGGAAGGGAGGTGGTGCCTGTCCTAACGGCAATGGCGCGGGAACAGAATCTTGGATCATGGAATCCTGTCTTGAAGCGGTTCTCGGGGAGAAGAAACCAGTCGAGTCGACCGGAGTAATCGTGCCGTCGTCGTCGTCTTCCAGCTCGTCGTCGGGTGTTGTTCGGATTTTGACAGTCCGGAGGAGATCGACGATCGCTGCAACTAGGTGGGAAGAAGCGGCGTCCAGAAGAGACACTGGTGACATGCCGGCCGCAGCTGCAAAGTTCTTGGACGAGGTGATGAGGTTGTTGGCGGAGGAGGAGATCTTGCCCTTCAGTTTCGAACGTTGTTGCATGAGATCTTCGTTGGTCTGGGCTGCCTCGTCGATATCCTTAGTAATGCGGCGGACGCTGACAACGACTTGCTTCATAGCGTCAATGACCTTGTCAGGGTCCTCCGAGCGGGCTCGCTGGAGAAGCTCGTCAATGGCAATTTGGAACTTGGTAACATGAACGTCCTTGACTGCTCCGTTCGGTTGCATAAAGCCCTTCTCACGCACGTACTTGGCCGCATCCTGCTCGACATTCAATCCGAGAGAGGCGGCGCGCATGTCGCGAAGTTGTGTCTTGGTTCGCGCGTAGCGGTTGCGCCACTCGCGGACCTCGCCTTCGAGCTGGTCAATCGTCTTCTCCAACTCTTCTTGTTTCTGCCAGGTAGAGCCGCTCTGTTGCGACAGCATCTTCATCTCCCGGAGGAATTCGCGAGCTTCGCGCCGGGCCTCCTCCGTAACCTGTTGTTGCTCCTGGAGCGCCCTCCGCAGCTGCTCATTCTCCCGTCGCAGTTCTGGGTCAGCATTGCCAGAGCCGACATTTGCCGCCGCCATGCTAGATTGCTGTGCGTTCTCTATCTCCTCTCTGAGTTGGCGGGTTTCGTTGGCGTGCTCGTCTCTCATGCGATCCAAGTCTTGTTTTAAATTCGCGTTGAGGTCCTGAGCTTCGGCAAGCTTGTTCTCTAGGCCGAGTCGGAGATCACCGAATTCCTTCTTCTCCATATTCGCGGCCGTCGATCGTGATCTCTCGCTGTCCAGGATGCTGTTCATTTCGTCGTCCTTCTTCTTCATGACGTCCTCCATTGCGTCAAGCTTTTCCCGGAGTTCGCGGACCTGAGATTGGTATTCGTCTAAAAGCTTCTTGTCGGCCTGTAAGGCTGTTAACGTCTCCACTCGATACGAGATTAAGTTGGGTAAAGATCACCTCTGATGCTACCGCGCTTTGCTCCGTAGCCAAACTCCTTTTACTCGTGCGGTTCGTTGCCGTGCGCTCCAGCCCAAAAGCTTCGTCGCCGTCCTCGTTTCCACTACCGTCGTCATCTTCTTCCACCATTGTGCTCTTGTTCGGCACAATCGTGTTGCTCTGGAACTGCTTCTGCTGGGGACGATTGTACTCGCCGCCAGGCGGCATACCAGGCGACGGCGGCACGCCGTAGGGGTCGAGTGGTGGTGGCCCTCCTCTCATTGAGCTGGCGTCGGAGGGCCGTCTCCGACTCTGACTCCGGCTTTGACTCCTGGGCGGGTAGCCATTGCCGCCATTCACGGTCGCCTGCGAGCGGACCGATACGGGGCTACCCACTCTGGGTATATCTCCAGCAGCAAAGCGGGGAAACCTCCTTTCCAACTCGCAAAAGACGTCGGTTGCAAGATCGCGGAATCGAGGAGGACCAAGGGAGGACAGTTTCTGTCTTGCCTGGTTGCGTTTCGGGTGGAAGTTGGCTTCGGGCATCAGGTAAGGGGGAGTATTTTGGCCTCCAGGGCCCGAGGGCCGGCGACCGAGGGATTGCCTCCGAATGAGCTCATCGAAAACGTCGGTACTGAGTTCGAGGAACTGGACAGAGGACAGTCGTAACAGCTTATCGCGGGCCTTGTTAGGGGGCGTGGGCCGGCCGCCTTGTCCGCCATTTAGAAAATTCTTCAGGGCGACGTAGTGCTCGCCCAAGATGCCCTCGGCATCCTCGCGAATACTCCTTCCGCTTTCACTCCTCGCGTACATGTTTGTGCCATTGCTGGAGCGGCCGACAGAGGGCGGCGGTGAGGGGCCGCCGGCACTGCTTCGCGGACCGGGAGGAAAAGAGCCATTCATGGCCCCGTTGGAGCCTCCGGAATTGGGGGGTGAGACGATGTTGCCGCGGTTGTTTGCGTACGGGTCTTCGTTAACGGATTGGTATTTGCCAACAGACCACTCGCTTCCGCCTAGAGAGACAGGTGAGAGAGGCGCATTGCGACCATTCATGGTAGACCTCGAGTTGTTTTGTATGCGAGGTCGGGTCGCGTGGGCAGCGAGCGGTAGTCGAGAATGGGCGGCGCAGCGAACAAAGGGAGCGTGGAAGTCGAATGTCGGGGTTCTTTCAAGTCGAGCAGGTCGATCCGGGGTCGCACAGTGACCTTTTTTCTTCTTCCTCTTGCGACGAGACTACTGCTCAGATGGAATCCTAATCCAATCAGGCGTAGGCTCGTTTCCAAAACCGCTTGTCAAACCCAAAAACCAGCTGCCAACCTAAATACGTATTTGTCGCAGAACCTTTTCTTCTTCCTTCTTCGCCTTGTCGGATAAAGGTTGCGTCTAGGGTGGGAAGGTAAGTCGTCGATGTCGGGAAGGAATGCGTTGACTATGTCGATGTCTCTGATGCTCGTCGCGGATGGAGGGGGGTTTCAAGGCGAAAGTAGACGAGTGGGAAGGCTTCTTTCAGAGTAGCCGGTTGGTGCGACGCGGCATGACAGGGCGGGAGTATGTCGGATGTCGTGTCGAAAGGAAATATTTTGGGGGAATGCAAAGAAGAAGCAAATGCCGCAGGAGAAGCGTGGGACGAGATGCTGTCGGTAAGGTAAAGGAAAGACTAGCGCTGCACTGTGTGCGGTCAACGCCAGTGGACGGGACGTACTTCAGTACCTTAGTATGCGAATGGTACGGTAAGGTACGTTAAAGTAGCGGCAAGCAAGCATCTATTGGCAAGGGGCATGGAAAAGTACAGACGACGGAGCAGCGAAGCCAAGCAGCGAGAACAACAGCAGAATCCGCGACGAGGTGGTGAGGCATGAAACGTCAAGGTGGCCAGCTGGGATGCCACGACCAATGGCTGCGATTCTGGGGGTCAAAAAAAAAAAGGGGGGGTGAACTCGCTCGTTCAGCATTCCTGGTGCCTCTCAGAGATCTCCCACCATTGCTGAAGTGGTGTGGTGAGTAGTCTTTGGTCTTTGGTGCGTGCCCACGCTGTAAGGTAGGTACGCACTGATACAATCAAAGACGGGAGTGCTCTGGACTGCGGGTAGACTGGCCAGAGGCTGGTTAGCGAATCACTGGTGCTGAAAGCGATGGATGGACGGGGGAAGGAGAAGGGGGGAAGGGGGACGCGATAATGGAAGTGAAGGGGGGAAGGGGAGGGGGTGGAGAGGGGAAATGAAGACTGGAGACGCCGGCCGTTGTAGTGTCTTGTACCGGCGATGCTTCAGACGCGTGATGCTGTGGTTGTGGAATGTGGAAATGGTACACGTGAATGACCTTTTGCTGGTAGAGATCCACCTCGATTTTACGCTGATCTTCTCTTTTGGGTACGGCTCCGGGGATGATTTGGGGTGAAGACTACCAAATGCCCATGTTATTAAGGGCCTTCATCATAGCGATGGCCTCTCACTGCCACTCTCCTTCCACTTTTTGATGCGACATAACTACGTACTGCAGTACTCACCTCTCGGAAATCCGAACGACTGAGTGACGATAACTCGGAACGATTATCGAGATGGTCGACAGTGCGGGAGCGGACTGTTTCTTGTTCTCCTCAAGGGGGAGGAGAAGTCGGGAGTCATCATCAGCCAAAAGTCTGAGCAACTACTGAACGAAGGACCACAATGGCAGTCTGCCGTTACACTGGCGAGCGGCTCTCACAAAGCCAGAGATCGGGCAAAACAAGCTAAGGCGAGTGGGGACTCGGAAGAGAGAAGCCTATCGCGACATGAACGGCAAATGGACTTTCACCAGGTTTCTCGTGGATAATTTCCATATTCCAGCTTGGAATGCACTTCGGAACCCCCGTCCAGCTGAGTGCCGACCTATTAAGGTACGGGAAGGAGCCTCGTAATGGACCGAGACATATCGATTCAAGACACGACGCGACACGGCGAGACAAGACATTCTGACTTTTAAACATCCATCCCGAAGTGATGAAGCCATCAGTCCGTTTGAGAAAAGTCAGACACCAGTGTGATTGTCATGACCCAATGCCACTGCCACGCTCCGGCTCCCAAAAGTTGGAACTTGGCGATATTGAATTTGGAGTGGAGTTCTCTGCAACTCTACACGGGCAGCTGGAAATCGTGAACACGACTGATTCGTGGGTTCGTCCACAATTTGCTTCTCTCAGGCATGCAATAGCAATAGTGCCTTCCTTATTAGATGCATACGCGCAGCGGCAAGGAATTAGCGCCAGAGTTTGTTAATTACCATCTCGACGCGTTGCTGACTATTCCTTGGTTTAGTTGGTTCTAATTGCCTACCGTTTATCCAATGGCAGCAAAAAGCACAGAGCAGGTAAGGTAGGCAGTCAGTCAGGTAAGAACTCTTACTTCTTCCTTCTTGCTGTCTTTCCAAATCAGGTGCCGGTTCTCATGCGTGTCTCACCTCGACACTCCATCTCTTGGGCCCCTCCTCCTCCTTCTGCTCACTTTTCTACCCGCTCACATCGTTCATTCAGTCTTTTCGCCATCGTTCATCCATCCGTCCCGCCCACAAACCACGACGCGCACCAAGATTCATGCCGCCATGCATTACACAACAGAGTGCGTCCGTCCATCTCCCCTTTCCCACCAGCACCACCTCCTTGCAGCCGCCATGCCGTTTTCTCTCGTTCCAATCTGCTCATGCATATAGCCATCCCCAGCCATGTCGAGCCGGCCTCTACGAGTCTACCAGACTCTGACCCCTGATGCAATAATCACCCATGCCGGTGATGGCGTGGCCTTCCCACAACCCATTGGCCCATCTTGCTGGCGCGCGCTAGCAACAAAATTCGTCTTCAGGGCCCGGCCTGTCATCGACGGTGGCGGTGTCTGTGGGACATGGAGATTCGGAAGACATGGGCATGGATAAGGGTGAGAGCCATTGGCCATGGATAGGGGCCATGGGCATATCCGGCCGTGCCTGACTTTAACCTGCTGGCCAGTTGCATCGAGCAAGGATGTCTTTTAAGCATGGTGGAGATCGCTTTTTCCAAGTGTCCCTGCGCAAGGGGGCCGCAACTCAAGCACTCGCGACCGATGCACTCCAGCCCAGAGAGGCTTTGGCTCTGGCTTTGGCTTTCCGACATGCCTCGCGCTTTCGCCTGACAACCTGTCAACGTCAGATTCTTCCTGTCGTCTGTCTGACAACTGCCTTGGCTACGCCGCCCTATGCTCTCGGACGGCTCTGACAGCCTCAGTCTCCTCACTGTTGGTTTAACTGACACCAGCAGGTACGGATGCAAGACTTGGGTCAGACGAGCAGGTGTCGTTAGAAATCGATGACAAGAAAGCCCCAGAATCCCGTCTTCACCAATACCATCCCCCGGGGCAACTCTGGCATAAAAGTGTCGTCCGGCCGCCATTGTTGTTGGCAACGGATCGATACCCACGGCCGGCTCTGTCCAGACAACCGATTCGCAGCCCTCGTCTACCGTTGACACCCCATGCACCGTTTTATTGCCCCTAAGATTGCGCCTCGACTGGTTCGCCCTGCCCTTTCTGCATTCGTCCTCGCAAGGGTTCTGTCACCAGAGTCTCGACTCTTCTAGCCCTCCCAGGCCACCGAACGGGATCCATTGCTCAAAAATCCAGATTCTCAATCTGACAAGCCGCCTCGAAGGCCTCCGCCATTGTCCCTAGTCCGCGCACTCGCCTCGGGCACCGACATGACCGCCGCGATCGTTCCGTCGTCAGTGCTTCCTTCTCGACGTGCGTTACGCAGCCAAATCTCTGAGGCACGATCCCTGGTTCGCGTGCCACTGGAGCCTCTGCTACCGGACCAATCACCCTCGATCCCGAGCCGGAACCCCTGGGCAGCAGAGACCCAGCCACGAGGTGAGGCTCCCAGACGACATGTGACATGACAAGGGACCTTCAGACCGCATGAACCCCTCCCCGTCGTCCAACTCGCCCACCCTGAGACGGGAATGAAGCTTGGCCATGGCCGGCGAACATTCGATGGAAGCTGGCGAGCGAGGGTGACGTTGAAGCCGCAGCAGTCATCGCGGATACGATCATACGCGGGCCTGTGTTCATCGTCGAAATCCCCACCTCTTCAAAACTATCAGGGATACTCCGGTTCGTCCGCCTGCAATTTGCTGATGCCGTTCAACCCGTTCGCTGGTAAAGGCCATGATGCCCTGCGCGGACGACATTAGACTCTACACGGAAAACATTCACCAGCCTCGCAAACACGTTCGGAACGCCACGAGTGGTATAAAGCAAGTGCAATCGTCCGCTGCTGCGCAACAATCTCTCACAGCCGCATCGTTCTCGAAGACGGTCTTGAAGTCAAGCTTCAAGTCTATCGAATCCCACAGAGAACCAAGCAAATTGCTAACTTCAGAGTGCAAAGTACGCGATCTAAACACGAAAAGGTCACAGAGCCGCCTCGTGCTCCCCACAGCCACCTGCGCCAAATACCAATCTAATCTCGTCCTAAGAAGGCTGTGTCTTTTTTCCAAAATTGCGTCGACCGGTTCGTGTAAGTGAGGAAAACCCCGGGAAAAAATGTCCGACCACCCGAGCTTTCGTGAAACCTGCCTTGACTTGGGCTAGCTCGAAACGCGGCCGCGATAGCTTAAAAAACGTTCTATGAACGGGAAAACGGGAGCGGCGTGCAGATCATCAATAGCTCTTATGACCGAGGCCATGTTGTGCTTTATATCATGAATTATAATTATCATTCATAGTTCATGTAACTACGAACTCTCCTGCGGTGACAAACGGCTTTCGGTTCCCACAGCCCTGAGTCGCTCATAAAGTCGAGGCTTGGATTTGGACATTTTCCTCGCCCGTTCCTGCTACCCAGCCGTCTCGGGTCGGATATCCCCTTCCATCCCACGCCTCGCTCGCATAATTCTTGTCGTCTGACCAGAGTTTCCCTCTGCCCGTTGTCGAACACGTCCTCCATCGCGGGACCGGAGGGTTTGGGTATATATTTAGGTAATCGACGAGCTGATGCTTGCTTCCGTACGTACCCCGCTTTCGCATCATACTGCCGGATGAATGAAGATAATGTAAGGACCGCTCCCGGGGTCACCCTTTCGCCGGAATCTGTGAAATGTTCGGAAACCGCCAGTTTCGGGATCGGAATGTTCATCTCGGGTTCTCTCTCTCTCGGGTCGGAAAATCCCCGTGATCTGCGATATGCCGTCGGCCGGGGAAAACACGCGGCGCACCGGCCGGGGCCCGATAGACTTCCCGTCTCTGTTCCGTTTCTCGCACCGTCGTGTTTGTCCGTTTCCTGTGGGGAAAGCTATCATGCTTCGAATGTATAGAAGCCATTCTCGTCGCTACGCACCTCTCTCTCTCTCCGGGTATCTATTCTCGCTCTCCGACGGGCCCCCTCAAAACCAGGCCAGCGTCCACACGGCGGGCAGGTGCGGCCAGCGGTCCTGCCACTCGGCGAGGATCTCGGGGACCTTCTCGTCGAAGCTGGCCCTGGCGGAGGCGCTCCCGGCGTCGAAGACCTCTGCGCCGACGGCCTCGCGCTCCTTCTTGGCGGCCTCGTTGAGGCTGTTGGCGAGGTCGAGGATGGCGCGGCCGCCGACGCTGGCCTCCTCGTGGTTGTCCTTGATGTCGACGTTGATGACGTGGACGGGCCTGTTGAGGGGGCTGCCGCGGCTCATGAGGTCGTCGACGACGGCGTCCCAGCAGCGCTCCTCGCAGGTGACGACGACGTCGACGACGCCGCCCTCGACGCCGACGCTGCCGCGGTCGTCGGCGTGCTGGAGGCGCGGCATGCCGACCTGCCAGTCCTGCCAGCGCTCGGGGCCCCACTTGACGTGGCGGTTGCGGTCGACCATGCCGAGGACGCCGTTGAGGCGGTAGAGGCGGGGGTCTTTCGACTCGAGCTCCTTGAAGATGGAGTCGTACGAGGTCTTGTTGAAGTGGTAGACGTTGGGCTGGGTGATGGAGGGGCCCGGGAGGCGGACGAGGGAGCCGGTGCCGAAGGAGATGACGGGGTAGTTTGCGTTTGCGAGGCGGAGGTGGGAGACCATTGATCTGGTGAGTTTCGAAAGGAGAAAGGGTCAGTCTTGTTGTTGTTCATCTTGATGGCGGCGCATTGCCGGATTGGAGGCTGGGGAGGGTTACCTGTTCTGGTTGCTCGCGCAGACGGTGCAGAACTTGAGCTTGAACTCGTCCGGGTTCGAAGGGGCGGCGGCGGCATCGCCGTTGGTGTTGGCCGACGAGGACGCCGCGGCCGCGGCCTGCGCAGCTCCGTTTGCGACCTCCATTGCTGATTGCTCGATGTTCACGATGTCTGGAAGGTAGGCTGAAGCACCAGTGACGATGGTGGGGCGCGCCGATGGATGGATCTCGCGTCACGAGTGGATAAGGCAACAAAAAGAGAAACCGGTGGGGGACCGGGGATGGCAAAAAAAAGGGCGAGCAAAAAAAAAAAAAGTCAGTCAGTCGTGCCGTGTTGTGTCGCGTGGTATCGTGTCGTCGGTCGGTCGGTCGTTAGAGGAAGAGCTTCTGATCTATTTGCCTTGAATTAGCCAAAAATCCAGACAATTTTTCGAATTCATCAGTCGAAGAGAATTGAGCGCAGGTTTCAGATTTAAAGCGTATAAGGTAAATGTTGTGTCAACATGGGGAATTTAGACAGCTCCAATAAATAATAGACTCATCACGCGAAGCTCATGGTGTTTTTTGTTTTCTTTGCTTGGTCTTACCTTTTGGTTTTTGCGTGTGTGCGCGCGCGTCGCAGTCGACGTGTGCCCGTTTCTATCTTTCCTTTCCAATCTTTCCACCAGTGTCAAAAAATCTTCTATTTGCGTTCGAGGAACGGGACGGGAGGTGCGCTGTTGAGAGCTCCGTGTCCTGAAGATGGAAGATGATTTGGGTGAGGGAAGAGTTTGCGAGCTGCGATGACGTTCGTGGGGAAAGAAGAAGTAGGTGAGGTGGGGCCGGGTAGCTCGCTTTCGGGGAAACGTCGGACCTCGAGATGGAAAACTGGGTCTCGTCCAATCCCGTCGCAGTCGGGTCCATCTCGGTCATGGCAGGTCGGATCCGGACTCGCGACCTGGCCCGTGCATCTTCGACGGGATTCTGCCTGAGGCCGAGGGAAGCTCGACTCACGTGGTTCTTCGGACTTTGCGAAGCTGATTGGTTGGTAGGCGCTCGCAGATTCTGAAACAAACGACGCCCTGAAGGGCACCAATCAGCGCCTTGTGTCCAAATGCAGCTGCCGTGCTCGGGTTGTTGCCAGAAATAGAAGCAGACCAACAGAAAGTTGAGGCGACTTTCGACCTCCGGATGGCGTTTGAACCAAGACCACCAAGCCAGCCAAAACCAGACGAGACCGTCCTTCGCTGTCAAAGACCAGACCGTTCTGTAGGGGGAAGGAGAGTCGGGATGGTAAGGCGATTGTTGACGGAGACGGAACGCACTCGCTCAACGGAGAATACGGATACCAATGCATGTCAAAAGATATGGACCCTGACGGTCTTGCCCTGAAAGGATTGATGGGCTGGGTAGGTAAATGGGCTAGACCGCTCCCGGGGGCTTGCATTCGACCCATCAATCCTGTGCTATGGTCTACCGGTGCAACTTTGGCAAGGGAAGTTCTTGTGTCTTGCCAGGGCTTTTGGGCTTTTGGGGTCTGATCATCGGAGGAATAAGGTCAGCCTGTGAGTGTGAGGTAAGGTAACCTAACCTGCCTGGCCTTCTCAGGATTGGATTGGGCTGGACGGATGGCCTGTGATTCCGCCTTGTGCTGCTGGCTGCTGCAACAAGCTGCCTGGTTGCTGCGCTCTGCAATGCAGACGGCCCAACGCGGCGACGCTCATACTCCCGCTCGCCCTACCTACCGCTGTAGACATGATCAGGCGGTTCAATGATCTGTTCTTCAGACGCATTTTGTTGTCTCTCATGGATTATACCGCCGTGCTATCCGCGGCAACCCTGATATTGCTCATAGCAGCCGGACACGCCTCATCACCGCTCACCCCCTTCTCAAACCATAGTAATGGCATTATCACTCCGTAAACTTCGGTGACCGCTGTTGTGTGCACGTGGCTTCCTGGCTCGCAATAACTCTCTCTGCTGACCAGCTGGTCCAGCCCGGAGCTGCAGCCTCAAGGAGATGCGGGAGACGGCCGATCAGCGTTGAAGTTTCACCATGGACGATTTTCCACCCTTTAGAAAACTGGACGGCACCAGTCACCAGTCCAATTTACGATGAAGAATCCATCCGCCGGTTTGTGGGTTGCCCCACGGATGGGCACTGATGGCCGCTGAGATGCAGCTAGCGGGATAGCGCTTTGCTAACGAGCCGATGGTTGTTTGTGCTTCAGGCTGTTCAGTCATCGGAGTGAAGCACGGAGCAGTACTCTGAGCGGATGGATTCGCCGTTGAGTCCAGCTATCCGTAAGTGCACGTACTCTGGGCGATATGGCCGTGGAAGATACTGCAGCGAGTGACATCTGGCGCCGGCCCTTGGTCGATCTTGCGATGAATATCTGATCTGACTCTTTCGCCTCTGGCACTCTCGGTCGTCAGTGGTTCGGACCAAGACAGCGTTGCCCAGACTGGCCTCAGCTCTGTATCCGTACTGAAGTACATCAGGCGGGCGGTTGTATTCGTACGGATACTTGGATGTCAATCGTTCCCAATGGATACCGTCAACTGGATACCTTCATGATTTGCGCCAGGGGCGTCCTCGCTAATCAGCTGTGGGCCGGCCGCTGTCTGACCCTGGTGCGACCTGAACGGGAATCTGCGCCGGCCGATGCTGGAGTAGTCGATATTGGTTTTATTGATGACAACCCGGGCGAACCAAGAATAGCACTGGAAGCCGCCTCCGCCGTGTTCGCGCTTGACAAGCTTCTTTTTGGGGGCTGTATTTGAAGAACGACTGCTCTTGTCGATGGACAGACACGGTTGGAAGGATTCGGATCCAAGCAATCATAGCAATCAGTCGTTCATGACCAGCAGCAGGTTCCCTTGTTGTCGTCCCGCGTCGTGTCGGCCGGAAGACTGGACCTAATCTACAGCAAGCTTGGATCAACACGACTGACTGTGACTGGCGGTCATGTTCCTTCGAAATGGCTACCGGAGAGCACGGGCGGCTCTTGTTGGTGTCCTGGGGATAAGGTTCAAGCTGAAGAGGCGGTTTTTAGAAGAGAAGGGATGCGTATGCAACGCGCGGGCGGCCGTCACGGTGTCAGGTACGCCGTGTTTTGTTGATGAGAAAAAGTTTGAATAACAGATGGGCGAGTCGATTGGCTATCTAGATGAGGCCGCGACACATGGCTTGCGGGAGGAAGGCTGAGTTTGGGTGAGGACGGCAGGTACACTGCCTGAACGGTGAACCAAGAAGACAGTGAGCAGGGAAGGCACCGACAACGTTGCTGAAGGGATTCCCTTGGGTTCGTAGTGGGATCGAGGGAAAGGGGCATGCTGAGGCGTGTGATGAACACGTACAACAGCTACGCATACCTACCTACGCAAGAAGGTAGAGCACTCGGGCAAGTGTACTGGCAGAGCCCCAGCCGAGGATCGCGGATAGAGTAGAAAAAGACATAATGTGAGGCACAGGAAGAAAGCGGACTTCTGTTGCAGCTGCAAGACAAGATGAGGTACATGATGTGCTTACTTTAGTTACCTACCTACACAGCATCGGTAAGGTATTCGTGGGTTACCTAGGTTTGGCAACGTATTCGCATATTCGTACAAAGTCACAGACGGGGCTTCAAGGTTGGACATGCGAGCTTCCCTGCATTGCTGCACAGCATCTGGAGCTAGACACTGTTTTCCTGACAAGTCTCCAGATATTGTTACCACGTAGTACCCACGAGCACAGCGGAGGATATACCCTTCCAGTCCAGATCTGACAGATGAACATGGAGGACCGAGGTACAGAGTACAAGTCTTTGTTGCTGGAGGCGGAGTGGGCGGAAGTATTCACTCGAGCCATCCTGATCCTGCATACGAAAGGCCGTTCTGGTGATGGGATAGAGGGAATGTACCGATTGCAGCGTACTGCGTACAGAGTAAAGTAGGGTACTGCCGCTGACTCGGTTGAGTTACTGCTGCTTCTGCCACCGTTGATGCTGTTTCTGGCTAAAAGCCAATTGCATACCTTACTGCGTAATGTTAGGTACGGCACAGAGTCGTCCCTCTCGTTCTCTTCCAGCACCCAAGGCAACTCTCTCCGTCCCCTGCCTCCACCTGAGTTGTCTACCTGACCTTACTTCCCCCTCCTGCTCCTCCTCTCGCTCCTCTTCCTTTCACCAGCTCCTGTTCCTACCTTACTCAACAACACCTACACAGGCCACACAGCCAGTAGGATCATTGCGCGACGCGCTTAGAAGCATCGAGGTGCAGTCCAGTGCGTTTGGTCGTCGAGCGTCTGTTCGTTGTCCCGTGTGCTTGTTCCCGTTCCTGGCTTTCCGGTCGAGGTACAAGTACTTGAAGATAGCGCATGGACTGCTGTTTTGTCTACCTACCTTATCTATTTTTCCTGTCTTATTGTCGGTAGAAACTGAGGTGTAATACTCCCCTTACCCCGCCAAACCGACTGCATTCTACCTCTCCGGAAGCGCCTTGCCTCGAGGTAAAGTACTGGACGATACCACCCTCAAAGTACCAGTACATGCCCGAGATCAATACCTGAGGAGGCCCAGTCGTGTTGGTCTACGCTGCGTCCGTCTGGTGCGAAGAGGCACGGCCGTTCTGGGTACCTTTTACCTCCCACCTTCTCTGCCCGCGAACACCGCACTGCGACAACAGAAACGCACCACCACCAACACCCAGCCGCTGCCCAGCACCACCAGCACCACCACCACCACCTCCTCAAAGGTAGAGAGGCAGAGGCAGCAGACTGGAGGCCGAGAGAGGCAGACCAGAGCCGGCGAACCTAAACGGATTATTCCCAACTTCACCTCCTGCTCCTTCTCGGTCTGTTCCCGCTTCTTCATCTTCTTCTTTTTGTTGCCATCGCCCTTCCTCTCATCCCACCAAACGTCTTCTTCTCTCCCTTCTCCAAAAAACCCACCTCTTGTCGCACGTCGAGCGACCCCGCGACCTGAATTAATCGGCCGCGTCGACTGCCTTTTAAGTTCTTGACGCTCCTTACTCAATTTCAATCCTCAGCGTCGCGTGCGACGACTTTCGTTTTTTGCGACACCCATCGAGCCAGTCTTAGTCTTGTTGCTGCGACCGCTCGATTTCTTTCCACAAAACCCTGTTCGTCTTCCATCTGCTCGATTCACGACACCCTCGGCGCCCCCGGTTGCCTTGCCTTGCGTTGCCCGACCCAACCCACTACCACTTGGTTGCTGTCCAGCGCCGCACGACTTCACGATAACACACCTGCGCAAGCCTTCCAAGTCGCTGCCGTGGCTTGCCATCGAATTTTACCAATCATTGTTCCTCTCAATTCTCGCGACCGCCGCCGCCGATTGTTCTACTGAGCACCAGTTGGCTTGGTGACACACGACGCCCCAGGATCCGCGAATCGGGTGTCCGTCATCCTTCTGCTGGCTCCCCGTCGACTTCGATATTCTCAGGATGACAACGCTCCTGTCCCAAAGCTCCTCGCCCGCGACATCCCCACCTGCAGCAGCCTCTCCGTCAACAAACCCGAATCACCGCTCACTACCGCCGCTAATAACATCTCCTCCCAGCCGACGCTCGACAGCCCCGAGACCAATGTCGCACGCTTCAAAGAATCGCCTGTCGCAATACTCGACGGGCTCTGTCCCGTCGCGTTCGCGACCCCCTTCGCACATATTTCCGATGTTTCCCTCGAGCTTAACCTACACCTTGGTGCGCGATTTCGCCTATCCCATAATGCACCCCATGCACTACGGTCCCCCGCCAGAGCCGTCGCATCCTGCTTCCGGCCTCAGCACTCCCCTCAGCGAGTCGCGCCGCCTGTCCGACCCTCCCGCCGTCTGGGAGACCAAAATGAGTTGGGATACCGGCGCATGGGGACCTGACGGCTTCGGCAGACACCACGACCTCCCCTCCGTCCAATTCGCGGATGGGCCGCCCTGGAGCGAGGATGAGGATCTGGCTAGCCCCGTGGTCAGCTCGCGACACCGTAAGCACAAGTCATCCTCGGCGGCTTTGGGAACTGGAAGAACAAGAGCTCGCGACGACGGCGATATTTTGCATGCGGCGCAATATGAGAGAGAACGCGGCTACTATGTCGGCACCAGCGGCGACGGTAGCGAAAGGTATTACTTGAACCAAGGAGGGGAAGCGAATGGGCCAGGCGGGGAATATGTCACCTACCCGCCCGACGATGCGAGACATTCAAGCCACGCATACCAGTTGGGTGACCTGCCCCCACGACAATATGCCGAACATGAGTTCTCCGATGCTTCGAGCTCCGCATCATCTCCCGGCTTTCGCGACGAAGATCAGTCTCGATACTCGCGAGACTACCAATTCACCATCACGTCGCCTGATGAGGAGATGCACGGAAAGGCCGTCGCCCTCTTCGACTTTGAAAGAGAAAACGAAAACGAATTGCCCCTAGTTGAGGGCCAGATTATTTGGGTCTCGTACCGCCACGGTCAAGGCTGGCTTGTGGCCGAAGATCCCAAAACTCAAGAGAGTGGGCTAGTGCCGGAGGAATACGTTCGTTTGCTACGAGATATCGAAGGCGGTATGAATAGTCTCACTGGAAACCTGGGTGAGGGCTCAACTTCCCCCAACGATGTCGGCACGCCCACGCAAGCGGAGCATCTCACCTACGGTCATACCCCGACAGGAAGTCAATCCTCTAACGGTTACCATCAACCTGTAGTGTCAACCTTCTCGACCTCGAGCAAAGATCTGGACCCTTACCCAACACAACAATTGGGAATCCAGGCCGGCCAGCCCCCGCCGCAAGTGGTTCATTACCACGGCCAGAGAGGTGGTAGCCAAGCAAACACACCCACCTTGGCCTCGCACCAAGACGTCGGCATCATGCGCCGCGGTAGCCAAGATACGACCGCGAAGAAGAGCGACTCTCAGACCGTCCCCTTGATGGAGGCGACAACCGAGGAAACAGCCGAGGAAAAGTCGGTGGATCGATCGAGCACGCCAAAGGCCAAGACTCCCAGCGAGAAACCCGCTGATCCCGACGCCATGGAAACAGAACGGTGATACCCGAAAACGAACGTTAGCCGCCGCGGACTCGAAAGCTTCAATTGAGTTCTTGTTTGGCAGGTTCTCCCCCTCGAAGAACCAGTCATGAATCATGTACTATGAGGGACGTCAGGGAGGAGCGTTTCTTATTTCCGGTTTGACGATTCAAGAGGCGCACAGATGTATTTCGGGAGACAATAAAGAGAGGAGCCCCTGGTCGGTCGCTTTCAGCGTGTAACTTGGATGCCAGAGTACGGGGAAAAGGAAACTGGAGGATGCATCAGGTTTTACGCGGGGGACTGGATGCCGCGCTCGAATACCCGGTTCAAGCTGCGGGATGGCTGTGAGGAAGTGCTATTTTAGCTAGGCTCTCAGCAACAAGCTGTTTGCTGTATATAATATATCGGGAGACCCCAATTGCCTCATCTGAGGACCAACCCTACCAGGCCCAGTCAAGAAGTCACTTTAAAAGTTCAGAGTTGCCACCATTTTCCTTGTTGTTATTCCTGTTGTTGCTGTATGCGAACGTCTTTATCGTAGTCATCAGCGTTCATTCTGAGTGCTTCACTCCAGATGCTTGCTTCTGTAACTCACCTCTTCTTCAAGTCATCGAGAGCTCATCTAAGCATTCCCTCCTTTGGATATCATTTCCCGCCCAGGCCATGAATATTCCAAGATATATACTAGGTATTGAATAGGTGTGTAGTAGCTCAAAACGCTAACGGACGTCGGTCTACAGATACCTAGGCTAGGTAGATCAAATAACACAAGTCTCGCGCCATACTGTCGTCACAAAACGTCCAACCGGACCGTCAGCTCTGCTTAGAAATCCCCCCGGTTTTTCGCACTCAGCGCCGGTCCGGGGGCCTTGCCGCGCGGTTGTCCCGTCATTCAGCAAATTCGGCGGGGATCGGGGGAACCGGGTAGAGTGAGGTGCGCTTCACGTGACCTTGTACGTCATCCACCGGCCGCCCGCCCGCGCAGAGAGAGCTCCCTTCCGACTCGGATGCAAATCACCCAAGCTCCCGTCTCTCCGCCTGTTCCTGAGTCGAGCACTTTTTCACCCCGACAAACTCCAGATCTCTCAATTGACTTTGAATATCGCCAATTGATCCCTCAAAATGTTCGCACGATCCGCCCTCCGGGCTGCGCAGCCCCTCAAGATGGTGAGTTTCGTCATTCGTGCTTTCTTGCGATTTGGGGGTTTCCCCCCGCCGTGAAAACGGGCGGGACGGATGGACGGATGTTTTGGTGGCTTCGCATTGGACATCATCACACCACGCGCGCCCTCCACCCTACAGACCAAAAACAACCGAAGCTAACCAGAACCCCTCTTCCCCGCGACACAGCAAGCCCGCCGCTTCGCGACCGAGCCCGCAAAGGCCTCCTCCAACACGGCCCTCTACGCCGGCGCGGCGGCCGCCGTCGCCGGTGGTGCGTACTACTTCCTCTCGGGCTCCGGCGCCCCCGCCGCGGCGGTGCAGAAGGCCGAGGCCGCCGTGGGCGTCGCGCCCAAGAAGGCCCTGACGGGAGGCGACCAGGGTTTCGTCTCGCTCCAGCTCGAGGCCGTCGAGAACGTCAACCACAACACCAAGAAGTTCCGCTTCAAGCTGCCCGAGGACGACATGGTTTCGGGACTCAACGTCGCCAGCGCCCTCCTGACGAAGTACAAGGGTCCCGAGGACGAGAAGGCTACGTTGAGGCCTTACACCCCCATCTCTGACGAGGGTGAGTACCTTTTTCTTCGTTTCTTTTGGGTTCTCACGAATAGTGACGATCGGTTGATGAGGATGAGACTAACACGCCGAACAACAGACGCCAAGGGCTACCTCGACCTCCTCGTCAAGAAGTACCCCAACGGCCCCATGTCGACGCACATGCACGACATGACGCCCGGCCAGCGCCTCGACTTCAAGGGCCCGCTGCCCAAGTACCCCTGGTCCGCCAACAAGCACGAGCACATCGCCCTCGTCGCCGGCGGCACCGGCATCACCCCGATGTACCAGCTCGCGCGCGCCATCTTCAGCAACCCGGACGACAAGACCAAGGTCACGCTCGTCTTCGGCAACGTCACCGAGGCCGACATCCTGCTCAAGAAGGAGTTCGCCGAGCTCGAGAACACGTACCCCCAGCGCTTCCGCGCCTTCTACGTCCTCGACGACCCCCCCAAGGAGTGGGCCGGCAACAAGGGCTACATCAGCAAGGAGCTGCTCAAGCAGGTGCTCCCCGAGCCCAAGAACGAGAACATCAAGGTCTTCGTCTGCGGCCCGCCCGGCCTGATGAACGCCGTCTCCGGGAACAAGAAGAGCCCCAAGGACCAGGGCGAGCTCGTCGGTATCCTGAAGGAGCTGGGATACAAGCCCGACCAGGTTTACAAGTTCTAGACGGTTTCAGACTTTGGGGAGTTGAAGAGGAGGAATGTGCTGTACGAATAGCAAGGCGATAGAAGCATAGATCTTTATTCAGCCTGTTCATGACCGCCTATATTGGAAGGGTGTTGCGCGTGCGTCTCAATACTCCTGTTTCCTTACATATGCTCCGATGCGTGTTGTTTGCTATATCCACGTGAAGATGAACGTGAACATTCACAAAAGCAGCAGTTCACCTGTGAGGATGGCGCTAGTCATTTGAGTGCGTGGCTATGCTATCGAGTATCATACAACACATTCGATCCTACAATATCTCGGAAATTCAAACTAGATGAGAGTTTCAGGTCTGCATGACATGAACACAACTCGACTTTAGATGCTCTTGGTCGCAGAGGCAACGCACTCGTTAACGATGCCGGACCACTTGAGGGCGTTGACATAGTCCTTGGCGTCGATGCTCTCCTGGAGACCGGGGTAAACGGCTGTTTTGCGGCGTTAGCATGCTTTTCTTTTCTGAATCACAAACGACGTAACCGGGAGAACGGGGGGAAGTAAGACTCACCTCCAGCATAGCCGGTCCACAGACCGGGCGCGAAAACGACGTGCTTGAACCAGCTGCGGCTGTCCAGGCCGCCGGGGTAGAGGAAGTTGCGCTCAAAGTTCTTGTAGCTCCTGTTGACGCGGACGAAGGCGAGGCCGAGCTTGACCTTGCGGATGATGTTCCACCAGGGGATGTCGGACTTGAGCTCGTAGTCGACCCAGCCGGCGGTGGCGTCGAGCTCGACGGACTTCTCGCGGAGGGCGGCGATGGAGGTGCGCAGGACCTGCAGGGAGGCGCGGAACTGCGAGGGCGAGCCCGTGGCCTCGGCGTCGGGGACGGCGACGCTGGCGCGCAGCCTGAAGAGCTCCTCGTCGGAGGCGGGTTCCGCGGCGGCGGCGAGCTTGGCCTCGACCTGGTCGACGTAGGCGTCGAGGGCGTCGGCGTAGTCGGTGGCGTTGAAGCGGATGACGGGGACGTTGGAGAGCTCGGCGACGACGAGGCCGAGGATCTGGGCCATGGTGCGGTGGTAGACGAAGCCGGGGTCGCCGAAGGTCTCCATCCAGTGGAAGGAGTCGTAGTTGGAGTGGTACTGGTAGACGGCCTCGTCGTTCTCGCCGCCGAAGCCCATGTCGATGGAGGGGATGCCGGCGTAGTCCTGGAAGGCGGTGAAGTCGGAGCCGGAACCCATGGTACTGATGCGGCCGTTCCAGACGTCGCCGACGGTCTGGCCGGGGACGGTCTGGTTGGGGGAGGGGACGAGGTGGGTGACGTCGCGGAGGACGCGGTGGAGGAGGGGCGCGGCGGAGGAGCTGAAGTGGGGGCCCCGGACGCCGACGTCGACGTTGACGTAGGCGACGGTGGCCTGGGAGAGCCAGGGGAGGTACTCCTCGACCCACTCGGTGCTGCCGATGAGGGAGTACTCCTCGCCGTCCCAGGAGGCGAAGACGATGGTGCGGGTGGGCTTCCAGCCGGAGGCGACGGCGACGCCGACGCCGCGGATGACCTCGTTCAGGACGGAGGAGCCGCTGTTGGGGTCGCCGGCGCCGCCGGCGATCCAGGCGTCGCGGTGGTTGCCGACGACGACGACCTCGTTGGGGATGGTGCCGTTGACGATGCCGATGACGTTCCAGAGCGGGGTCGTGGTGTAGTTTTGCTCGTTGTAGAGGTTGAGGACGACGTTGTCGGGGCTGGGGCCGATGTTGTAGTCGACGCCCTTGTAAGAGAGTCCGAGGTTGCGGTTCCAGTACTTGTTGAAGTCCTTGATGGATGGGCCGTGGCCGTTCAAGGCCTTCAGGATGGGGATGGCATCGGCGTAGGAGATGGGGATGGACGGGATGGAAGGAGTGGCGTCGTCGACAGGGGCACGGGGGGCGCCGGGCTTGGAGGGGTAGCCGGGAGTCGAGGGGTCGCCGGGCCGCACGCTCAGGAACTGGGCGCTTCCGCGCTGGACGGCGCTCGGGTGGCGAGCGGGGCCGTTGGGGTAGGCCTCGTAGCCGTTCTCCTCGGTAACCTTGCCGTCGTCACCGGGATCGCTGTACAGCAGGGCACCGATCATGCCGAGCTCCTGCGCACGCTTGACCTTAAGGCCGCGGAAGATGCCGCCATACTTTGCGATGGCGATCTTGCCCTCGAGGCTGACGTTGGCCTTGACGAGGTCCTCGTAGTCCTGGTACGTGCCGTAGTTGACGAAGACGAAGGAGCCGGTCACGTTGCCCGACGCGGAATAGCCGTGGAAGGTGGGCACACGGTTGGGCAGGCCGGAGGAGGGGTCTTCTTCGAGAACGTCCTCCTCGAGGGCGGCCTTGAACTCGACCTTCCAGTCAGATGCTTCCTCATCCTTGGACTTGGACAGCAATGAGAGGCTGTGGTCGACGGGGTAGTTGAGGTAGACATCGTAGGAGACGATCTCAGACTGAACGCCCCACGATTCCCACTTCTCCTTGGTCCACAGAGCCTGTATAACACAGTGAGTTACTGAGAGGTTATCATAATGGAATGAGACCTACCTGTGAGTAGTTTTGGCCTGCCAGATGAGGGCCGGCAGTGTAGTACCTGCTCCACTCCTCGGCCTTCTCAGATGAAGGCACCTCAAACAGGATCTTCTGAACCTCCTCGTGTGTAATCGGCGCACGGTTCAAGCTGCTGGATAAGGACCAGCCATGGTGGTGGTGATGATGGTGACGAGGCGGGTCGTCGACGAAGAGCGCAACTACGAAGAATATGGACCAGAAGATGAGCATAGATGAGAGCGCAATCGTGCAAAATCTCCGGACCACATTGTTCTGGTAACGAGGGCGCGGCGCACCAACGTACACGTTGGTGATCAGCGGCGTCCGCTCATGAGCCATTTTGTCGGAGTAGCGCTTTCTGTGACTGATGTCAGCCGATTCTGGGCAACATGAGGCCGAGGAGAAAGAGAGGGAATAGGCATGATGAGACGCGGGTGCACGTGTGGCTGAGGTGACGACGGAACTACCTGGGTGCGCCCGGTTGCATCATCGCGCGCCAGCCACACTAGCTTCAGGCACCAGAGGGAGCTGGAGCTATCTCTCACGTCGCACGAGGACCTGGGAAGGCTGAGTGACTTACTCTCGTGCCATTTTGCCAATGCACAGAAAACCGTCACCGAAAAGTTGCAATTATCTCTGCGCCTTTTGCCAGAGGTGTCGTTGAAACAGAGTTGAAGTTGACGAAGGCATTGCGTGCTTCGTCGATGTTATCAGCGTCAATGGGCAACCGTTTTGCCGATCGGCTGCCGCCGCCTGCCCACAGACGCAGACCTGATTGCGTACGGCCCGGCACCAGCTGGGAGCGCTTGGCCTCCTTCCTCTTTCGGGGCGACAGGCGAAGCGACCTGCGGGGAGGGGATTTTGCGGGTCATCGGCGGTCCGGTGCCGATTCTTGAGCCGGCGACTGGAGATAACAGTCCTCTTCCACACATCCGTTCGGCCCAGTTTATCCTGTCTGCTTATCTTGCGAGACACGGCCTCAAAACCCATCCCGTGACGGCGCATCGACCGTCTTACTGCGCGCGATCCAAAGGCTAGATGACAGAGGGCCGTGATTAGACGCACCCCAGAAAGGCTGAACTCGATCCATCGTCATCGCAGATAGATGGTGCTACATCATCCGGTCTTAGCCTTCGTTTAGGGGAACGCCTTTGCCGCCCTGCCCGAGTCAACAGAGTCGCACACCAGAGACATGCCCTTCGTCTCCTGACTGGATGCGTCGGCCAGCACCCGGTGATCACGCAATTGATTGGGTGGACTCTTTTCCAGTGAATTTTTTCTTCCCTGTCCGCTTCCTGGCAACCACCACTCTCCGGTCCTGAGTCTCTCTCACGAAACGTGCGAAATCGACTCTCTCGTATGGGCGGTGAGAATGTCTTTCTTCAGTGACACCGAAGCAGACAGCACATGTCTTGAGGGATTCGCATGTTCAGATTCATGCCGATGTTGCGTTGGCCATCCGAGCGAAAGGGTATTCCCTGTGCACCCAATGGGCCCGTGAAGATTATTCAGCAACACTTGAAATGTCCAGCTGCTCAGTTCCTCCTGCAAGCCACCCCGACGTTCGGCCCCGGCTTCGGCGAAGTCGGCCAGTCGCCGCCGGGAAAAGAGGCCCCCCACATGGGAAAGCTGGACGTCATGGCAGCCCGCGGTGCAACTTTTCTTCATCCAAAAATCAGTTTGCCTTTGAGGCGCACCACCACCCGGTCTACAGCGAGGACCCCTGCCGTTTCCTGCACACCCTCACCGACTCCAACGACCAAAAGTTTCTGCCGACAACGGACCTGACGCCGTAAAGCAAGCTGCAACACTGTCTGTCACTCGCAGTAAGGTAGGCGGAGGAGCACCACCAATCCCTCCACCTCCAACACATCCTGATGGCCCTTGTCGCAGTCCCGTCGCGCATCTCCCGACCGCCCGTACCCGCACCGCAAAAAAGCCTCGACCGGCCGGGCCAGCAGCAGCAGGGAAGCCATGATGATGGTGTCGGACGCATTGCCATTGCTGCGGCCAACTGGCAACAACACAGGGCACCGCGCAAGCCGAACCAGCGTCCCCTACAACTCAACTCGTCCAGCACCCAAAACGTATCTGGCCTGTTCATATCCGAGACACTCGATGCCCACGGTCATCCCATCTTCTGTCAACCGCAGCAATGCATATCGACTTACTTCCCTCGCGGTTCGCGCTCACCAACTCCGTCATCGAGCACGCCGTTGACAGTGGCGCTGATGCGCTAAGATAATCAACCTACACATGAAGATACTTGTTAGTGATAGTGAGCGCCAAGTGAGGGTACGGTACGGCAAGGTAGGCGGGAATGCCCACCTCCAGCCGGCCCTCTCAGCTAGCAACTAATCCCCGGGAGGCGAGGCGAGAGGCCGTTCCCCGGGGCCCGCCCCAAGATATCGCCCCTCCACGGATACATGACAAAACTCGTACCAAATCGCACACCCTTTTCCCAGCCAGTAATCGCCTCTGAATGGAATACTTCCCGTCAGCAGCATGGGCGGGGATCGGCGCTGAGGAAAAATCTAATGGTCGAGTCTCCTTCCTGCCCGCTTCCCACACTCCCTCACGGGGCTCGAAAGCTGCAGGAAAGCTGGAAGCTGGGGTGGGCGGATGACTGCGGATACATGAAATACATTACCCACGCTATTCCCTGTCCGGCGCAGTGCAGCCGCGAGCCTGCAGACAAGGACAAGACTACGGTAAGACTGGGGAGTGGATCTTTGCCGTTGGGTCTGTTATTTTTTGTTTGCGCTTGACGAACCGTCTTTTCCATCTCTTCTTGTGACTCCCCTCTCTCCAACTCTTTTTTTCTGCTTTTTAAAAGCGTTGGCTTTCCTCGGCTGCTTGCGTCTGCCATTTTTCTCTTTTCCCGGCCTCGCAAATTGTAGACAGAAGAAGACTGCTACGTCACCAAGGATCCAGCGCCGAGCTTGAGTTACCTACCATCCGGGTCGATCACTTATTGCTCAAGGACTCCAACCCGCGACTTCCATCCTTGCGACTTTCGTGTGAATTCTCTCCGCACCGAGTCTTTCAAGACCGTTGACCCTTAATTCGAATTCGAAGATGGCGAAATCAGCAAAGCCAAAGTTGCCCTCGAAGCAACTGGCCATTCTGGGTAAGAAACCCCCGGCTTTTCAACACTTGTCACTGCGATTGAATGTCTTTAACTGCCCCAACTCTGCGCGCGCAGTCAGTCGGTGCCAGGCAAGTGCCTACAGTCAGAACAACGGGCACAACACGGCGTCGGGAGCTCTGAAGTAGATTTGGTGGACTGCTTTGGCTGGAATCAAGAGGGAACGGACGGTTGGATATTTCGCATCATGTCGCCCGCGGCCGCCTGTCCTTAGCCAAAACATACTGTCCCCTCAGCCTACATTCGAAATGCGACGCATGGAACTGGTCCTGATCTTCCGAGCTGCCTGATCAATGTGAACCACCACGTGGACCTCGTCGACTACATTCCCAAGCCCAAGGCGGTTGGAGAAGACGTTGAAATCGCCAATGCGCCTGCGCGCGACATCACATGCATCACGAAACCTTCGTTCGAGGTATCTTTCAACCTTGTCCTTGGCTGTTTGGCTAACATAATCACAGCCATTGCTCGATTCGCCGAACCCCTCGCCCTGACCTCCGTCTTTCCATACCTGCCAGAAATGATCAAGAGTTTCGGTATCGAGCAGAATGAGGTCGCGAAATGGGCCGGTATCACATCCGCCGTCTTCTCGTTAGCCCAGAGCGTCACCGCGGTGCCGTGGGGCAGGGCGTCCGATCGCTTTGGAAGGAAACCGACAATTATCACCGGCCTCGTTTCTACCATGATTCTCTTCGTCGTCTGGGGCATGTCCACCAGTTTGCCGATGGCCATCACCGTGCGAGCTATTATGGGAGGCGGCAACGGAAATGGTGAGTGTATCTCGCCGCGCAAATGCCGCCAAGCTGCTAATATCATCCCTCAGTCGGAATCATTCGTACAATGGTCGCGGAAATGGTCACCGAGAAGGAACTCCAACCGCGCGCGTTCTCAATTATGCCCCTCGTCTGGTCCGTCGGCAGCATTTTCGGCCCAGCCTTCGGAGGCTTCTTCGCCAAACCTGCCGACCGCTTCCCCTCCGTCTTCGGCGACAGCTGGTACTTCACGGCCTACCCCTTCGCCCTCCCGAACCTCCTTGCCGCCGTCTTCTTCCTCGTCTCGGTAGCGACCGCCACCTTCTTCCTCAAGGAGACCCTCGAGAGCAAACGCCACAAGCCCGACTGGGGTCTGCTCATGGGTGAGCGTCTGACGCGGCCGTTCAGACGCTCCCGCTCCCGCCGACATGCCAACACTCGCGCCCGCCGCGCATCCTTCGTCGATGGCGAGGCCACGGCCCCACTCGTCCCGACGAGCCTCAAGCCTCCCGCTCATGCGCTCGAGGACAACAAGCAGCCCCTCGAGGCGCCCAGCATGAAGGAGGTCTTCACGGCGCAGACAACTATCAACTTGCTCTGCTACACCTTCCTCGCGCTGCACTCCGTGGCGTTTGACCAGGTTCTGCCGGTCTTCCTCAACTACCCCAAGCAAGAGCACACTTCAGAGAACACGCACCTCCCGTTCCAGTTCTCCGGCGGCTTCGGTCTCGGATCAGACCGCATCGGCACCATCTTCACCATCTACGGCATCACCTGCGGCGTCATTCAGTTCTTCGTCTTCCCCCCTCTGTGCAACTACTTCGGAACTCTGCGCTGCTTCCGCGCATGCGGTACGTTCATTCCCCCAAATCTACAATCCACCACCAGCTAACACGCTCCCAGCCCTGACCTTCCCCGTCGTCTACCTCCTGACCCCGTACACCGTCCTCTTCGAATCCAACGCCGGCCGGTACGCCGCCCTGATGGTCGTCATGTTCGTCAAGGCCTTCGCCGTCATCATCGGCTTCCCCTGCATGACCATCCTCCTCACCAACTCGGCCTCCTCCCTCCGCATCCTCGGCACCCTCAACGGCTTCGCCACCATGTTCTCCGGCTTCGGCCGCGCCTTCGGGCCCGCCGCCGCCGGCGCCGCCTTCTCCTGGGGCGTCGGCAAGGGCTACATCATCGCCGCGTACTGGTTCCTCGCCCTCACCGCCGTCATCGGCGCCGTGCCCATCTACATGCTCGTCGACAACGACGCGCTGACGCAGTCGCCCGACGCGAGCGACGACGACGACGAGGACGAGGACGACAGCGAGACGACGACCAGCGAGAGCAGCGGCGAGGCCTCGGGCAGCGGGCGGAGCGGGAGCGAGAGCGAGACGGAGCCTCTGCTTGCCAGGAACGGGGCCGCGGCGGGGTACGACGCCGTGTCGTCGTCGCGTTCGTAAGATGAGTTGGATGATTCGACTGGTGTGGTATAAGCGGTTTCTGTGAGCGATGCTGCTACTTTTCGAAACGATTGATATGAGATACGGCCGGCCATGTTAATGATCTGTTATCGGGTCATTCGTCGTATCGTTTAGGTTTTTGAGCTGTGTGGTTTTTCCGGCATCAAGTTTGTTACCTCGGACTCGAAACGTCCGTCATTGCAGGCGCTCAGCATCTCGGGATTCTTTGTTCGCCGGTTTAAGGTTCTCATCATGGGTCATCAAAAGCATTTGTTATTTTTGGCGGGCATATATGCATATACACATACACGAGTGTAGCAGGTAGATGCGTGCGGTTCTGGCTGCTTAATATCACAAACATCTTGTCTAAAATACGTGTTGCGGGGTATGTTTCTCGCGCGATTTCAGAATCCATAAGTAACGTCCCTCAAGTCAATATGACTTTCGTCTTGAGGAGCCGAGAAGATGAAACTGATTCAACCTCGATTTACTACAGTTGGCGAAAGTCAAGGACTCCATCTAGTCCGTCTCATACCGGAATCTACTTTCGACGTCTCTGAAATATGCAGGATGCGTAACACAACTAAGCCGAACTTATAAAGGCCATCTGCGGAGGCTTACGGGTGCTGCGGCAACTTTAGGATCAACATGTCCCAGCGGTTGTTGGACTCCCACTTCGTCATCACTAGAAGTCGATACGTACTTCCCGAACTACGGAACAGTTCACGATAGCAGCGCTCGTGCAGTTCCTCGACGATTTCCATCGCGGCTGACCTGTTCGTCCTTTGTCTGTTGCGATAACAGTCATGGCGGCGACGCGGGCTGGCTCGTCAGCCAGTTGGGAGCGGGATTGTCGGCAGTTTCCACGTCACGTCCAGAGATGTGCTGCCCAAATTGTGTTGGGTTCGATATTGAGATGTTCCGGACTGGTATTCTGGGTGATATGACATCGGTCATTACTCTGTTGGGTAGGACGTAGAGAAACGGGTGGGATTGCGGGTTCATTGAGACTAAATGGAAGTACTGGTATTTGAGATGGAAGAGCGGCGTTCAAGGGAAACAAGGACAAAGGCAGTTGTGGTAAGGGGTCTGGGGATATTTAAATACCATGGAGGAGTTCATCAAAGACGGCATCGCTTCCATGGGTAATTAATGTGGGAAGCATCCTTTGACGAGTCTGCTGAGCTTGTAGGAAACCACAAAAGCCGCCTCTGTCACTGTGCTTGACAATCACCGTCACCCAGCCAGTCTTGCTGACTCACCATTGAAGCTGCGTCGAAAGATCCGTTTTACCACTGCAGAGTAGACGACTGGCGCGTCTCGCTAAGATTGGTTCCTGAGATGTGTGAAGAGGAAGGCGACGGGCTCAGAGCTTGAATTAACCCATAACTCTGAAGCAATGACCAAAAGGAGTTGACGGACAAGCCAGGAAGACAGAGGATCAAGGTCTCATAATACAAGCATTGTGTACCCACGACAGCAACTTGCGACTGAAAGGTCTGTCGATTTCAGGAAGAGCTATCTTGGCCGCGATCAGACATCCTGGACGGACAAGTTTTAATCTCATCCATAGGGCAGACACTTGAGGTATCTCAGACTGCTTTCACCTTGAGAGGCGTTTTTCTTTTGGACCCACCAAGCTTCTTTCAAGATGGCCTTTTCGCGTACTCCAGTGTCAACACACTTCCACCGCGACCCGGGAGCCCCAACCACAACAAAGGCATCGCCCACCTTGACGGCTTCCTTTCATCCCACGCGCGAAAGGTCTATAGCAAACGTAACAACCTTCCCTCCCATCGGGGTGGGAGATACGTCGGACACTTGGCCAAGTGGTTGAGCGTCTGGCAGTAGCCTGCCGGAGTCTACCCAAAGTCCATAGCGCCGTTGCTCCCGCTCCCTGGCCGTATTTATCACATCTCGCAATATTTATCTTCTGACATCTCTATTATTTTGCCAATTTGGATTTATGATTTTTTAACTTTTTACTTTTCCCTTTTTCCCTTTTCCCGCTATTGCTTTTGCGTTGTTGCGGGAGAGAGATTTGAAGCTGGAAATGTTGGTGCAAGTGGTAGATGATATCGTGGGGTTGATGGTTCGAGTCTCATGGCAGTCACCCTTTTTGCCATTTTTTCTTTTCTTTTGCATCTACAGTAACAACACCCCTTTGTCTCTCCTTCTTCTCACAACGTCAGCCCCAAACAACACAATAGACGCCTTCGTCTTTGCCAGCTTACAACACCCCTTACCTAGCCGCAAACCATGTGACTTCGCGCCAGTCTCGCTCCAAGCGGCACCGGTTCCGCCCCCCAGCTTGCCCCGCACTCCGGTCCCCTGGCCGTGACTCACTGTCAATGTAACGACTACAACGGCCGAAGTGCCTAATGCGTGCAATAGCGCGTTCTACTTTTTTTTGCACCTTATCTGCTTATATCCTTGGTAAGGAAAAAGAGATACGCCAGGGTCATAGGTCGTCGTTTGGCGCTTCCAATGCATGTGCGTGTGTCATGTGGTCGAAGGAGTACGGCGGGGGTCATTGGCTTATAAGGAGCGGGAGGTTCCCGCCGCATCCCGCCGTTTCGGGATGCTCTTTTCTCTTTGTTCCTGCTTACTACGCAACCCCGGACAACACCAACTTCCTTCGAGGTCTCGTGCTTTTACGATCCCATCGTCCTTTTTTTTTCTTTTCGTCAAATTGAAATCATATCACGTCAATTACGGAACGGTCCGGGAAAAAAAGTCAACCGAAGTTTGGGGTCTCTCTTATCTCGATAACCCCCGCCCCCCTCCCGCCTCCCCCACGCTTACACTTTCTGACGTCACAAGATGGACGCGCGATGCCAGTGCGGCGCGGTGAAGTTCAAGACGCCGCTCCCGAAGCCGTTGCGGCTGTACATCTGCCACTGCGACGAGTGTAAGCGGCAGACCGGGTCGGCGTTCGGGACGTCGGCGATTTTCCCAAAGTTCAAGATCCCGCCCGCCGAGTTGCTGGGCGTCTACGCGTGAGTTGTAACCGGTGATTGGAGGGTGCTTGTGACGTTGATGAGACAGGGTGAGAGGATGAGAGTGTTGTGGACGTGTGTGTGATGGGAGTGCGGTGCGATGGGGTGGAGGTGAGAGGTGCAGATGATGAAGAGAAGAATGTGATGGAGATGGAATGCTGACTGGACTGACAGGAGGCCGACTGCTTCGGGAGTAACTCTTCACTGGTGAGTTCGAGAGATAGGCGTGCGTCGAAGAGGACGGATGTGCTGATGAGTGACTCAGCTACTTCTGCCGCAACTGCGGGACCAGGTTGATCCACAGCACGCCGGTAGGTCTCATCTCATCCCCGGCGCGAATGTTGAACAAGCCGGGAGGTCTAAACACCAGCACAGGATAAAAACGTCGTCTCGGTCAAGGGCGGCTGCATTGACGGCCTCGACTGGAAGACGGCGGTGCACATCTGGACCAAGAACGCCATGGTCCCCATCCCGGAGGGAGCCGAGACCCACCCGGAGGAGGCCGATTACACCGACTACGGGGATTCGCAGGAGTCGCTGGATCAGCCGACGGACCTCCGCGGGAACGGCGGGTGCACCGGGGCCGTGAAGCCGGTAATCAGGGCGGCTTGCGATATCAGCCCCAGCAGCTCTCTGCAGTAACTCTTGTGCGACTGGTTTGGTGTTGGTACAGGGCTTGAGAGTGGTTATGACGGGATCTCAAACCGTGTCTTCTCTCATGTATGCGCTACTTATTCCACTCATGGGCCTGGGCTGGCGTAAAAATTTGGTATTATTTCGGAAAGTTGTATCGGCTGCGAGGTAATCTCAACACAGTGGATATAAACATCTAGAATAGCAACATGATTCCTCTCTTCAACTCCTCAATTACCCGAACGACATCACGAACGCTGACCGACCAGGCTCTCCTCACCGCTCGGTCTACCAGCAGGCTTGGAAACGTCCTCGTGCCGGTGCTCGCCCTGCTCGGCCCTGGTCGCGGCATCAGAGTGCTTCGCCGGATCAAAGACGTACATGGGGAACTCGAGGAAGATGGTCCTCTTCAAGATCGTCGGCATGCGGACGTAGAGCTGCGGCGGGAACGGGATGAGGATGCTGGTGCGGTCGAGGTAGCGCTTGTAGCCCTCCCAGTTCTGGCCCTTTTCGTAACGCTTCTTGGCGCCGGGGCGCTCCTGCAGAGTCAGGCCCGAGACGAACATCAGGAGCAACGTGAGGAAGAACGGCCCGAGGATGGTGGCGTAGAGAGCCTTGAAGGCTTGGCCGCCCACGTAACCGTCCGCGGCGGAGGAGACGGCGATCATGTAAATGCCTTGGCTCGGGTGTCAGTTTTGAGTTTCCTTTTCTCCGGGGGTGTTTTGAGAGGCACGCCAAGTGACTGAGGCCCGATGGGGTCCGTATCACTTGGCACCGCAGGAAAAGACACTCTGGAACGGGCGGCGGCGGAGGACTTACCGAACTGGATGATGATCTCGCCAAAGTAATTCGGGTGCCGCGAGACCTTGAAGAAGCCCTTGTCGCAGATGGCCTCGCGTTCCGGGTGGTCCCTCCGGAACGCGTACTTTTGCGCGTCGCTCACGGCCTCCATGGCGAACCCCACGACGAAGAAGATGACGCCGACGACGTCCCTGCCCGTGCCGAAGGCGTGCTGGGGGTACATGGTGACGTTGGGCGAGTTGAGGACGGTGACGGGCAGCGAGACGGTCCAGACCCAGATCATCTGGAAGATCCAGAAGCCGAGGAAGGGGAAGAACTTGTCGCGCTTGTCGTCGAAGCGGTCGTCCTTGCCGGTCTTGATGATGCGGAAGAGCAGGAAGCCCGAGAGGCGGGCGGCCCAGAGCATGATGAAGATGGAGGCGACGACCTGGCGCGCATGGTGGTGGCCGCTGAGCGCGAGGGTGATGATGGCGAGGAGGACGAAGTTTGTGCCGCCGGCGAAGTCTGTAGGGGGTGTTAGTTGGTGAAGATCGTGAAGGGACTCATGAGACTGCGTCTGAGGTGCGACGTGGCTCTTACCGGTGAGCTTGTCGAACTTGAAGCTGAACGCTATTGAGAAGAAGAGGAGTTGGTATGCTATCGTGATCAGGGCCGTGATGGCCAGATAGTAGTCGTCGAGAACATGTACCGTCGCCATGGTGAGCGACTTTCCTTTCCTTCTCTTCTCACCACCGTGTTTGTTTGTGTTTTGGCTGGATCGTAGTTCAGAACCTGAGACGCTTTGATAAGATGTTGAAACACTGAGTCGAAGACCGCTGGTAAGTCACTATGAATTAGATATTACTGAGTAGTTGTCACTGAACAGCATTCGATCTCAAAAATGCTGTTATAGATTTTCATATATGATATTTGGAAGTCATGGAAAAATTGACCGAGTCCGGAGTCGTGATCACTTGTCGCATAGCCTGCCTCATTGTTGATTACAGAAAAGAGGTTGCACTGTCGTCATTGACTTGTTAGGCCCACCGAGTTGGGGTCAGATCGCAGAGGCCGATGTATCGATGTAGGCCAAATTATATGATGGTGGTACATCTTGCGATTCCATCGATCGGAGGTTCGAGAGTTCCGAGGGCCGCTCTGGAGAGCCACAGCTCACCAGCCACGAATGAGGGCGGGATTGTGGATCAACGCCTCACAAAATCTGCCCAGACCCGTGCTCCACTAAATTGAGTGAAACGAACGAGACTGGCAGTCCCGTCTCCCGATCATGACATCCCTATCCTTGGGCTTAATCGCAACGACCTATTGAAGCGAGAACGGGGTGGTGGTCTCACTCTGTCTTGGATTCCCTTTCTTCAATGCAGGGCGGTGCACCTCGGGACTTCGGAGACCTGCGACAGAAGAGAAGCCGCTGACCGTAGATTTCCTCATCTATCCACGGCGGTTCTGGACACCCGCGGACCAACGGACTCACCTCACCCACGGCGTCGGGACACTTTCAACCCAATGCCAATGCAGCAATGCTATTGATTCTCACGATGCGCTATCGCCGTGGTCTGCATGCCATCGTCTGCCTTACATACAACGGGCACCAAGCACACCCGGGTCCTCCCTCTGGCCCGTGACCGTGGCTTGCCGCATCGTCCTACGAAGCAGACAGCACGACTGGACGAGATCTTCAAAAGCAGAGACATCGTCAAACGCGCCCTCGCCTGGACGACGATGTTTGACCCGTCCTTCTCCAGCCACTTGAGGCGAGTCCCCTACGAAGCGAGTGTTTTCGGACTTTGGACGACGGAGGTCGTCTTAATGCTGCTTGTCCGATTCTCTTACACCTAAACCACGACGGGCTGGGGCCTACGCAATCGCAACGTGCTGGCGACACCTCCTGTCTCGACGATGGGCTCATTGGCTGCTGTGAAGGGACGACTTTCCTTCCTCTTTTCCCCTCTGCGGGCTGCAAAGATGGGATGAGACCGAATACATCCGCACAACATCAGTGCTTGGTCTGAGAAAAGTCCCGCATGGTTTCGCGAGGTCGAGCACACCGTCGAGCGGCCGCTCTTCTCTAGGCTGGGACCGACACTGGAGGATCCATCTGATTACTACATCATGATAGATCCTCACGTGGGTGCTGTCGCACAAACCACCCCGTTTGTTCCCGTTACGTGCTGACTACTACCCTTCTCACGCAGACACACAGATGATGTTATGGGTTTTGGGGGCCATGTGGTGTGGATGTTGTGTGCGGTCGATCTCCCATGCCCACCGCCCACGATTCGCATCGCTAACAATAGGCGACCTTCTCTGGTTCCGGATCCTCTGGGGAAACGGCATCAGAGTTTTCAATGTTCCTTGCGTATTTCGCTCTCTGGTTTCTTTTTTTATACTCACTACTGCGATGCCGTGAGTCAAAGGCAGCAGTTCGCAGATGATGCTGGAGGCAAAAGATGCTGATGGTTGCGAGCTGGGATTCGAGAAAAGTGTAAATATCTTCCGTCACCCGTCCCGTCGGAAACAAGTTTCCCTTGAAGGCTTCAAGCTTCAGCTGATTGACGATTTGGAGGGGTATGAGACGGGGAGACACTGACAAAGTGAAGGAATAGGAACACCAAGGGTCAACGGATTGTAAACAGAGACGATTGGAAGAGAGAGGAGATATCCGTGGACGTCAAATCGAAAAAGCCAGCCTCCCATGAGGAACATCGCATGACTTCCTCTCATCAAACAGCATATCACGTCACGCATCTCAATCCACGGGGATGAGATGCCGTCTTCCCTACTGCGGCATGGCTGCATCTGTGCACTTTTCGGTCTACCTGCCGCCGTAGCGCTTACCTGTCACCGAAGCGTAGCGCCCGAGGAGGAAAGAAAAAAGAAGAAGACCATTCACCAAATTTCTGGCGCTTTCGCAGTTTCGGGGGGTGTGAGGTCGTCGCGGCGCATCATCCCCGTCTCAGACGGTCTCCGTCTGGGGCATGTCTCACACCCATGACAATCAGCCCAAGGTTGTTCCATGCCAAGGGTCGTCGAACCCCACCGACGCTTTCCTTCTCCCGGTCACCATTTCCGATCGAAGCCTGCCAGAGGAAGCCGCAACTGCAGCAGAGATCCAGTCGGTAGGGCTCCCTAGATTTCTTGGCTGCCCTGAACTGCGCAGGCTCTTTAAGCGGGACAACGGCGAAAGAGAATCCACCTTCGTTCCTGACAGAGACATCCCGGTTTCCGCATGTCTTCGCCCCTGTCTCTCGTCAGGAACCGCCTGCCACATTGCAGAGAGGGAGCGGAACGCGGCGCAAGAAAAACGGCAAGTCGTGACTGCTTTCCTGGACCCGGGTCTCGCCCTCGACGAAAGACGGACGCAGATCGTACCAGACCCCCCTCCAACACCGCGGCGATATCCACAACTTGGCCTTGCTTGGCTTCAATTTGGCAACCGGAGCGCCGAAGCCTAAAGAGCCAATCTAGACGCCGCGGCGGCGCAATGGGCTGGGCATTCCTGGGCGAGGATGGTGAGTCGTGCCGGTTCGTGATCCCCTTTTTTATTATCTCGTGATATCTTGCAGAACCGGCTCACTCCACCGAGTTGTGCTTCCTTCTGGTCTCTTTGCCTCGTGTTCACCGTCCGTCCGATCTCTTACTGCCCGTTTGGCTTTCGCTCTTCGAATTCCTCAAAAGTCTGTTTCGCGTGTCAATAGCATAGTATTTCCTAGGTGGGCACACGGGAAAGACGGCATGCCGTGACCCTTTTTTGCGCTCTTTGACCGACGACCATCTCATCTTCTGGTCTCTCACCAAACATCAATCTTCATACGATACACCCTTCACCTCACACCCATACCGATTCCCACGTCCCCCCTGCTCGTGTGTTTGGTCACTCTTGTTCTCCATCCCGCTGCCCTTTCCTGCAGAAAAGAGGTGTCCCCACACACCACCACCACGACCACCACCATACCCTGGGCCTGCTCACACTCATTACTCAAAGGTCTTGGCCGTCCTATCTCTCCTAAACTCTCTAGACAATGTTCTGCAGGTGGCCACCTGCGTGCCCGTAACTTTACTCTCTTCCCACCCTGCTTCCCTTCACCCATCGTAATCGCGAACCGCAAACGAGGTTGGGTGTTGGTTTGTTCGTGTCGAGTGAAGGTTTTACGGACTACTCCACCAAACACACAACACAACTACACGCTCTTTAAACGACAATCTAGGGTTGATCCCACCGAGACTTCACCGACGGCTGGTCTGTTGCGATTCCGCTCTTTGGAAAAAAAAAAAAAAAAAGGAAAACCGATATACACATCGAATCTCACACACGAGAGAAAACATCTGGATCGACCACACATAGAGAAACGCTGGAGACGTCTCACGGTCGCCAGCTTCTCTCACATCCCCGGAGCCCACGATGAGGCAAGGTTTACTCCTCGCCGTGGGAGCTCTATCAACACTCGCTCAGGTGCGTTCGCTCGCCTCGGCCGGGAAACCAGAAGGACGGGAACTCACACCACAGCAGGGCGCGGCAGTCGAGAACAGGGAGGGGAAGTTGCAGGACAGGCAGATCGTCAACATTGAAGGAAATGGCGCGGTGGAGGTCAAGACGGTCAAGGCCGAGAACATCCAGGGTCTGACGGGAGGGAACTCGAATGGCATCCTCGCGGGTATCCTCGACGCCCTGAATGGGGGCAACCGACAGAACAGCGGTGGCCACAGGACGAACAGCGGGCACAGGAACAAGGGCAACAAGAACAACAACTGCCCGGCAGCGCCGCCGCCGCCGCCTCCGATGACGGTTACGAAGACGGTTTTCCAGAATGCCTCGGTGCCCGCCCCTTTGACGGTCTTCGTCACGCAAGCTGCCCCGTACGTCTTGAGTCTGGTTCCGTCTGGTTGAAATGGTGTTTACTAACTAGTCTCTCAGCCCGCCATTGACGGTCATCATGACCCAGAGCTGTCCTCCGCCACCTCCCGCCGCTCCACCACCACCGGCCGCACCGCCTGCCGCACCACCAGTTGCTGTCCCTCCTCCGGCGGCAACACCGCCGACGCCTCCTCCCGTCGCAGCCGGTAAGCCAATCCTCCCGGACTACTACCTTGCCTGTATGAGCATTCACTAACATCAATCTCAGAACCTCCCGCCGCAGCTCCGGCACCCCCAGCAGCGCAACCTCCGCAGGCCCCTGCCGCCTCGGCACCCGCGGCGCTCCCGTTCGTAGGCAACCCCGCCAACGGCAACAACCCGACGACGTCCCTCAACCTGGGCGGCCTCAACGGCGGCAGCAAGCCGAACCCGGCCGGCGGCGCAGCGGCCATCCCCGCCGTCACGGCACCCCCCGTCGCCAACAACCCGGCCGCCCCGCCCAACGGCGCCGTCAGCGGCCTCAACCTCAGCAAGTCCCTCGTCCTCGGCAACCTCCTCCAGCAGACCATCGGGCTCCAGGCCCGCGCGAAGCCCGAGGCCCAGGTCCACGCCGAGGTCATGCCCGCGGACTGGCAGGAGGAGGACGACGCGTAAGGCGGCGGCTTGTGTACGACCGGTCTGAAACGGAAACGATGTGCGGAAAGCGGCATACGAATACCCTAGAAGATCATTTTTCGCGTTTATTGTTGAACTTCGATTCTTGGACAGGGGGAGGAGGAGGGGAGGGAGGTGGTAGTGGTATCTAATGGTATTCCGAAGAGGAGGAAGGTGACCGTGGCATGCTCGGGGAAAGGCGGAAGAGGGACTCGATCAACGACTGTCGCCAGATTATTGGACGAATATCTTCGACCCCCCCGCCCGGCTGCTGCGCGAGCGATTAGGTAATTGGCCGCTCCTCCGTTTTATAACGAGGAGGTTTGCTTGGATTGGGAGCGGCCATACACGACTTTTCACAAAACACACACCCAGCTGTATATAATTCATTTCACTATTTCTGGACACTCAAAAGCACAACTCACACATCCCCGACAACAAAAGCCTTTTGCACACATCATGTCACATCAAATCATATCAGGTACGATAGCGTTGTAGGAAAATGTAGAATGAGCAAGTCTCATAATGCCCATGCTGGCGTGGTGCGTGAAATCCTCGTCCCCGGCCGTCGTGACGCGGTGCAAAGTCTTGGACTGCAGAAGGGGCACTGTCATTGCTTTTGGTTTCTATAGGGGGGTATCATAAGCGTAAACGACCATGCCCGACCAACCCGCACACTAGTTCATGCTGTATTCTCTGACCCTCACGACGCCGCGTTCTCCTTCTTCCTCTCCGCCACCCTCAGCTTCTTCGCCGCCCGCTTGCTCATCGCCGGCTGCGCGCCGTCCCCGGACTCCTCGGGCGTCTTGCGCTTCTGTCCGTTCCCGCCCTTCCCACCATCCTTCTTCCCCTGCTGCTGCGCCGCCGCCGCCGCCTTCCTCTTCGCCTCGTCGCCCTCCCTCCCGCCGACCTCGAGAACGTTCACGACGCCCCTGAACCCGGTCCTCTTGATCCCCTCGTTCACGACCGCGCCGCGCGGGTTGACGCCCAGCGCCTCGGTGCCCCTCTCGCTGCCGAGCCCCCAGACGGCCAGCAGGTTCACGACGTCGGCCGGGGCGCGCAGGCCGAGGGCGCTCCTGGCCTCGCTGCTGACGACGATGCCGCGGCCCTTGGTGGCGCGGACGATGGAGGCGAGGTTGGAGATGAAGCAGGCGCGGGCGCGCTGGTCCGTGCTACCCGCGGAGAGGACCTGGGAGTAGCACACCTCGATGCGGAGGCCGCGGGCGACGGCGGCCATGAGGGGCTTGGGGCGGAAGTGGAAGGGGTAGTGCTGGGTCAGGTCGAGGGAGATGAGGGAGGGCTCGGCCATGGAGAGGCAGGCGTTCTGGAAGGCCTTTTCGGTGGTGGGGCGGACGGCGAGGAGGTCGTAGGCGGCGGCGAGGGCGGGGAGGCGGTAGTTTTGGGAGGGGTCGGAGAGGAGGACCGTCGCGCGGTGGAGGACTGTTGGTTGTTTTGTCGTCGTCGGTTGTTGTGTGGAGGTTGTTGGTGATGGGAATTTCGGGAGGGGGTTCGTTATTTGGGAGGGGATCGGGGGCGTTATTGTGTGGTTGAGGGCCACGACCGAGTAGCCTAGGGAGGAGGCGAAGGATATGGTGCGGTTGAGGTCCTCGCGGGACGTGGAGGGCGTCCACGGGATGTTTAGGTCGTAGAGCATCTTGAAGCTATCGCCAGCTGCGGGAAGAGTCACCGGCGGTTGATCTTTGCATGCGACGAATGCTCGGAGGCGGTGGGTTATCCGATTGGCCTTTCGAAAAATTATGCGATGAGATTGCTCTTTCTGCGTCGCTGGTATGTACTCTCCGAACTGCTGTACAATGCATCGATCGTATCGTTGGTCGCGTGGGTGCTGCTTCTGCGACGCGGGCGCGAAATTTTTCGAAGTCGGAGATCGATTGAGTTGGTTCCGTGGGTCCGGCACGACGGGACGATGGTGGGGGTTGGGTTTGCATGGCGCTAGCGGGTTTAACGCTATTTCGGTAAGGTTTCCTTCCTTTTAGGTGGGCACTGGAAGCCAGCCGCGGCGGGCTGTCAACCACCGTCCGTCCTTCCTTCGACGGCGTCGCACTCGCAGCGGCGGCAAGGACGGGGACGGGAGCATCGGGCTGGAGTGGAGAGGCGGCCGATGGATGATATCACCTCAGTTCGTCATCGGCTGCCTCTCTCAACCTTCTTTTTTCCCCTCGAAAGCCACAATGTTCGTCGTATGCCAATGGCGCAGCTTCCCTTCACGCGGGTTCTGGCCACAGCGTCTGCATTTTTCATTTAGTAGGGCATATCGATCTTAGTAGTTGCATAGGTACACGGATGACCCCGGGGTCTCAGCCGGCCAGGCGATGTGGCAGCTGAGCGACTTCAGCTTTCCAAGCGGGGAGCAGCTTGATTGATGCAGGGAGGGGATAGTTCCCATAATCCCCTAGAATTCCCCTTCTCTGAAGGACGCCTTCGCATAACTCGTCTTCCTGCGATCCGCAAAGCACGCCCCCAATCGCCAAGGTATCAAACCAAGGTCACGAGTCCCCGTTCCAAGAGGCAGATCGAACAAGAATCGCCTCGTTGTTCGGGGTCCGTTTATCTTGCCTCCGAGAGACATGCCGGTTGAACCTCGTGCTGGGAGATTTCGAATGTACCGCCAAGGATGGCTGAGTACATCGTACACGCAAGACCCTTTTTTGTTGCATGGCAATTGGCAGAACCCGTCACACCAACACACAACCACATCCAGCTCGTCGGGGCCGTCAATCAGAATCTCCCGTTCATCCCTCTTCTTCCCCTCTCGCGCCAGTCACATCCCACGAAATTCCTCGCCCTTTAAACTCGAGGTGTGCGCCTGAACAAGCTCGGGCCACCCTCTAAAAAACGTTACCCTTCTCTTCCATTTCACGCCTATCAGAAATCGATTTCTTCTCTGCAGGGCGTGGCAGCTTACATAGTAAACACCCCCCCAGTCGGTCCCCTCCGAACGTCAAGAGCTGCTCCTCCCGTCGTCCAACGCTTCTCCCGTCTTCCATACATACACCTGCCGACCCGACCTGCGACTTCCAAATCCTGCCCACTGCCGGTCGTTTGCGCATCTCGAACTTCATCTTCCGTCCTGAACTCGGTGGCTGCCGGGAAACCTCACCGCTCGAGCCGCGACATCGAACGGCGTTCAATCCGATCAGAGAGCGGGGGAACGAACCTCATCATCAGGCGACTTCTGCACCTGTGCGCGCGCCGCATTCCCGCCCAGACTAAACCGACGAAAAAAAAAAAAACCACCACCGACCTCCGAAAAATGTTCTTCTTCTTCGTGTGCGGCGAGCACACCTTCCGCAAGCCCGTCGAGGGCTACGAGGGCATGGTCTGCCAGTGCTACAACTGCGGCAACATGGCCGGTCACGTCATCAAGAGCCATCCGTGGTTCACCTTCTGCTGGATTGTGAGTCTCAATGTCCCCGGCCTTTCGCATCTGGCGCATTGCAGCTTCAGTCATTGCGCCTCAATCTTCCAACTGCTTTCGAGCTTGTTTAAAGCTGTATTTCCCATGAGATGAGCCCGTTGAAATGAGTGGATTCGGAACTGACATCGCGTCTCACAGCCCGTCATACCCCTCTCCGTCAAGGGTTACACCGACGTCGTCTGCCACATCTGCAACTTTGCCCAGCCGCTGGAGAACCGCCCCGACGTCACGTCGATGAAGGGCGGCGGCGGCCCGGGGTACCCGCCGCAGCAGGCCCAGTACCAGTCTCCCCAAGGTCCTCAAGCGTGGGGAGGACATGGTCCGCCTCATTACAGCTGAGCGCGAGGTGATGTAGGAAACGGGTACGGTGCGAAGAAGGAAGAGGCAGCTGGGCACCGACTTTAATTGGGATCGGAGAAGGCGCCAGGAGGCTCTCACGCCCCTCTTATCATCTGCAACGTGCAGTCATGCGCTGGAAGTCTGCTTGGGAGGATTCAGGGCAAAGATACCAAGTTCGTGGGCGTTTAATTGGGGGCGTTATGGCAGCTTTCATTCTTTCCATCGTTATGAGTGGCGCAACGAATTGAGTTCCTAATTTTCGACTCTTGGACTTTAGCCGGGACGCCTTTACAAGCTCGAACTTGCTTTTCCACAATCCGCCGCCCGATGAGTGCGGTCAGGTAGTATGGATGTTCATGTGTCTAACCTCCCGCGTGCTTCCCCCTACGAAGCATGGTGAGCATCTTTCTAGGAAACACACGTATAGTGAGTATGCGTGCCCACCTTCTTCCCCTGGCAGGTAATGTATCTCAGTCGTCCACAATGCCGTGGTGTTGGGAATGCAGCTAGCCACGGCCTGGCACGGAGTTAAGAAAAGATGGGCATTGCACTGCGTCGTCAAAGCTGATCCTCGAGACCAGCGTGATCTACCGGCTGCTTGCTATAAAGCGGCTTCGAGGCATGAGAAGTCCACTCCGACATATGCCACCGGAACTTTTTCAACGCAAATGATACTCGGCTTGCTTGAATACATGTGTGTTAAAGGCCTCCTGTTATCCTCCTTCCTTGAAACGATATACACAATCTCATCGCGAGGACGACGCCCCCCTGTAAATCAATCTGCACCTTGTCATAGAAGCCCCAACGCGTTTGAGCAAGGCTGATCAGCCGAATCCTAAACTCCGTGGCTTTACATAAGAACCTCACCCAATGTTCTTTAAATCTTTCAACAGAACCCATGGCGTTGTTGTACTGATAGTTGCTACTTTGCATGAGGTCAGTCTTTCGTAGTTCATCGCTACCCGTCGCCTTCCTCCGAGTATTCATTCGGAAGTCTCTGGGCTGCTCGTTCAAGCCCTGGCCGTCGCCTTCCTCTCGGTCCAGTTGTCAGATATTCTTTCGCCTGTTGAGATACACGTTCCCAAGCTGAAGAACAAGGTGGAGGAGAACCTCTCAGGCTGTCACGAAATGAATCACCTCATTGTAGAAACATCCCAGGATTCATCAAAACGACTGCTTTTATGTTGTTTCCCCCACAATTCGCTCTCGAGGAGTCTTTGATGATATTTAGAAGAAGGACGACCTCACACTTGATCGACGAACTTGCGAACCCATGAAATATGACGACACCCCGGTCTGTTCGTCTCAGAACGAAAAGAGCACTACATAGACTTCTATGTTCTGGGCTTGTATATTTTAGCAAACCTCGGTTTTCAGGAAGTCAGCCGAGGAAGCCGAGACAGCTTCTAAGGCTCCTCGTCTGTCAGACCCATTCTGGGGCCAGTAGACGTTGGTCTATGCGAGCCATATCAAATGTGAGCACATACTCGCCACCGATTCTGATAGTCGCTTCCTCACGATGCTAGTCCTCCGTCGTCCCGCCTTGCCCCTCAATTCTTTCTGAGTATTCCGGTGGGTTTTAGTAGTCATTCAAGCTTAAATCCTGTCGCGTTCCTCTTCAGACAGGGATCTAGTCCAACATTGGGTTATGGCTATCAAGCACAACCACCATTCTCCGGTGGATGCACACCTTGGCCGGCTCTTGATTCTGCGGATGACCTTGTGATGAATTCTCTCATAGTATTTATACATAATTAAATCCCGAGACCCCTCCAAAAAGACTGCTCTTATTCCTGTTCGCCTAAACGTCGTCCTTGAGAATGGTTTCATGCCCACAGCCCCCTTCAGCTCGATAATACCGACAATTCCACAACCTACCTACCCATTCTTCTCCTTGCGAGCCATAGCCTGAAGCACCTCCTATCAGTGCCCAAAACAGTCTCTCGGAGTACGTACCTTGACGACCTTTGATCGTGCCGTCAACCTGGCCCCACCCAACTTTTGAGGGCACCTGGAGGGACCATACCTTCATAGGTCGCCTTTCGTTCAACGGTCTTCAACAATGAGCGGGCGACAGTTGCAACATGACCTAAGGGTGGATTGTATGCCTGGGTTTGGCAAGAGTTCGAGGGTTCGAATCACGGTGGTCCTATATATATCCTGGAGCGGCTCATTGTTTTTTTTTTCTTTTTTGGTCTTTTTCTGGTCAGTATCATCGCGTCAATGACATCACCGTTCTCGAAAATCGATATTAAGACGTCTTGAAGACATTACTTTTTGGCATATTATCGTCACAGTCCGTCCTATCCTTACATAAACACATCTATACACATGAACCTCATCAGCATCCCTCGTACGTCCGTCTACCCAAGCCGGTCTAGAGTACCCAACGCCCTCTACGAATCTGGTGTATACACCCCGTCCTTGCAAAGCACGACGATCTTCTTGAAGAAACGTCGCCACTCGAGCGGATCGCCCTTGACCTTGACGAACCGGATATCCAACAACTCCTGCTCCTCCGGCAGCCGGTGCTTGTCGATGTGGATCTCGCCGTGCAGCGACTGCCTCCTCTCGTCGAGCGTCTTCACCCTCAGCGTGGCGATGTGGTCGCCGTACAGGTTCGGGGTGGTCGCCGGGAGCGGCACGTTGAGCTGGTGCAGCGCGTCGGTGAGCATCTGCACGATGAGCGTGGGCGGCACGTGCGAGAAGAAGCGCGTGAGCGACTCGAACGGCACGATGTCCTTGAAGCGGCGCGCCGCCTGCGTGAGGGTCAGCGGGACCCCCGGGGTCTGCGAGAACTGGCTCATGGAGGGCTCCTGTCCGAGCGACTCGAGGAAGAGGCGGCGGTTCGCGACGCCGGACTCGCTGCGCGAGATGGGCTGCGTCGAGGACACGGCGATGGGGTTCATAGCCTTGAGGGCGGGCCGCTCCCAGTCCCAGGCAACGTCGTTGATGGGCGTCTCGGGCTGGGTGAAGGAGACCTTGCCCGGGGCGGAGGACGGGTCGAGGTCCATGGGGCTGGACGAGGTTCCTTGCGATGCCGTCGGCTGTTGGCTGAAGTCGATGCGCAGGCCCTCGAGCATCTTGGTGGCGAGCTTGATGGGGTCGGAGACCTGGCCCTCGGAGGTCAGGTGCGGGTTGGTGCGGGTGTACCACGGGTGCTGGCGGACCTGTGGAAAGGAGAAGCGCTTCGCGGGGTCGACGTTCATCATGCCGCGGAGTAGTGAGAGGACGTTGGTGGGTAGCCTGCTCCAGAGGGCATCTGTGCTGCGGCCGTTTGTCCGGACGTACTCTTGATATTCCCAGCTGCCGTTCGAGGGCTCGTCCCAGGGCGTGTTGCCGACGAGCAGTACGAAGAGGATGACGCCGCATGACCAGATGTCGACCAGGTCGGGCGAGTATTTGGTGCCGGACGGCACGGTCTTGTCTGCCTTGGTGCAGGCGAGGATCTCAGGGGCGATGTACGGAGGGCTGCCGCAAAGGGTCGAGCTGGTCTTGCGCTGGCCCTTGTACTCGAACATGGTGGCCATGCCAAAGTCAGCGAGCTTGAGGTTTCCCGCATCGGAAAGCAAGATGTTCTCGGGCTTCAAGTCGCGATGCGCCACGCCCTTTGAGTGAATGAAGCTCACGCCGCTGATGAGCTGGAGGAAGTAGACGTGTGCGATGTTCTCGTGGACGCCCACGTCGGCCTCGATCTTGTCAAACAGGTCGCCACCGTCAGCGAACTCCATGGCGATCCATCTCCAGTTCGTGTCCTCTCCCGAAGCGAACCACTCGATGATGTTTGGATGCTGTCCGACGTGGGAGTGGAGCGAGACCTCCATCAACAGCTGCTTCGACGACACGCGGCCATGTTTGGTAGCGTATCCCTTGTGGATGAACTTGACGGCGAAGACTGGTGTTGTTGCGTCCTGCGGGATGGCCTTCTTGATCCTGTGTTGTCCGTGTCAGTGGGGGTGGCCCATAACGTGCGATTCGCGAAAGAGGGGTGTCCCACGATGCGTATGCTCCCCGGCCAATGGTCTTGGAAATGATCCGGAAGGGCAGGTCGGTGGGCAATGGGTCAAGCTGCGACTGTTGCATCTTGTTCGGTGAGAATGCCACGTCCGGAGGGGTGTTCAGATGATTCCAATGGGAAAGCTTGTTGCGGTTGGCTAGTCCATGATCAAAGTCGATCTGGACGTGGACGGGAAATGAGACAGGCGGCAGGGGTCTTGGTTCACATGCAATGACTCTTTTTTTTGGCAAACAGAAGGCAGGCAACAGCCAATAGCACGAATAGAGTGAATGACGTAGCTTGCTAAGGGAGGCAACATTCAATCACAAAGAAAGCCAGGGTCCAGAATCAATCAAAATCACAATGTTGACCTAATGTCTAGCTTTTGGCGCTTCCCCGCGTGGTTCTACCTTCTAGGCACCAGACGCGTCTTGACGGGAACCGCGTAAAGAGCTTTCAATTAGGCCGTGTTTTGTCCCCAATTGAAGGCAACGTTCCAGCGCCGCCATAACCGACGCGTATCTATTGGCCGATAAGATCTCTTATCGTGGTTGCCGGAGCGCCGGCCAGGTAAACAGTCTTCCGTCAAACTTGCAGGGGCCCGCCGCCTAAGGACTCGCCGCTTTTGCGACGGCCAACCTAAGTACAATGGACCTCCACCTGGGGAGGTATCACCGATTCCAAGTCACATAGATCCTCTGAGAACAGTCCGAGCGAAGGGTGGTAAAGGTCTTTGGATTTGAAAGGCGCATGCAATTCTTAGGTGATATTCTGTTTCTCCCTTCGGCCCAAATAGCCATCCCATCCTCCAATGATGCTGTGAAACCCATGGCTGTATTACTCCAGTAACTTCACATGCAGTTGAACTGGCATGCAAGACTCTTCTCCTCCTCCTCCTCCTCCTCCACATGGAAAGAAACCCCGGAAGGCGTCAATGGTAAGCGTCCCAACGGCGCTCGTGCGAGGTAGGTACCCTAATGAACAAACATGTTAGAACATCTGTAGCGATCTCAGGATGATTGTGAACTGACCGTTGAGTCCAGCCTTTCCGTGTGCGGCATGCAAGGCAGACTTGCATTTTGCACTCTGTGCAGACCAAAATGAAACTGTCTAAAGTTTTCTTGCAAGCATGGCAGTCAAGCTTCCCATGACGTCTCAATTGCCAACGGAACCAAAACTTGGTGTGAAGAACGCAGTTTCGGATCATCTGCTTGTGTGTCGAAGACATAGAGACGTGAGAGGCTGGCACGCTCGGGGTCGAAGAGCGTGTGGAATATTCTTGTGCGAAGAGGTCCGTGGTCGAGTCTTTCGTCAAAATTGTCTTAGGAGAGGCTGTTGTATCCTCCTCGCCCTCCGAGGACATGGGCATTGATGACCTGTGATCCATTAGCGGTGGTTCCAAAGGTTTGGATGATAGCAAACCCACTCGGAGTCGAGTCTTGCATGATGACAATCCCGCCAAGGGCAACAACGAGCGTTGGCCATTCTGATGGGCGATAATGTGTATGGGGGATGGAAGGACTTCGAGTTTAGTGAGCGATTATAGTTTTCTCCAAAGCTTGCTTTCGGCAAAAGAATGACAGCGACGAAAACGACGAGGTTGAGGAAATGGGTTGAAGAAGACAAGAGGTTTTGGTGTCCTGGTAGAGTTGAGGAAATTTTATACCTATTGGAGGTGACGAACGGCAGGTAAGGTAAGGTAAGTCGGGTTGAGGGCAAAGTCTGGGAAGGATAGACGGGGAAGTTTGAAGACGTGGACGTGGACGTGGAAAGTGCTTGCTGCAGTTAGTTGCCTGAGTCTTGGGGATAAAGGCCCTTTCAAGAAGGAGCACCTGGAAATACCTTCCTGGCTGCAGCAGCTCTGCACTTGCAGAGTGAAAATGTCTTCTTTTGGCAGCAGGCTTTGATAACCTGGTAGGACGGCAGAAGGCATGACTTTCTCACATGCCTTCTTGATCCGCAGACAGACTTTTGGTCCAAAGTTGGCAGAGTAATCTGGCTGGCACCTGACTCAATGGATATTGTGAAACAAGGAGGAACACTTGTTCCTCCAAGCTTGGTGCTGTGTTGGGATGGTCTGATCAGAATATCTGTCGAGAAATCACTTACACATTGTCTTGTATTTGCCGAAAAGTGTTCCAATGCCGCCTTGAACAGCCATGCTTTCTGGATGCCCGGGTTTGGAGCAACGGCTGCCTGCAGCCGGATGTCGACGAGTGGTAGCTGCCGGCAGCTGAATGCCTTCGAATTGAACCTGCAATTGTTGTCGACGGGAAAAAAATCAATTGGAGGGACGGGAGGTGAGGTCTTGAAGGAACAATAATGGGTAAGAACACCTGGTGAGGTGAAACTTGGATCGATCGAATAAGGTAGTAAGTTGGAAAGTGCAAGTGTAGCGACAAAAGAAAAGAGGTGAATTCCAGTAAGGAAGGCGGGCATTTGTTTGAGTACCTACCTACATAGGTAGACATACACCCGTGTAATATTCCGGAACTGAGATTTTCAGGCTGGGAGCCCGGAATTTGGAAATCTTCAGGACGAATTGACGCTTCGGCAAATACACCAACACCCTGTAAATACCTGTCATCAGAGCAGACATATCATCGACATCTTCACGAAAATGCTAGTCAATATCTTCATATAAATACAGGAGCAATAATGTACCCGCGACTAAAGGATGCCGCGACCAGACAAGACCCGTGGACAGCTCAAGACGTTGAAGAGACAGCCACATCTCGAGTGAAGTTGAGAGATCAACCAATAGCGTGTAAGCGGTACGTACCCAGTGACAGCCGTTGCCCACCCGTTGTACGGCAGCGACAACGCTAACCCAAAACGTCACTCAAACTCAGCGCGTCGCCCAGATACCAGCTTCCCCAATTCTCCAACCCTGAGAAGCCCTCTCACCCTACGAATAATGCCTTTCTGTTATTCTTGACGCCGCCTCAAGCTCTCTTACGTTTTGCCCCTTGATCATCTGCGCGTTGCCTTTTCTTCTCGCTTGTTCATAAATACTGAAAGGCTCCATCTCCAACATCCGGTTCAGCTTCCATCTACCTGCTGTTTTCTGTTTCCCCCCTGCCCTTTCACACATCATCGCCTCGGCTTCGAGCATTCGGTCCTCGATACCCCCCAAAAGCTATTGCTTCATTCTTCCCCATTCACCAACTTCAGCAATCATGGACTACAGCATGGAAGACACCCAGAACTCTGCTCCCGGCAGCGTCCAGGCGGCCAAGCTCGGTGGCGCAAGAAAGGGTCCCGATGCGCAGAGCGTTACCAAGAGGTAAGAGGACCTCGCCATGTCGACTTACTCAGTATCAGATGAGCTGACTTCGCGCCTACAGATTGCAGACGGAGCTGATGCAGCTCATGACCTCGCCCGCCCCCGGCGTCTCTGCCTTCCCTTCAGCTGACGGCAACCTCATGTCCTGGACGGCGACAATCGAGGGCCCCGACCAGACTCCCTACGCCGGCCTGACACTCAAGCTCAGCCTCTCTTTCCCTAGCAACTACCCTTACGCGCCGCCTACTGTGCTCTTTACGACGCCCATTTACCACCCCAACTTCGACTTCTCCGGCCGCATCTGCCTCGACATCCTCAAGGACAAGTGGACGCCGGCCTACAACATTCAGACCGTCCTCCTCAGCTTGCAAAGCCTGCTGGGTGAACCCAACAAGTACGTTGCCCCGGGTGAAAAGTGGTTCGATGTACAAGCTAACATCTCCCCAGCGCGTCTCCTCTCAACGGCGAGGCAGCAGAGCTCTGGGACAAGGACCCCGAGGAGTTCAAGCGCAAGGTCCTGGGCCGCCACCGCGATGTTGAGGACGAATGAACGGTCATAGCCAAAATCGATTATGACGGCTGACAGTGGGGCGGGGCATTGAATTCGAGCACTGGAGAATTGGAGTCTTGTATGATTATGGGCCTGAAGTTTGGGAACACTTTAGGAATTGGACTGCATTGCATGGTTGGGACCTGCTTAGGATTTGATTTATCCTGTATCTGCATCTGGCAGACCGCCAAGTCGATAGAGAAGACCCTGTCGGACGACGGTGTAACATAAACCACAGAATTGTTGTCCTGCGAACCTCGTCTTGCTCACATCCCACCCGTCGCCCGGCACAATATGCTGCCGCCAGCGCGCTCACGCCGCGCATACACATCCCACCACCACACAGCGCGGGGTTCCAAAAAAACAAGAAACAGAAAGAAGTCGTCGAGTCGTGGTGGGAATCAAGCGTTGTTCACATTTCCGTCGATTTTGTATGTGAGACTAGAATGCCGAATGCAACTCCGATGCCTTTATGCCGCCCTTAAACCATCCCAAAGAGAACTTTTTACTCCTCAACAACAACGGTCTGGAGACCCTTGGGGTTCTTGACGTTGACGGCTTGGACGTAGCTGTACAGCTTCTCCTTGGCACCCTCCTCGTCGTTTCGTCTGCGGGAGATGCGGATGCGCAGTCTGTAGGCGACACCCTTGACACCCTGCTCCCAAACCTTCTTGTTGAGCTCGGGGTCAACGCGAACGTCGGAGGTACCCTGCGTGAAGATCGAGGTTAGTCGTCGTTCTCCCGGAAGCTGAAGCGATCGAGGCGCCCGAATTGTCAAGTGACCGGTCGCGAGAGTGGTGTTGATGAGAGTAGACGGGTTTCGGGTCGGGTAGAGCGAGGGGCAGCGGGACATACCATGGCCTGGAGCGCGAAAGCCTTGATCTCCTTGATGGCACGGGGAGCGCGCTTCTTGAAGGTAACACCGTGGAGCTGGAGAGAGAGAAGCAGAGTCAGCATCACCGCCTTCTGCAAGAAAATTTCCCTTCCCATCATCGCCCGTCTCGTGCGGCGACGGCGACGGTTCCTTCGAGGACAATACTAACGCGCTTGTGCATGTGGATGGTGTACTCGCGAGCGACGACGTCCGCAATGGCGGAGCGCTGCTTTCCGGCGGGCTTCTTCTGCTTGGTCGACATTTTGGCGGTACCTCTCGTCGTCGTTGGGTCGTCGGAGTCGGTCGGTCGGAGTCGAATTGTCGTGAGGTTGACAATGTAGAATAAATGGCCAAATGCAACAAAGTGTGTGTAGAACGAAAAAAAAGCTAGGGCTAGAATTCTGATTGGCTCGCTAGCCTCCGCTGCATGATGCACGTGATCTTAGTCAGCTTGACTGGGAGGACTTGGTGCCGGTGGAGCTTCGAGGAGGCTTGAAGTGGGACGTGCTGAGCGAAATTGGATAGCGCGCTTTTCTTGTGCAGCAACGCAGGTCATTGGCGGTACGTACCCCGACAGACCCAGCCTCCGACGCAGGTTCTCTCCCCCCTGACCAGACGACGAAATTAGTCCCGGGTCTGAACGACGCTTGATCTGCTGTTTATGCCGATGGTTGAGCGGCATTCAATTCAACCCCCAAGACATCACGCCGCCGCGCCAATTGCCAACCACACTGACGCTGTCAGTCTGCGCCGTGCGCGATCCTTCCCTTCATACACTCGTTCAACACAACATTCCAAACCCGGGGAAAACAAGGCCAGGCGACTACCGAACAAACGGCGACGCTACCGAACCGTGACCTGCCAAACCTCTCGCTTGGGGGCAGATTGCATCTCATTTACGATATCGCGCATCCTTCCGACGCCTCATCTTTCGACTTCACATCGTCAATCATCACCGACGACTTCCTCGACCGAACTTTTCTTAATTCCCCGAATCACCGTTGCGACTTTTCGATACCCTTTTCTTTCCTCGACCGCGCGACACGCTCCTCGCCAACATCATGGATGACCGATCGACCGGGGCGTCTGGCACGCCGTCCCCTCAGCCAGACCTGCATCGAAACCGACTCCCGACACTCTTCGAGGTTCTGAGCCGTCGGACGCTGCCCCCTGTTGACCTGTTCTCGTTCTACATCTTTATGAGAGACCAACAAAAATCGGTCGATTATCTCGATTTCTGGTTCGTTCAGAAGCGGCACACTGCAAACGCGCGATTCAGTCACTAACTTTCCAAAGGCTCGATGTTGCTCAGCACATGTCCCTCTGCCGCCACTATGTTCGCGAGCTTCGAAGATCCGTCCTCATTGGTACGCCCGACCTCGACAAGGCCGGTTCCAAGCGGTCTTCTGCCATCCTCGATGGCCTCGGCGATATGAGCCACGCGGCCGCCGGCCCGTCGATGTATGCTACCGAGAAGGAGAAGAACCAGGACGCCCAGATGTCTGCGTACCTCCGCGAAGAGGCGCACGAATCGTCGCCTCAGAGCAGCACCGAGCCCCGCAGACCCAGCGCCGCATTCTCTCACACGCGGGATCTGACGACCGACTCCAACTCCCCCGCCAACGCCGTCGCGAGAAACGACATCCGCGCGTCTGCGGAGAAGATTCTCTACACGTTTCTGCTCCCCGGCGCCGAGCGCGAGATCATTCTTCCCGGCTCCATTACCCAGGACGTCACCACCGCCATCGAGGAGTTTGGCAGAGATGACCCCGAGGTTTTCGACGTTGCCAAGGACTACGTCTTCCAGGCCATGGAGCGGGACGCCTTCCCCAACTTTCTGAGGATGAAGGCCCTGGGCAATCTCATCCCTACCACCCTCCAGATCAGGATGATTGTTGGTCTCCTGTCAATGTTTGGCGGGTTCTGGGCTGCTTTCATTCTCATTTTCCTCAATGCCGCTCGTACCACCAGATGCTGGGTGAGTTCTTTCAAATGACGTGACACAGCGTACCACACAATGCTAACAATCATCTCAGGTGATCCTCCCTTTCACCTTTGGTGTCTACTTCCTCGCTTCCTACCAATACTCATTGGATCCTGTCCTTGCTCTCATCGGCCTGAGCGAGTACACACCGTTCAACTTCTCCAGGATTCGTGAGCCCTACGTCCGTAAGCTCCTTGCCAAGCGGGCCATCATGGTCCTTGCTGTCACTCTCTTGATTGATGCTGCACTTTGTGTGCTCTTCATCCTTGTCCCAGGCAAGCGTCTCTGAGCGCGTAACAATGCCAGTCAGACATGAGATCGCGTTACCGCCACCAAACAACATCAGAGATGTAATAATACCAGCCCTTGGCTGGCAGAGCTTTACGAACGTTACGACCACCACCACCCAGGATTTGAGCGACAGTTTCCAGTTTCAGGTTTTGTTTTCGGGTTCCCCCATTCAGGATACCACAGTAGGCTTTTCCGGCGTACCTAGGGAAGAAAAAAGAGGCTCCAGGGAATCACAGGCCTCGCATACGGCGTTCGACAGGAGGGATCTAATTTTTTTCTTCAATGTGCATGCACCATGTACTGATGTACGATTATCGAGGAACCGACGTTTGGTTCTACTCAGTGTCGCCGACACGAGAGGTGGATGAGGAGGTGTGAGAGAGATGGAGGTGGGAGCGGAGAGAGGGAAGACATTTGGCTTCGACGACATTCACTTTTTCTTTTCTTGATTCCCTAATCATTCTTCTTCTTCACTGGCACAGTAGATAGGAACCGCAAGACCCGGATGGGACGCGGCTCGAAGCCGTCCGCATCAATGTTGAGGTTTAACTTGATTCGTTTTTCATGATCTATCGTGATTCTGTTTTGCTGCTGTGCTGGCTCTTGCAGCTGCCAAAGGTATATCGCGATCCGTTTCCCATGCTCGATTATTGGTTTTTCATGCTTCCTTCAGGAACTGCAGCGACGCTTGATAATTGCCCAAAACACCAGGGCTCCTGCGAATAACATCTTTGATACCGCGCCGATTACTACGTGTGGTCCTCTCTTCTCACGCCACGACGTCATCACCCACTAAAGCTTCCGCCGACTCGCCCGCTTCTTCTCCTGCTCGTCGTCCTCCTCATCAACGTCCATGGCCTCGTCGTCGACCTCCTCCGCGTTGGCATTGGCCATGCTCGTGCTGCCCCGCTTGTACCGCAGAGCCCTCGAGGCCTGCGAGTGTCCGACGGCCAGCTTGCGCGACTCGGGCTCCTTGCGGGTCTCGTCGACCAGCCTGGCCAGCCTGGCCTCCTGCGCGGCCCTGTCCCTCTGCCGGCCGGCGGCGCCCTCGCGGATGCCGGCGATCTGGGACTCGAGGTCGCCGAGGGTGGACTCGCAGCGGGCGGACCAGGCCTGCAGGGCGCGGATCATGGGCGGGACGGCGCCGGGGGCGAGGTCGCGGAGGGCGGCGAGGGAGTTGACCTGGACGACCTGGCGGTGGGGGTCGAGGGTGGCGTCGAGGAGGCCGGCGTAGATGGCGGAGATGACGAGGTCCTCGAGGGCGCGGGCGGAGTCGAGGGCGAGGGCGGAGCGGAGGGCGTCGTAGGAGAGGTTCTGGCGGTCGCGGGCGAGGGAGAGGAGGGTGAGCTGGCGCAGCTTGAGGGTCTGGGCGTCGTTGAGGGCGGGGAGGCCGCCGTCGGTGCCTTTCGGGGCGGCGAGGTACTCGGCGTAGGTGCCGTGGGAGAAGATGTTGAGGAGGGCGAGGTGGTGGAGGAAGTCCGGTTGGTCCTGGAGGGCTTGGATCTGCGGGGTCGAGAGGAGCTCTGTGAAGAGGAAGGTGTTTGGGTTCGAGGTCGCGCGGGTTATCAGGTCTGCGGCGGCGCGGGGGGATGTTGCTGATTTGCTGAGGGCCAGGAATGGCTTTGTGGTGATGTTAGTTTTGGACAAGGAGAACGAGGAAGAGGGTAGTGGGATGACGTACCTCGAGAGCGTTGAGAGCTTTGGTTTGCTCCATCTTGAGAGCTTCTTGTTCGTGATGCTCACGATGTGGAGGGTGTGGGTGAGGTAGCTGCAGATGGAGCTGTCGTTCGCGATAGCTGGAGGTGGGGGTGGCGAGGCTGAGATGATGGACGATCGGGTTGGTGTGGTATCAGACGAGGCTGAACAAAACAATAGCTCTGGGTCTGTAAGGCGGCTTTCGCTCGTCGTCAGAGTGTGGAGGGTTACAAGTCGTGGAAGGGGGTGTGTGTCGTTTCTCTGGAGAGAGATCTGAGGATGAAGCTTGTGTCAGATCCGTTTGAGGTGCCGTTGTAGCCTGTAGGCGGCGGGCTGCAGTTGGATCAAGCGCGCTACGGCTCCGGCGCGGGGCAGGCACCTTGGGGTGTGGTGGGGGCCTTGGACGCTGGAGCTTGCCTCACCACGGCGGAAGCTTGACGCTTAAGGTTTCTGGTTTTGGAGGGCACAACGCAACAAAGAAGATGTCTTCTCTTTGAGGGAGACAGGGGCCGATGAAGATCGTTTACACATATTGGAGTTCTGGAACAGCTAAAACACAGTTGAAGGGAAATTCGAGCCGGGGCTTGGCTTAGGGGCAAGGGGGTTTGCTACCCACGATCTTCAAGACTTGCAAACTACGGTATCGCGGAAGTGTCGTTTCCAAGTGCCTTGGTTGACAGAAGCAACACCTTACTGTTTGAGAAGCTCGAATCTTGGTAGACGATGATTATCAGAGGCTATTGACTTGGCGCAGATCTCGGCGGACCGGAGGATTCTCATCTGGCCGACGGCCGGGTCGGTAGGGTTCATTTCATCGTAAGTTATTGACGTTGGATCGTTGATAAGGTAAGCAACGTTGGACCCATTGGTCGGTCCGTCGGAACTGCGTGAGAATGCAGCGATGAAATCCGTCCCGAGGCAGATAAGAAAAACATACGACTGCGGTGGTGATCAAGTATTAGTCGGTAGCTTCCGCAGCAGGTCGGATCTTGAGCACGTAGTCTACTGCGCGAGATCTCACTGAAGGCCGTGATTTTACAAATTCAGGGCACGGAACACGGCCTCGGAGCATGAAGCATAGCGTAAAAAAGTCCCACCTCGAGACACGATACGAGGAGCCAATGGACACATCGGATGAAGCTGGAAGTCTGCGCTGGAGGGTTGAATCCGAACCCAGGAGACCCTTCCCCCGAACTGCCGCAGACACCGTGCCCGGGAATGTTTTGTGGTTTCCTCAGGTCGTTCGAAACGAGTCGTGGCCAGGCGTAGGCGTAGGCTCTGGCGACGTGTTGCTTCGTCTCGTGGCGCATGCTATCCGGTCCGAAGGGGACGAGGGGTGACAACCAGCCCTTGTCAGCTTACGACATGACATGCCGTGCTAATATTGATCGGGGTATGACTCGGGGCTGATGAGTGTTTGAAGGAATGACTGAGGTTGAGGCGTTCATGAAGGCGCCTGACTTGAGCCTCGATGTGCTTGCTTTTGTGTCGCAGACACCATAATTATTCGTAGCACTTGAGTCCATCATCTGATGACATCTGAGGTCCTCAAGGAACCAACCAAATCATCTCAGATTTGCCCAGAAAAAAAAAAGGTGGTCGATAGGAAATGGGAGGACGGTGGGAGGGGCCTGCGGACTGTGGCGCCCAAGCACCGAAAGCTGCAGCGGCGGGCTGGGATCCCCCGTGCGACCCCATTGGCCACGGCCCGTCCATTTCTTCTTTCTGCAGCCCACCCGAGGCAGTTTTTCAGGGTTCGACTCTGACTGACAGGGCATTTGATTCACTGAGGCGCTTCGGGGACGGGGTGCTCAGGAGAAGCTCCGGCACGTTCCAGGGGGAAACGTCTCTAACAAGGACTAGGCGAAACTCCCACCTGGAGCTGTTAGGTACGTACATGACTTCAAAGAAACACGGACCGCTGGAGTGGAAGGTAGCGCTCGCTTCTCCCCCCCATCACATCAATCATCACACACACCACACCCCCCCGACCGACGGGACCGCAGTTCCACGATTGCGCCAGATGATAGATCCCGGCCTCGCCGCACGCTGCTGCTGGTGACTGCACTCCCACACACCGGTCCTCTGCTCTGCCCGTCAGTGGGATTCATTCGCCATTCCCACCCCATGCCCATGCCTATCGAGGCAAGAACAAGAACACGCTGGCTGAGAAAAGCCGACCTTCCGCTTCCGTACCTTACCAAGCTTGACTTGTCCTTCACCTCGTGCCATTGATCTGCCACCGTTTTTTCTTCGTTGCCATTCCCGGCTTTGTTTGATTCTTAATCCTACCTAACCCACTGGCCCTCGGGTTTTCTTCTTCTTCAACCGCCGCTACGACGACGCACCAACCCATACATACGCATACGCACACGCAACAGCCTCTGCGATACCCACCCGCCTTTTAGCATTCCGCACCGTACATATTTGCCAGGAAGCCGGTCTTCTCGAGCCCCCCTATCTTCCTTCCGAGTTCAGTCGCCTACTCGCTCTCTTCGATCCAGTCGCATTCGCCGTATGGATAGTTAGCCCTATCATGAAGGCTGGAGCCGCATAGCTGGAAACCTACCCGAGACCGAAGCACGATCCAAGACTGAGGCTGGCCCTGCACTCCGACGTTATCATCTTCAAATCGCATCGATAGCTAAATCCACACAACATGGCTCCTCCGGCTATCAAAGTCCCGGGGCCGAACGAGGGTCGTCCGAGGGCGACTCTGGCCACTCCTACCGCCATACAATGGGCGACAACAACGCTGAAAGTCGGCGGCATGACGTGAGTTGCGCCTACCTGCGCCGGTCCTGAAAACAACTTACTCACAGCATTGCAGTTGCGGCGCGTGCACCTCTGCGGTCGAGTCGGGCTTCAAAGGCGTCGAGGGAATTGGAAACGTCTCTGTGAGCTTGGTTATGGAGCGCGCCGTGGTCATGCACAACCCCGAAGCGATCACCGCCGAGCAGATCGCGGAGATCATCGAGGACCGGGGTTTCGATGCCGAGGTCCTCTCCACTGATCTGCCATCACCGATGTTCCCAGCCGAACAGAACCTATTCGACGCCGACGACGATGCCGGACTGCTCACCACAACGATCGCCATCGAGGGCATGACGTGCGGCGCATGTACGTCGGCTGTAGAAGGAGGATTCAAGGACGTCCCGGGCGTGAAGAACTTCAGCATATCATTGCTCTCCGAGAGGGCCGTCATCGAGCATGACCCGGACCTTTTGACTGCCGAGCAGATCGCCGAGATTATTGAGGATCGAGGATTTGGCGCAGAGATTGTGGACAGCGGAAGCTCCCAACAGGAGAAGCCCAGAGCCAGCAGTAATCCTACCAGTACCGTGGCAACTTCCACTATTGCGATTGAGGGCATGACATGCGGGGCCTGCACGTCTGCGGTGGAAGGTGGCTTTAAGGACCTGGATGGTGTATTGCGCTTCAACATCAGTCTGCTGGCCGAACGCGCCGTTATCACCCACGACACGACGAAGCTACCCGCCGAAAAGATTGCCGAGATCATCGAAGACAGAGGGTTCGGTGCCGAAGTATTGTCAACCGCGTTCGAAACTTCCGCGCACGGCAGTTCCGCGTCCACAGCGCAGTTCAAGATCTACGGCAACCCGGACGCCGCCCAAGCTTCAGCACTGGAGACGAAACTGATGTCGATTCCGGGCATCAACACCGCCAAGTTCAGTCTGGCTTCATCCAGACTGACGGTCACGCATCAGCCGAATATTGTTGGCCTACGAGGTATCGTCGAGGCAGTCGAGGCAGAGGGCCTCAATGCCCTGATTTCCGACAACGATGACAACAACGCGCAGCTTGAGTCACTCGCCAAGACCCGAGAAATCAATGAGTGGCGGAGAGCTTTCAAGATGTCCCTCTCGTTCGCCATTCCCGTCTTTATGATCAGCATGATCATTCCCATGTGTTTTCCCATTGTAGACTTCGGCAGCTGGGAACTTGTTTCCGGCGTCTTCCTCGGCGATTTGATCTGTTTGGCCCTTACGATACCCGTCCAATTCGGCATTGGAAAGCGTTTCTACATTTCTGGTTGGAAATCTATCAAACATGGATCTCCTACCATGGACGTCCTCGTCATTCTCGGCACTTCCTGTGCCTTCTTCTTCAGCTGTGCGGCTATGCTGGTGTCGTTCCTCTTCCCGCCGCATACCAGACCCGCCACCATCTTCGACACCAGCACCATGCTGATCACTTTTGTTACTCTTGGTCGATTTTTGGAGAACCGAGCCAAGGGCCAGACTTCCAAAGCGCTCTCCCGACTCATGTCGCTGGCCCCTTCGATGGCCACTATTTACGCCGACCCGATTGCCGCCGAGAAGGCTGCTGAGGGCTGGGAGAACGCAGCTGTTTCCGGCGAGCCGAAGACGCCCAACCGCGATGGCCACGCGGCTGAGGAGAAAGTCATTCCTACGGAACTCCTTCAAGTCGGAGATGTCGTCATCCTCCGCCCTGGCGACAAGATTCCTGCTGACGGTGTTCTGGTCCGTGGCGAGACCTACGTCGATGAGTCCATGGTCACTGGTGAAGCTATGCCAGTGCAGAAAAAGAAGGGCAGCTACTTCATTGGTGGTACTGTCAACGGTCATGGACGTGTCGACTTCAGGGTTACAAGAGCTGGTCGTGACACTCAGCTGAGCCAGATTGTCAAGCTCGTCCAGGATGCTCAAACCACTCGCGCTCCCATTCAACGTCTCGCTGACACCATTGCTGGCTACTTTGTCCCTGTCATTCTCCTGCTTGGTTTCATGACTTTCATTGTCTGGATGGTCCTCAGCCATGTGCTCACGAACCCACCCAAGGTCTTTACCGAAGAAGCTAGTGGCGGTAAGTTCATGGTGTGCCTCAAGCTGTGCATTTCTGTCATCGTCTTTGCCTGCCCCTGTGCTCTCGGTTTGGCTACTCCCACTGCTGTCATGGTGGGTACTGGTATTGGCGCAGAGAATGGAATCCTCGTCAAAGGCGGAGCTGCTTTGGAGACGACAACTAGAATCACCCAGATTGTCCTCGACAAGACTGGTACCATCACCTACGGCAAGATGAGCGTTGCGAAGATGAACCTTCTTCCTGCCTGGCAAGACAGCGAATGGAGACGCCGACTCTGGTGGCAGATCGTTGGTCTCGCTGAGATGGGCAGTGAGCACCCGGTTGGCAGAGCTGTTCTGGGCGCTGCGAAGACAGAACTCGGTCTCGACGAGGAAGCCACGCTCGATGGCAGCGTCGGCGAATTCAAGGCTGCTGTCGGCAAGGGCATCAACGCCCTCGTTGAGCCCGCTGTCACCAACAACCGCACCCGCTACCGCGTCCTCCTCGGAAACGTCCGCTTCCTCCGCGAGAACAATGTCAATGTCCCGGCTGAGGCTGTCGAGGCCTCGGAGCAACTAAACGCAAAGGCCAACTCCAGCTCCAAGAACACATCCGCAGGCACCACCAACATCTTCGTCGCCATCGACGGCTCCTACACCGGCCACCTCTGTCTTTCCGACACCATCAAGGAGGGTGCCGCGGCCGCCATCGCCGTCCTCCACCGCATGAAGATCAAGACCGCCATCGTTACCGGAGACCAGCGTTCCACCGCCGTGGCCGTGGCTGCCGCCGTCGGTATTTCCCCAGACAACGTGTGGGCCGGCGTCTCGCCCGACCAGAAGCAAGCCATCGTCCAACAGCTTCAAGAGCAGGGCGAGGTCGTCGGCATGGTCGGCGACGGTATCAACGACTCCCCCGCCCTCGCCACCGCCGACGTCGGCATCGCCATGGCCAGCGGCACCGACGTCGCCATGGAAGCCGCCGACGTCGTCCTCATGCGTCCCACAGACCTCATGGACATCCCCGCCGCCCTCCACCTCGCCCGCTCCATCTTCAACCGCATCAAGCTCAACCTCGCCTGGGCCTGCCTCTACAACCTCATCGGCCTTCCCTTCGCCATGGGCATCTTCCTCCCCTTCGGCTTCCACCTCCACCCCATGGCCGCCGGCGCCGCCATGGCCTGCTCCAGCGTCAGCGTCGTCGTCTCCTCCCTCCTCCTCAAGTTCTGGACACGCCCCAGCTACATGGTCGACCCCTCCGCGCAGACCAAGCGCCGCGGCTTCGGCATCGTCAACAGGATCAAGTACGCCGTCCGTCGCCTCAGGGGCAAGCGCACGCAGGACCAGGGTTACGTGCCCTTGGCCAACATGGCGGATCGGGACGAGTAGACGGACGGGTGTTTCGTGGCGTTTTTCTTCTTTCTGCCGTGTGTGAATAGGTTTAGAACCGCGAGGGGTGCTCACAGAAGGGTATCGATATCGCTCTTCCCCTCGTAGAAAATATATAGGTTTATCGTTCCAACTGGTCGCAGGGGCCTTTTCTCATGTGTACGTGGTCTCTGTTGGATTTGTATCGGTTATTGGTAGCATAGCACCGGAGTCAATTCAAGTTCTCTTTAAATTTCACATATTTGTGTGCCATGAATTTGCTCCATTTCGCGCGAGCTACTTCTCTAGTCCCTCCTGTCCCTACAAGCAGTGGTTCTGCAGAAGTGAAGCCCTCGATGTTCCCGTGTTATTGTTTTGTCGAATCCCAATCCTCGGTATTACCAGATGAAAAAAAGCCCCCGGCCTAACGCCATGCTATGCAAACGAATAGATGAGTGAACAAAAGAAAACGAACCCCGTCGGAGAGGCTCGGTGTCTGGTTTAGACGCCGGCATACGTCTCCCCCACGATCCGATTCCCGCACGCTGCGGTGGCGCCCTCCTCCTCCTCGCACAGCATGCGGCTCCACAGCCTCAGCTCGTCGACGCTGACGTTCCTCTTCTCGAGCTCCCACTTGACGCTGCCGGGCAGCGACAGCTGAGTACTGGGTCCGCCCGCAGCCGAGATGAGGGGCACGACGACGTTGTTCTCGCCGCCGGCCTTGCCGTTGTTCTTGGAGAGGATGCCGAAGCGGAGGCCGACCTCGGTGACGGTGACGAGGATGGAGATGATGATGAGGACGATGATGATCCAGGTGATGTAGCTCATCTTGGCGTCGGCGACGGAGTCGGCGAGGATCTCGGCGAGGTCGAGGAAGACGCGGCAGCGCTCGTTGAGGACCTTGATGCGGGGGTCGATCTCGAGGTACTCGCGGATGGCGACGTAGAGGGGGTGGAGGGTGGGCTCCGAATCCCAGAAGAAGTTGGGGACGTCGAGGATGTTGGAGGCTGTGGTGGGTTTTGGTCAGGGGGCACGTTTTGGTTGGTGAGGAAGAGGAGAGGTTTGACTTACACAGGTTGATGTCGACACGGCTCTTGAACAGCCGCCCGAGAATCTTGACGATTTCTGTTCTTGTCATGTTCAGCTCGCCGGTGAGGGCGAGGCGTTTGGGGACGTGCTGCGCGTCGAGCATTGTCTCGCTCATGCGCTCCTCGAAGAGACACAGTTTAGTGCTCTGCGCGATAGCGTGACTGATAGTCAGCTTCACCATGTGGTCACTGCGTGGGAGCAGGGTAATCATGTCGTTAAAGATACGCGGCCGCTTCACGTCGGCGCTGTACTCGAAGTGGAACTCCTCCGTCTCGAAGTCCTCCTCGTCCAGGGGTCGCGTGATAAGCGACAGTCCGTTTTCGTTTTGCGCGAACGTCAGATCAGCCAGGATGTCCTTCTCCTGGTGTTCAGTGAAGTTCCAGAAGACGACAACGCCGTACGAGAACAGGAACATCTCCGCGAAGTTCTTTGCGTCGGGCGCCAGACGCGCCAGGGGCGACGAGCTCGGGTCGTCGGGGCTCTGCTCGCGATGCCGGTGCGACGAGTCGTCATACCCGTTCCCGTTCAGTGGGCTGCCTGAGAAGGCGGACTCATCGAAGTATCCCTCGTGGTAGGTCCGCTGCTCGCTGCGTTCGATCTCCAGGTCCAGCACCGTCTTGCCGCTTCCCGGGGTCTTCACGATGGGTCTGCTGCGGACGCGGTAGCCCTCTGTGCCGTTGAGAAGCGGCAGCGAGTAGATGACGTAGAGGCAGTCGTCATAGAGCTTGGTCTTTGCCTCGTGCTTCTTGCGAAGGAACTCGGCGGTGGACTGCATCTTGTACGACTGGGCGGTGCAGTAAGCGGTTAAACGCGCCAGCTTTTCCTTTCGTTGAACCTTGGGCAGGCGTTCGGCGTAGGACTTGCCGCGGATGCCGCCTCGTTTGCGGAGGACGTCGAGCTCCTCATCGCGAAGGGGTCGGTTCTCCTCCTCCTCCATCTGGCGGGCGATCTTGCTCGCCTCCTCGTCAAGGTCCTCATCGGAGCCGGGTTTGTCGTCCGTCTCCGGGAGGAGAACGAGCTTCTCACTGATCTTTGTGGTTCGGGAGGGCATGCTCTGGCCGCCTGTGCGGGACTGCAGGTTCGGGAGGCCGCCCGGGCCGGCGGAGGCGCGGCGGGCGCCCGTCGCGGTCGCGCCACCGACGAGTACGGGGCGTTGAGGCGTGGGCGGGACGCGGGGCTGGCCGGAGGGGATCTCGGAGGCGTGCTGGAGGACGTGGTCGACTGAGATGAAGCGCATTGCCGGACGAGACTGGGCGACGGGGAGGCCTGTGGATTGGCGCTGGAGGGCGCCGCGCTGGGGAGGACGCTCTCGCGAGTCGGTCACCTAGGGAAAACTAGGGTCAGCGGAGGGCGTTCAAAGGTGAGGATCCCGGTAGATGGTTCGGATGATGGAATGGGAAGGGTCGCGACCGTACCAGCACCGATGGGCCTCGTTTTGAGGAAGCCATTATTGTGGTTGATGTCGGTCGAGCTAAGAATGGGGCTGGTTTGGAGTAATACTAGAGAGCGCCGGGCATCATGGAGATGTCGTGGTCGGGGGCTCTCTGCTGTGATCGAAAGATGGCCGAGGTTCAATTGATGGTCGTCTGGTGTGCATGACGGTTGCAGTTCAGTTTAGAAAAGACCTTAGTATTGAAGGTTCCGAGCGTCGCCCCGCCACAGTTTAATGTGGCTGAAGCTTATACGTCATAGCACAGCCGTGGACCTCAGTGGACCTGGAGTTGACAGGACTGCGTTCTCGTGACTGCTCAACCAATACCTTGACGAACACAACTACTAGGACTTGATGTCTTCTTCATTTGCAGCGGGTTTCTATCCATAACTTTTTGCTATGGAGTTAGCCAGCTGATCTTAGACTTCTTACGTTTAGTATGGTTGCTACCGCTCAGAACTCTGGAGCTTCTTAAGCGCGACGTACTGAAAGATGAGTCTTGATGAGCGCTTTGGTGGGCACCTTGGTCTAGAAAACTCTTGAAATTGGCTATCGCGATAGTCTCACCAAGTAAACTTGGTGGCTTGGTGTAAACAGGCTAGTGATATATGGATGCGAGATGCTAATACGCAATGTAGCTTCCTTCAACGCATGCATTTCCAATTTCACGCTCAACTCAGTGGTGTCATCTGGCACACTTCGCCAAGATACGTGAACTATACCTTGTGTCTTTCCTCCGCTCTGGCCCATGGGAACTTTTATGTCAACTTGCTTGTACAGATCAAGCCTCGGTTTGACATCAACTATCTCCCATCCCCGGCCCCCCGGCTTGACCCCAGCTACTTCGGACGTGAACTCGTACAAAGGCAAGCTACCCCAGGCATGACAATCAGAACGCTGCGACACGTCATCCTCAACCCAAGTCGTGACGTTTTGACGAAGCTGAAAGCGCCACGGATCCCAGAACCGATGAAAGTGCTCATGATACAAGCTGCCTCCCGCGAGAGCGAAAGCGCGGAGTGTGTAGAAGGACATAGCAACGGATTCCTTGGTGAAGTGGTCTCGTGTGCTGCTTTGTCGAAGTAGATGTTGTGCTTCTTCACCTGCGACGGCGCCTGATAGAACAGCCCAAACCTGACAGTGCTGGCTGTAGTCTGCCAAAGGTTTCGCCATAGTCGTGATAGTGTCTGTGAAGAACGTGCCATCAAAGCAATGCGTCTTCAGTGCAGAACTGATGCGATCTGCTCGAGCCAGATATTCTTCCGCCAAAGCTGGCCTTTCGACAGCCTTCATCAATTCGGAAGCTGTTCTGAGCGTATACGCGTAAAGTTGGTTCCCGTATGTTGAAAATCCGGTGCGATGAATGGCAGGAGGTATTCCATGAGGCTTCCACTGCGGTGCCCAGTCCACAAAGTTCCAAACTCCCGGCCCTAAATCGCACGCCGTTAAGCCAAATTTCGGATCAATCCGACGATGAAAGTACCCGACAACGGCGTCCACAACGTGAACAAACTCCGACACGAAGGCGACGTCGTTGAAGTACGTCAGGTGGTCATTGACCATGCAGATCCAGTAAAGTGAAAAGAAGGGAATAAACTGCGGCCTATGGGTTGGGGCCCGGCTCATCGTCAGCCCAACACTGGCTTGGAAAGAGTTGTGGATCTGCAGGATGGCCTGACGGGCGAGTCGGTCGTCTCCTGAAATGTTGTACGTAAACAATGCAGAGCTGCGTGTGTCCATGGCGTACTGAAGTTGTTCGTAGAAAGGACAATCTTCGTAACAGTCGTGCATACAGTTCTTGAGGGTTCGGACGCTCGTCGACCACAATTTGTCCGAGTCGATGACATCGTCTCCTGGGGGCACCTTGAATTCGGCCTGGACCTGGAGAGGGTAGCTGAAGGATTCCGCCTCGAGGCCCTCGAAAAGCAAGTCTGAAGAGGAAGAAACTTCGATCTCTAGCTTGATGAAGCGAAACGTGCGGAAGTGGTAAGGCTGAAATATCTCTCGCGTATTTTCATCCGCATAATAACCAAGACCAGCCGCTGTTGACCGCTGACCTTGAAGAGTGTATAGGTCTTGAGGCCCAAGAAGCTTTCTGTCATAGTCGCACCGGTCACGCTTTCTTCTTATCCAGGGCACCGATTCTGGATCGTCTTCGTAACTCTCGGAGTATGTGATACGGAGTATGCTACCGCCGCTCGGCGGCCGCCGGAAGCAGAATCTGAGAAAAGCAGTGGTGTGTTCAGAAAATTCGAGGTCCACGCTATGCGTCGTCCCGGCCTTCAGACAAAGGCTGCTACCATCTCCTTTCAACATGCCTGTCCAGGGTTCATGGGGCAAGCAGCTGTTGATGTTTCTAATGGCAGATGGAGTTACAGTCCTCAGTTGGGGTGGCGGCAGTAGACGGGGCGAGAGGTTCCATGGAGTTCGGTTTCCAGTCGAAATCTTGTATTCGAGGAGCGTGGCACGAGTCCACAAAAGCGCTGTCTCTGCTGTCGGGACGTATTCGTAGATATGGAGAAACTGGTCCTCCGATTGATCGACTCGAAGGACAGTAGCTTGATCAATGGCAGTCTCCCATTCCGTGCTGCTCTGCACTTGAGACGCCCAGATATTGTCGACGTGATCTGGAACGAAGATTCTTAAACCACCAGAAGGTAATCTTGGAAATGAAGGGGCGTAGTTCGTGGCATAGAAAAGCCGGAGCACATGGAAACCGATGATGTTCTGTCCACCCTGAAGGTAAGGGCCAATATCAATCTCGTCAAAGAACCAGAGGGAAGCATCGCCTTTGACGGGACCAAACGTCACAAGCTGTTCGTTAATGTAGAGCTTATATCTGGTGTCGGCAGTGATTTGAATTCGGAGGCTGCTTGGAATTGCGTTGTTGACGAAAATATTCTTTCTGAAATGAACGAATCGGCCGGCTGTTTCATTATCGCTTTCCGTAAAGTCAGGATGCCACATCCACGTCTTGTCCCAAGTAATCGACATGGTTGGTCTCGGGTAGGAGAGGGGGTTGGCAGATTGTTGGAAAGGCGAAAGGGTCGAATAGCAGTTTCAAAGAATCGTAGTGTTAATTCAGTCGAAGTCAGAGGTAAGGCAGCTTAAGAGAGTTTGAATCGGTTGAAGAGACGCCGAACATGACGGTTGATTATCATGTGGTGTCTGTAGCTCGGTATATCAAGTCCCGGGAAACACGCCATGAACACAGCTAATACTGTCCCTGTGGTATCAGGTAGCTAGCCACTTGGAGCCAAATTGGTCAATCAATACATGGGCTGATGGGTTATCTTGATCCGAGGTGTGTCACCGGCGTTAGCTAGTATACGCGTATGTAAACAACTGAGGGTAACTATACGCGTATATCTCAATTTTGGCACAGGTATGGTCAGCTCCATGTCCACGCCTCGGGAATAGGGTGAGCATTTCTGTTAGCGTGATTGTTCCCCGTGGGGAAGAAGTCTTCGATTTCATAGAACAAGGTAATATTCCCCGAAAAGGCGGGGGAAAGGCCAGTAAGCCTCCTTTTGTAAGAAGCTTTTAAATGATGAAGGATTCAATACGCCGTCATGTGTATATAAAGCAGAACGAACATTACTTTTCTCCCATATCGAAGAGCTGAGCCGAAACCAGCTTCTTTACATTCTGACGGTTTTGTCAAGCTCTTAGTTGAAATACCCAACTCACAATGCCCGAGACCAGGGACCATATCGAAGAACAGGGGCGCCAGGCCCAGCCCGGAGTCCTTCATGATGAAGATGCCAAGATCGAGAGAGTCGCTCTGAAGTCGGAGGTGGATTCGCTGGGGCATTGGGCCACGGTAGTCAAGTTCCGCAAGGTAAGCCTTCCGACTCTCGTTTTCTCTGGCTTTTCAACTGAGCGTTGAGTAATGGGTTTGCAGGCCGTTGTTGTCTGCAACCTACTTTGCATCGCAGCAGCAGCAGATGGGTATCAAATCAACCTCAACGGTGAGTAGCCGACGCGACCACCCTGATGATATTCATCTTCATATTTCCTGAGCTTATGTCAATATAGGCAACTTGATAGCAAACCAGGGCTTCATCAATCATGTTGGTTTCCGTGACAGCGCCGGGAAGACTACTCTCAATGCCAACTATACTGCTCTGTGGGGTGCTATGCAGTCTCTGGGTCAGCTAATTGGGATGATCGTCCTGAATCCTGTGTCAGATAAGCTTGGCCGCAAGAAAACACTTTACGTTCTATGGGTGATCCTCGCCAGTGTAAGAATTCATTCCCTTATCTATCACCTCCAATTATACAGCCCGGACTTACCTAAACTTAGTCGCTCATACTCGAGACTCTCGTGCGAGACTGGAGAGATTGGACTGGAGCTAAGATTCTTGCCGGCATGGGTATTGGTGCCATTCAAGCCACTCTCCCGATCTACGTGACGGAATGGTCGCCAGTAAACATTCGTGGCGCTATGATTGTTGCCTATGGCTTCTGGAACGTCATTGGAAAGTTTCTTGCAAACCTCGTGCTGATGCTGGTTCAAGAGACGAACCCTTTGGACTATAAAACACCCATTCTAACACAGTGGGGCTTTCTGGGGGTCATGTTGCCCATCTTTCTCTGGCTTCCCGAGACTCCAGGTATGTTGCTCTGCAACTAGCTGAAACTTATCATTTCTCAGTATTGATTTGTCACTAGCATACTTCGCCGAAAGAGATCAGGACGAAACTGGCAAAGAAATCCTTCGCCGCGTCAACGGCAATGTCGAGGGATATGACATCGAAACAGAGTATACCATCATCAAGAACATCGTTCTCGAAGAACGAAGGGTACGACAAGAATTTGGCTTCGATGATATGGGCCTGAAACAAGTCCTGTTATCTTTCGCCGAGTGCTTCAATCGTTCTAATGTCCGCCGCACCTTAGGCGCTGCTCTACCCGGTTGTGCTCAACAACTGGCTGGACTATCCTTCCTCAATACCTACGCTAGTTTGTTCTTCAAACAGAGCGGATTTTCGAATGCTTTTCAAATAACTACGATTCTATGTAAGTATGCTTCCCATCTATCCAATCACCGACTATTCGCTGAATTATCCAGGCTCCATCCAATTTTCCACCACCATCTGCCTCATGCTCTTGTCCGACAAGCTTGGACGTCGTTTGATGGTCTTCGGTTCAATCATCATCTGTACCTGCACGCTACTGATCGTCGGGGCTCTATCGTTTGTAACGAAGACTACCGCAATCAAGGACTTCCTTATTTTTGTGGCTTGTGTCTGGTCATTTGCCAATAGTGCCGGTACGTGAAAGCTCGACAGGATCTAATCTGAGATGCGCCAGTCTCTCAAGCTGACAAAACTTCTGATAGTTGGGAGCCTCGGCTACGCGTTCGTGGGAGAAGTGGCGTCCCAAAAGTTGCGTGCTAGAACTGCCGGTGTTGCATCAGCCTCTTCCGTTGTCTTTGGGTTGATCTTCAACACTTCAGTGCCGATCATGCGTAAGTGTTTTCGCAACAGCCTCTCAAGTTTAAGGTTTTAGGATATTGCAGAATGCTCACCTCAATATCTAGTTGATGTCAATGGAGTGAACATGGGGTACAAGACCGCATGGATTTTCTTTGGAACAGCAATCGTTGTCTGTATCCTGCTTTGGTTCTTTCTCCCGGAATGCTCGCAAAGAAATGCGGCTGAGATTGACGAGATGTATGAGAAGGGTGTGCCTGCATGGAAGATGCATAAATATGTTACGGACGTTCAGAAGATGTATCAGATTCGTCTCTAGGGTTGATTGCTTTATAATCCGTGGTGGACTTGATAGGTTAGCATAGATTGTTCCAGTCTACCTTAGTCAACGATAACTATCAGATATCCGCTATAGCTGAAGAATACCTAGAATTGATTTAAATAGAGTATGTACAACACATCCCCCGGCCATGCACAGTTATAAACTATACATTGCTTCCGGAAGGCTGAGCCGAGAGTCAGGGCCATAAGGACAGCAGAGTTCTATTATTATATCTATATAGTATCTGGTATTATTTTAAGGCGCAACTACTTCCACTCACATTCCAAGCCTCTTATGCTTCGTTCAAGGCCGAGACTTTCTATCCAGTCCTCGTATAGTCTCCCTTTGAGAGCCCGAATGCTCAAAAGCTTGGAAAGTGCTCTCTTTAGAAACTCCAAACGTAATTCATTCCATTCGTCCGGTTTTAAGTCCGTAATTTCTCGATCGGACAGAGCATCTGCCCTCATTTCAATGTCGCAAATGCGTTTGCGCGATGGTAGTTCGACTTGCGGGTTGAAGTTCGGTTGCTGATAAGCTGCGGTTATGAATGGTACCTTGTCCATGGTAACGACCTTCACTTCAATGACGCTGCCTGGTAATCTGCCTGCGAGAGGCAAATAGTTCTCGAGATGACCAGCCTTCAGTTGATATCGATATTCGTTCCTTTCGTGAAAGAAGTCCAAGAGCCCAACAAAGCTATCATTCCAATTTTCTGAGAAAAGGGCCGTTTTGAAATATGGGTGCCACTGGCTCACATCCTGCATGATGAGCGCGTTCGTACCGACGAAGACAATGCCATGTCCAGTGATTCCGGTGGTGTTGAGCACATTCTTACTGCACTGACGACCAGTGCAGACGAATAAATCGAGATACACATGTAACATTTCGTGGACGAGGGTTATGATGCGGTCGAAGAATGACTGACTGCGAATTTCTTTTCTGACTCTCACAAGCGACCATATCCGTATCTCGTGGTACGGATACATATAAGGAGTTGAAGATGTCTCACCAAGGTCTCCCTCGCTAGGAATAGGAACAGAATTCTTGTCTTGAAAGTCCATGTATCCGGTAATCAGTTTGACCAGCGGGCGGGCGTAGATATCGTGTCTTCGAGTTAAGAGACCGAAGAAGAAGTAGTCGTCAATGTACTTCATCATGTCTTGCATACAATTTTCGAAGAAAGCTCCTTCTTCTGCGATGGAAGAAGCTCCAGCCCAAGAGTCGGAGATGTTGATGCACTCATTGGAATATTTGTCGGCCCAGAATTGATCCCAGTGCCAGGCCCGATCTCTAGCACTGAGATAAAGTGATGTAAAGGCCTCCCGAGCTGCGTTTTGGTGAGGCTGCAGGTTTCCGGAAAGGAATCCCGCACATGTAAAATTCTGTAGACTGACAGGGTCGTATGAGTTCAGCTTCAGGACCAGAAAAGGCCTGTCGTTTCTGCTCCCATCTTTCCCGTCCTGGTGGTCCCAAAATTCGGGAAGCTCGGGGTGACGACAATGTTTGGTTATCTGATTTCTCTCGATATACGCGCGGCTTCCTGACTTCTTCATAGACATTCTCTTATCATTTGCGGCGGCCATTGCGGTTTTCTTGCTAGCTGTTGATGAGGGAGAAAATACCGATGCATGAAGCTCTGGGAAAGAAGTCGATTTGAATAATAAACGGGTCTCAAGTATTGCGATGTCTTGTGTATTCCTCTTTTTTCCCTCTTTCATGTTTGCGTAAATTCTTCATATGTTTTTCTCTGGGGGCATATCTCCATTAAGGCATCTCCGGTTGTGTCGTTCCCTACCAACACTCGCCATCGCCAACCGTAATTCACAGGAAGTGTATTTTTAACTGCATTTAGAATGCACCGTACTGATCCATACTTTTCAGAAGACAAACTTTCGCTTCGCCAGCGCTATCAGCGGCAACCACAACTGCAAAGTGATCCAGCCTCATTCTTTGGTTTTGTTCTCTCCATTAGGCGACTGCTTGCTTACCTCTTCGTTTTCACGGGGCAAGTTTGCTATTTCAAAGCTCGGTGGCTTAATGTGTCCCTTTGCGTAGATCAAAAAGGTTCATGGGAAGCCAACCCAAACTGGGGCAGGCAAGGGAACCCCTTCGCGCTACAAAGCTTGAATGGCGGGTAATGGAAGGCTAGTCAGGATACCCTGCATATGAGGTTTTTCAAAAAGGTCTTATTCCGGTGATGCAACCCATTCGCAGCTGAATTTCCTCCAATAACCAGTCCCGAGGCCCTGCATTTCTCCCACTCCCTGTCCACTTGATATGAACTGTTATACCGAAAAGCGTTCATCCGTTGTACCTAGACGCGAAGGCAATGGCGAAATATAACGCAATGTTAACCATTTCAAGACGAAGCGGCTTTGATGATACGCTATCGTAAGGCTAAGCTCAAATGATCAACAGAAAGAGGGTCTCGGCATCGATCACACCGACGAGATGGGTCTGTAATCAACACCTTCTCTGCTTTCCTTCAATCGTTTCCAAAACCGCACGCCTTCTTACGTTAGCTGAGACCAGCGACCCAACACTCTTCGAAGGGTCCAATATCTGCGCATACCAATTGGGTAGGTACTTCCCAATGAGTACCGACTTCCATATTGCTGTGGGCTATAGACCTACATGTGGCCTTCGTTTCCGCAACTCCACGTTCAAATATGACAATAGCATACTGGCTGAATCTTCGGGAGTACGGCATACTCGAGTCAGAGCTGGATTGAGATTGAGACTGACCTCTAATCTGCAGGGTAATGAAGACTCCAGATCAGGTGCATGATTGGCCTCGATTCAGACTGTTCACTGGTCTGGGATAACCACATGTTTATAAGACACAGTCGATTCCAGGTATTGTTATTCAATCTACCTACATTGCCTCCGATATTTGAATCCAATCGTAACAACTTTTGCGGTTGTTCGATTAATACTTTCTTCATCTCAAAATTAGGAACGTATATCATCTCTTGCACATAATCTTGTAGACATCATTACAGCATCATCCAGAGCAACATGACCCTCGCTCGCCTATTCACAGTCGCTGCGTTGAGCATCCCCCTCGCACAAGCCTCCGTCGGCGTTCCTAATCTTTCAGGCTGGACATTAACGTGGTCTGACGACTTCACCGGCGCCGCCGGCTCGCTCCCCAGCTCAGATAACTGGCTCATCGACACCGGCACCAGCTATCCCGGCGGTGCCGCCAACTGGGGCACGGGAGAAGTCCAGACCTATACCGCGGATCCGGCAAACCTGAGCCTCGATGGCAAAGGCGTTCTCAAGATCACTGCCCTGAAGGGCGGTGCCTGCGGCGGCAGCGGCCAATGGACATCGGCGCGCATCGAGACACGTCGGACAGACTTCGCTTGCAAGGCCGGCGGTATGATGCGAATCGAGGCCAGTCTGAATCTTCCCAACGTTGCCAATGGCGTTGGGTACTGGCCGGCCTTTTGGACTCTCGGAAGCCCATTCAGGGGCAACTATTGGTACGCAAGTTTCAATCCGTTCTCCCCTTGTTCCCAAAGCAGCAGTCGCTCATGAAATTTGACGTATCAGGAACTGGCCCTCCATTGGGGAGTTTGACATTATGGAGAACGTCAACTCCGTCGACCGTGTGTGGGCAACCATGCACTGCGGCAGCAACCCTGGCGGACCTTGCAAGGAGACCACCGGCTTCGGCAACTACAAAGATTGTCCCGGGAAGCCGTGCCAGGGCAACTTCCACAAGTTCACCTTCGAGATCGACAGGACCAAGTCGGTCGAGGCCGCGAGATGGTATGTCGACGACATCATCTACTGGCAGATCCTGTCTACCGACCTGCCTGCCGATGTATGGGCGCAGACGGCGCATAACAACGTCTTCATCCTTCTGAACCTGGCCATGGGAGGATCCTTTCCTGACGGCAACTATGGTGCCAAGACGCCCCTAGAGTCGACCGTCTCAGGAGGTGTTTACCAGATTGACTACGTCGCCGTCTACAACAAGTAGTCTTGCCTTGATCATGACTTCTGCGACGCTGGAGATGTTTCAGGCTCTTACGTGACTTTGCCAAGCTGAGTTCTTATTTCATAGTGCAGATGGCCACCTCTGTCCATATTTCATTGTAAATAGTTATTAGAGATTTGTGTAAATAGTATAAGGTATCGTCTATGAGCTCAGAATATCGATGCTCCTTAAAGAACCTGATCCAGAAAGAAAACACCACCCAAATGCTTCATCGCGCCATCCCAAGCTCATGATATCATTACTCGTAAACCCTGCCTGCCGCTCAGACTGGGGGTAAAGAAGACGAGGTACTTTGCTCGCTTTGGTCTCGTTCGGTCTCTACCACTTGAAAGTTCCCAAAATGGGGAGGCTTTTCGCCGGGCGAATTAGGCTGGCTGAAATCCTTGCCCAGGTGAGAACCGTTCGGGTATCGACTGTTTCGGTTGTTCGAGGAGCCGGCGGTGCGAGTGCCCGCGACCAAGCCCATGCGAGCGGCGAGAGCCTTCAGGGGCGGCAAGCAGAGGCAGACCATAGCGGCGGTGAGCTCGCCCATCGACCACAGGGCAGGTGTCACGTTCCAATACGTGAAGTCCGCCTTGATACTGAGGAATTGGAGGCGGAAGACCGATATCGCAACGATACTAGAACGAGAAACATGCGTTAGTGATTATCTTTCTTGCCGGTACAGCTGGCGGAAAAGGGAAACTCACAAGAATCCAAGGCTGAAAATACCGAGCAGATACCACTTCTGGGATCGAGGCAGCTGCAACTTGAAGAGGGCCGGTAGGGGCAGTAGAAAGATGATGACATCGGTTACAATACTGCACGCTCCGAAGACGTAGTAAAGAGCCTGCTGAGAGAGGCACTTTGCAGGAATGGTGTGGTCCCAAAAACCCGCGATCGGGACGCAGAAGAACAAGGACATCACCACGACGGAAATGCCCCACGCCGCCACGAGAACCATTCCCGCAATATAGATCTTTTTCATGTTGGTAGTCGACAACACTCGGTAGTATTGTAGTAGAAATGCCATCTTGAAAGATAGATGGCCCAGACCATAGAAGACGACGGAAACCCAAAAGCACTAAACAAGTCGTTAACGACAACCACCATCAACTTTGCGAGCCGACCTACCTTAGTGAACTCCATGTATTCCTCCGGCGTGACTGTCTGGATGTGCTTTCCAAGCCCGTAACGTGTCACTGTCACCAGTCAGTCGGTTGAGATGCGGAGAGGGCATTGGGGTGAGACGAACTGACTGCGATAGCGATCCCGCAACCTAACACGGATATCTGTGCGCTGTTAGCAATGTGAAAGTCGAATCACTGTTTCCATCATGTACTTACGAGTGAAAAAGCGGCAGCCCAATCATCTGCTCCTGTTTGCTTGACGATGTGTATACGAGTCCATAGACGGAGGGCGAGAATAGATGTCGAGATGACGAAACACATGATCACCACTCCAATCACCGTGGCCGACCTGTCCTCCGCCATTTGTTCTGGTGTAAGCTGCGGGAGATCCATCTTTGGCGAAATAACACAACTTCGCACGATGCGTTCCTCGTAGCGGTTGTTTACAAGGTGTGACCTTCGAGGTGAGACTTTCGCGAGGGAGGGAGGGAGGGGAGGCACCGAATTTTGGGGCAGCAATGATTTAATAAACAGCTCTTGGCGGAAGCATCTTGCTTCGCTAGCGGCGAGAGGTTCGGAGAGAAAACAAGTCAGACTTTCTTTGGGATATCTGGTGTGGCTCAGTGAACATCAAGAGAAACTGCGCACATTTTTGACGGATGCAGCACGAGGCGTCACTGCAGCAAAGGAGCAAGGCGTCGATCCCTGGGCGATCAGGAATGTGAAGGACTTCGGATCGAGCAAGTCGATTCTGACGCATATGGATAAGTGATGGACCTCTCTGGTGGTCTAGTCCCCGTAGTGGCGACCGGTTCTGGATCAGTTCCATTCCGGAGAGTACCAGCAGATTCGGGGGAGGCTTCGGTGGCGTAGTTCTAGTTCTCGGTGTACCGGATACCGTTTTCACAGATCAGCTCATCGGACAAAACATGACAGCAGAGCGTAACCACAACAAGATCGGTGAAGGCGCTCAGATTTGGTCCGAGATGGAGATGGTTCGGCGCTAGAATGCAACGCCGTTCTCTGGAGCTGTCTAGTGAGCAGCCAAGACACTCAAGACCCTGGGGTTTTCGTATGATTTACTCCAAATAGTAAGTAACTGCACCTTGAAGTGGCTTAAGGGCACTCAAAATGATCAAGATACACGTGGTTTTGCCCTTCGTCTCGCCGCATTGAGCTACTGCTGGCACTTCAATCGCCCTCGAGCTGACTTGCTGATGACAGCTGTCTTCGATCCCGAGAGCCCTACGTCGCTGAGATGAGGAATCTCTTCGAGAATTGGATGACTAAACCTCTTTGACGGCTAGGGCATGCCGAGACAACCATATCGGATAGCTTTGCGTAGTTTCGCCGGGCTCAGCCAAGTGACGCTCAGCTGTGAGAAATTGTAGTTAGGTAGTTACATAATCCCCGAACATAAGCTTCTTCTCAATCCTCTTCGGCGAGACTGGCGAGACTGGCGAACCTGGCCTGCTAGATCCTGGTTCCTCTCTGAAACCAAATCTTCACGAAGTACTCTCAGTTTCGATGTCGTCGGCTTCGTGCATGAGCAGGGTTGCGTCGCGGCTCTGTCGCCCGCTTCAATTGACCTGCACGTGAGTTCTCCTGTCAGCGCGTCTGACAGCCAAGACATGCAAGAGATCTTAATCGGAAAATAACCCCATAATTCCATCATACCTATCCGGACGATGCTTTCTTTTTTCTTCGACCACAACCAACAGACGAAAACCATCAGCATTTGGGCAGAGTCACCGACAGCCGGCCGACAATTCAGCAAGGCATAACGGCACGCCTAGCAGCCAAGCAGCTGATTCCCCGCCGCGAGTTATTAGATCCATTTGGGATGAGACTTTGGAAACTCACCGCCAAAGCCTTTCGAAAGTGAACAGATCCCGAGTCCTCGGGGTCTTGACCGAGGCTTGACGACGCAAATTTCGGGTACGGCATCCGCATACCTTGAATTTCTGATAAGCTGTGCCCATAATGATGCGAAACTCGTTCGCGAACAAGGACCTTTCACGCATGTGAAGATGGACATAATTCAAGCTCTTCTTCTACCTCGAAAATGTCAACCTCAAGAACGGAGTTTGCAAAGCGCTGAACGATAGAGCGACTAAGCAACTTTCCTCACGGATTTGCCGAGAGGCATACGTGTCATCCGAATTTGCGGTCAGTTAAGAGAAGAGCCATCATGACGAAATCTTGTGTCAATATCCGCATCAAGTCAGAGTCCAGAAGGTGCAATGGCTGGGGTAACGAGTTTGCCAATGATTCTGATACAGTGGCTTGGCAAATCCTCCTGTGCAAGAGTTCCAACAGCATCATGGCTGGGCTCGGTTTTCTTCATCTGACAACCCGGACACAGTGTGACAGCCCGTTCCAGACTCTCGGGTTCGCCATCGAGACTTTTTTTTCATGTTGGTCAGCCTCCAGAATGATGTGAGAAGTTGCTAAACGGCAATCAATCCCTGTCAAAAAGGGGCACTCAAGACAAGGGTCCCATCTAGATGCCCTAATTAGGTCTGGTGGGCACAGACACTGCAAACTTGCATATGCAACCCTCTTATTTGGGCAGTCAAAACATCCCCCCTCTTCAGAGTCCGAGACGTGAGAGAACAATACGAAGAGAACAATAGGACGCCAAGTGGTGGCCTGGAACACAAGCTCGCCTCCCCGTCCTGGCGGATTCTCGTCAAAGGTCTGGTTCGGTGCAACCTTACTAACGGGCCCAGAACCTCGGTATCAGATCTCATCCCTTGAAAAAGACCCATCCGAACCATCACGAGCCCCCTTCTTCTCACAGAGTCATTGGCCAGTCTCGCCGTAAAGTGGGAAAAGACGGGTCAATGCAAGAGAACCCACTCGGCTGGTTCTTCGCGACGGCCAAAATTTCTTCGGAAATTCCTCAGTGCCACGTGGGAATCTCGTCGTTATGGTATCACTGAGCACGGCCGGTGCTGCTACATGTATTCATCGCAAGGTCTCGCCCTGCTGTAGGAGATTTGAGCGAGAAAAAAAAAAGGGTTACGTGAATTGAAGTTCAATAATATGTGGTAAGAAGGCGACGAAAAGAAAGCTTTTGGGTATCCTCATCCGTTACAACGCTAAAACCGCCCTCGCGTGGAACCCTCCCAACATTCGAAATAAACCCGATCCCCCGGAGGATTGCCAGGAGGCAAACACGCACACGCACTCAGCCGCTGGAGGCCCTTTGGGAGCCACCAATCATCTCCTATCGACATAAAACATTACAAAAGTCGTTAATGGGTAGATCTGCTCGAAGAGGTTGCTCTGCTGCTGGTGGCGTGTTCCTGGAGGATCTTGGCTTCCTCCAGGGCCTCCCTCTTGGCGAATTCGTCGAGTAATTTAGCCGCAGACTCAAGGGGCAAATCGGCAATCATGGCGGAAAGTTTCTGATAAATTGGTCAGTATGTCATGGACTCACAGACCGCTAGATTGAAGAGGTAGGGGGTGGAGGGAGAGCGGGTTGTGAACAAACATACCGCAGGGAAGACGTAAGAGCGTTGGTACTTGAACTCCTCCAACATCCGGTTGAGGCGAAGTACCTGCTTCCACGGCACGATGATGTCGCCGATGAGGAAAGTCGGGAACCGAGCCATGGCAAGCTCCTCAAGAATCCAGCGGCGCTGGAATAGGGGCCGCGTCATGAAGTCTGTGCCGCCCACCCACCGCGGCATCATGAACGGGATCTCGCCGTTGGGACCGTCCTCCCAGATGTGGGCAATCTTCTTCGCCCACTCGTGCGTCGGCGCATAGTCCTGCGGATTCTTCTCCCGGTCGCCCGGGTCTCCCCAATGAGGCGGCATCATGTCCTCGATCTCGGCGAAGGCCTCCATGCCCGCGTCCGTGTGCTCCATCTTCTCGCCCAGCCAGCCGACGACGAGCTCGGCCGACCTGTAGATGTTCCGCATGTCGGTGTGCTGTCTCGACTTCTCCCACTCGTCGCTCGGGTTGATGCAGAGGAAGTCGCACCACACCCGCAGCGTTTGGCCGTCGCCTGAAGAACGGTTCGAGGTGCTCAGGCCGAGGAGCTGTCTCAACCAACGAGGACCGGCGTGGGGCTTCCTGATGGGTACGCGCTGGAAGCGTTGTGAGATTGTCGGGTAGAAGACGGCGCGGATGTTCTTGAGGGCCATGGAGAGATGTGTGGTGATTGTGATGGGCTGACCGTTAACGAAGATCTTATCGGTGTCGGAGGAGTCGCCGTAGAGGGACGAGAGGGCGATATACTCGAGGTCATCGTTGAGACGGTGAGTGACGAGGCGACACTCGATCGGGGCGCTGAGGTCGCGGGCTGACGATATCTCGATGAGGCGTATCTCGCGCCTCGACGAGTCCAGACGTTTGTATGCGATGTTCATGTCGGCGACACACACGAGTGTAAGTTTACTCGGTCCGGGAGGGGTGGCGGCGTTCCGGATTCGGTGCTGGCGAAGCAGGTAAACACAGAAGAAAGTTCCTTTTGGGAAGATTTCTTCTTCTTTTCGGTTCTCTCTGCAGAGTCCTGGGTCCTCGTATCACCGAAGAGTGGAAGTGTCCAAGTGCGGTACGGCGGGCGGCAGACGCAGGTGAAGACCAGGGTTACGGCTCCTGATGAACGGCTTGCAGACGTCGCACCAACAAGAAAACGGGGAATTCGTAGCAAACTTCCAGAAAGCTGGACGGGATGCCGGCGTTTAATACCAAGAACGCGCGAAAGCGGATCCCAACGGCTTTGGACATGGGTATCTGGGGCCACCGCGTTTTCGGCTGCTAACACCCCTCGGTTGAGCCTTTAGCAACGGCAGGGATCGAGGAAAGTCTGTCGGTAATGGTTTGTTACCTCTTCAGTGACCTGACCCTGTCGCCACCCCCCTTTCAACCGTTCCGTTGCGATGGGTTCATCGTGCCGTGTGGTGCGTGAGTCGTGATCCAGGCTGATTCCAGATGCCGTGCCCTGGGTGTTCGACGACTCGCAAAGACTCTGAGTCTGACCCTGGTAAAATGTTGAAGTCGACGATCGATGCCACCTCTCATACAAACCCCAGCGAGTTTGTTATCCGCCATGTCTGTGTGGCTTGTTTGCCTTGTCTCGATCCTGGTTGTGTACTTCCTGCACATGAGTGTTTGTGTCTTTGCCTGACGGATCGACGACTGACCACCGGCTTGGTATCGGGATGCTCTTAGCGAGGTTTGTAATCTTGTCTGCGGGCGAAACCAGAAGCAAATGGCTGCGGATGGATTCTATTAGTGGCCTTTTCACCGCATCCTCGTGGACGCCGTGAAATGCCTTTTAGGATAAGAAAGGGGATCATGGCATGTTTTCGAAAGTAGCGTTGTAGAACCCCGGATAACCCCCACCTCCTTCTGGCAAGGGATGGCATGGCACAACGGCAGACTTGGTCCTCTTATTTCTCCTTTTTCATGGTGTGTCTCCACAGACTCCTGACTCGGCGAACATGCTCCGTCGTCATGCCCGAAGAAAGAACGTTTGAGAGAACAAAAACGGAAGGACAATATATCTGCGTCATGCTTCATCGAATTGCTGTCCAAAATGACTCCTGCCATCGGCGCCCGATAAGCACATCTGCGATCTCGCGGGAGTCTGGTCTGGGGGCTGGCGTTTTATCTCTTTTATGAAGGCTTGAGTTGCTAGGGTCCTCACAACCCTACTGGCCGTTGGGGCCATTTGCCGGGAGAGTTCAGCCAGGAGGCTTGATTAATGCATATTGTTGATGAACTCTGAATGTCTCAAGTGCTGGGTGATGCGCTTTACCGTGTTGGATAGTCGCCTTTGCTGTTGCTAGTCGTACCTTGTGGTGGTTTGTCTCTTCGGTATTTTGCTCGCCAAGCGCTTCGAGGCAACATGCTTGCTCGCCATGCCCTCGCTTCGGGCCATTCTCCGCACACACCAGCAGTCCAAAGAACAGATGGCGTTCACCTGCCATCCGAACCTGACTCCTGTTTGCTGATGGATCCCTGTCAGAATGATTATGCAGACTGCCAACGACAAACTTAGAGAAAGGGCAAACATCGCAAGCCACAAGGGGTCAACTTCCACATCGTTCGTGGGACCTGCGTCTGTAGCCTCAACAGTGTGAGCTATTGTGGTGCTTTCCCCCTAGGTATCGTCACCATTTCAGTCTTCTGCTAATGCTGCTTTGATGGTTCAAGGCGAAGTCGGTCACATGGTTCAGAATGAGCAAACAGACATTTTGCCGTCAATTCAACCATGACAATATTTCGTCTGCGTCCCAAGATCATGGATAAAACCTCAGCACTTCCCGTAACACAATGAAAGGTCTCCGGGCAGTACTCTTCTTGAGTTGAAATCAGACTCACCGACTCTTCATACACCGTATCGTCCCAATATTCCAATAATCTTAGTCCCGTCTACAGGGCCCAAACGCTGTAGCAATGGCTGTTTCCGACTTCAACAGCCTAGGGGCTCACGACGCAGCAGCGAATGCAGCATCCTCAATCATCGACTCCTTGTGGGGATATGTCTCGACTTCCAGTAACAAAACGCTGGACGACGACGAGTTGGTGAACGATCCCAAGAGATTGGCATCTGCCGTCCGACCCATTTGTACCCGCATGCTGGGGCAGTTAAACTACCCTGGGGCACCTGTACTCAAGGCAGAGTCTGTTGAAGCTCTGTTGGAGTACATGTACAAGAGAGCTGTTGAGATGGGAGTTCCTCTTGACACACCCATCTCCGCAAAAGGGTTTCGCTTGGGTTACGCCGAAGGGCTGGTAAGCAAGTCCCCGAACCCAAAATCACTCTGCTGCCTTGATAAGAATGATGTAATTGTTGACTCGTCACACAGCTCGCCCATCCACGTCATCCCACGATAGTCCAGGGCTATGTCGGACTTTTCACCTGGCTTGTCGTGATGTACGACGATATCGTCGGCCAGAACGATCAGATGGTGGAAGAGGCATCGTTGTTCCACCAGCGCTTCTTCAAAGGCGAGCGGCAGAAGAACAACCTCCTGGAGGGCATTGCGGTTCTCCTTCGGGAGGCTCACGATCTCTTCGATCCTGTGATGGCCAACCTTCTCCAACTCTCCGTCCTGAAGTTCCTTACCAGCAATCTCCTGGAGCGCCACAACGGTTTCCAAACGTTCCAAATCACCAGGGCCGGCGAGAAGTTCCCCGACTTTTACAGAGACATGTCAGGCATGAACGTCGCCTACGCCGTATTCTGCTATCCGAAAGAGCAGTACCCAGACGTTTCGCAATTCATCGAGGCGATCCCAGACATGGCCAGGTTCATCGACATCTCGAACGATGTGCTTTCGTAAGTTCTTCGCACTTGAATCTTCGGTCCCTGTGACAACTCACTGACTCGAATCTCTGTCAGATTTTACAAGGAGGAGCTCGGCGGCGACACGCGAAATTACATCCACAACCGCGCCCTGACCACTGGCAAGCCAGTGCTCCAAGTCGTTGAGGAGGTGAACATTGAGACGATCGATGCCGCCAAGCGAGTCGAGGCCATTCTCAAGGGGAGGGGCGTCTACGAGGACACTTGGAACGAGAGCGTGAGGGGCTACATGGCCATGCACACGACCAACGCGCGATACAAGTTGAAGGACCTGGGCCTAGGCGAGGAGCATCCTCTTGCTCCCTTTGAGCACAGAATCGGTGAACTTTTCGACATTATGAAGCTGAAGGCACGGTGATTTGCCATGCTTTCGAATGACAGGAGGGGATGTTAGCGGGCGATGTCTTGACTTGGGATTACCGGGATTTCCTTCCTCTCTTTGTTCGTTTGGTTGATATGCTCCGTATTAGAAATAGAACAGGGCGCGCAAGAGCAGGATCATCTCATCTCTTGTACAATTCCATGTACTCTGTATTCCGTGGTTGTAGACCCCAAAAAACAAGGGTTTCGACGTCGTGGCAGTCAAAAGTGCCAACCGAGCTTGGCTTTCCTGTCATTTATGCATTCGCGTCCTTGGAAGGATTTGTTTCCTGGCAGTTGGACAAATCATTGCGATCGGCGGCTGCTTCTCCCGAACCATTCCACTTCCATGTCCGGTTCAGTCCAGTCGGAGACCAGGGGCCCGGTCCGTGATCCCAGGAATACGACCCAATTGCCGTTCTTCCTAGTTTCCTCGGCAGCCCAACCACTTCTGACCGCAACCTTGCGAGGGTAGGAAAAAATTTATGATCACTTGAACGTGATGCGAAGGATGTTTTCCCTGGTTGGAGATACGCGTCTTACACTAAAAGCAAGGAATCTCAAACCAGACTTTGTTCGGCTCTTGGTGATGTCAAAATGGGGCCTTGCCCACACCGTTTCTGGCATCATGCTTCATCAGTTCTCAGGTTCTAAGATGAAGCTGGCCCCGTTCCCCAGTAAAGTTCGCGGGTTGAGCCGCTGCGCTCCTCTCCTTCTAGAAAAAAAGCAAGGACTAGGTGCCACTATATTACTCACGTTATACGGATACGCTGACATAAAAATACCCTCAAATAATCTACCAAGTGTACAGCCTGCCACCAAAAACATGCGTCTTGCCCCAAATCTAGCCCAGATCAATGTCAATAAGAAATACCAAACAAAAGGTCTCCATCCCAATCTACATATTCCCACGATCGTTTCTAGAGCCACTGAATGTCTGCCTTGTTGTCGTCAAAGTTGCCCTCCATAGCCCAAATATTCCACAGAACCACCTCCTGGCATGCTATCGCAAGTCAACAATAAACCTCACTTGCGCCCCCTCCCCCCTTTCCCATAACCTTCCAACAGCGCATCACGCACTCTCATTGGCTAAAGCAGAGGTCATGCTCTCCTCGACGAAGCTTGACAGCACCGTCAGTGACTTCTTGGGGCTCATGATGTCCAAGAACGGCACATCGACCTTGAAAGTCGTCCAGAACCAGGTGCGGTACTCGGCCGCAATCATACTGTCCAGGCCGAATTGGGGGAGGGCCTTGTGGTCGTCGATCTTCTCGATGGGCAGCAGGATCAGGTTGGAGAAGCGCTTGCGCGCCAGCCGCAATACGGCGTCGGAGAGGGTAGAGGCGTCCGCCTCGGCGGCCAAAGCCTTGGCCGCCGCACCCGCGGGCAGAGCCTTGAGCCACGCTGGGGCGGCAGTCAAGCTGACGGCGACGGCGGAAGAGGCATCCTTGTTCGCCTCCTGGTCAGCGAAGAGGGCGGCCGCGAGGAAACCGCAGCGTGGGTCTTGCGTCGTCCCGTTCTCCACGTCGAAGCCCTTTCTGATGAGCTCACGAAGGCCGAAGGGCTCCAGGCCGGTCAGGATGTGCGGCGCGGTGGCACCGGGCGCCAAGGCGAAGTCGACGACCTGCAGGAACTCATACTCGTTGAGCGGTTGGATGCCCTTGCGGAGGAGAAGGGCTTCGATCTCGGGATTCTCGTGCAGGTAACCCACTTCAGAGATCATGCCGAGGCCGACCGCGACCGCGGGCTTGCCAGCGCTGCGACGGCACCGGGCGAAGGCGTCCAAGAAGCCGTTGGCGGCGCAGTAGTTGCTCTCGGTCGCGGTGCCCACGCTGCCGCTCACCGAAGACGTGAGCAAGAAGAAGTCCAGGTGCGCGTCGCGACCATCGCGGGCCAAGGCGCGGTCCAGGTTCCACGAGCCCGCCCACTTTGGCTGGATTCCCGTGTGCCACGCCTTGTGCGTCATGCTGGAGAAGAGAGCCTCGCTGAGACCCATGGCGGCTTGGACCACGCCGCCGATGGGACGGCCAGCGCAGGCGTCGACGGCGGCATCGACGTCCTCTTGGTTGGACACGTCGCCGCGCACCACCTCCACAGAAGCACCGGATCCTCGGAGCCGATCCACGAGGCTCCGGGCTTCGGGTTTGTCGCTGCCAGAGCGACCGAGGAAGACAAAGTGGCGAGCACCTCGAGACATCATCCATCGGCTCAGACTGCGGCCGAGGCCGCCCAAACATCCGACGAGCAGGTAGGCCTTTTCGGGACGAAGGGTTGTCTGATACAGTGTAGGCATGACCTGCTGACTGTTAGTGTTGCGTTCATGTATGTGACCTACCGACTCATGCAAGTAGAACAGGCGGCCCGGAGACCTAGTGGGAGGGGCATCGTATGGTGAGGCGTACCGGAATAAGGCTGCTCGAGTCCTGCATGGATACCACGACTTTGCCAATGCGATCCTTTCCAGAAAAGAAGCGGTATGCTTGGGATAGCTTCGAAACGTCGAATGTGGCGATCGGGACCGGCCTGATAGCTCCTGTGCGATACAGCTCCAGCGCCTCCTTGGTTTTACTGGGAATGGTTAGTCTGATAGTTCGCGAATTACACTTGGAGGGAACTGCTGTGGGCCACCCATTCCTGGAGAGGCAAAAAGGAGAAGAGTCCGGACGGGATAGAGAGCAAGGCGACGAAGCCACTTACTTGATCCAGATATCTCGGTAGAACTGGTCTTTGTGGAAGAACAACTCGGTCAGATCGAAGGCGGTGAAAGAGCAGTTACGTGTGAAGACGTGCATGTCGAGTTTGCCGGCGTCGACAAGCTCACGCTTGCCGACTTCGACGAAACGGCCAAAGTCTGCAATGCAGTCCCAGCTGTCATGCATGAGATCCCCAACAAGCGAGTTGATAACGATGTCGACGCCCCGGCCCCCGGTCGCTGCGCGGATGCCCTGAACAAAGGAGTCATCCCTCGAACTGAAGATGTTCTCGGCCGGGAGGCCGAGCTCGCGCACGAGGTGCTCCTTCTTGGCCGGAGACCCGACGGTCGCGTACACGACGGCTCCGAGGCGCTGCGCCAGCATGATGGTGGCCATGCCGAAAGCCCCCGCGCCGCTGTGCACGAGGATCGACTCCCCCGATCGGATGTGGGCTCGGTCGTGAAGGGCGTACAGCGCCGTGCCGAATGCCACAGGCAGGGTCGGCATCACGCAAAAGTCTTCCGACGGGAGCATCTTGTGCGCCGCCCAGGCCGGCACGCGCTCGACCGTGGCGAAGCGGTTCGGCGCCAGGACGACGGCGTGGTCGCCGGGTGCAAGATCTGTCACGCCCTCGCCGACCGAAACGACGACGCCGGAGAACTCGATGGCGGCCGTGCCGGTGCGTGTCTCGACGCGCCCGCTGACTGTGTAAATGTCTTTGGCGTTGAGGCTGACGGCGGACGTGCGAATGTCGACGAAGCCGGGAGGCGTCGAGGCACCGCCGGGCAACGTGGTCTCCTGCGCGAAATGGAGCGTGTCCGTCTGCCCGACACTTCCGATGGCCAGGCGTGCCAGGCCAACTTCTCCGAGTGCCACGCGCTCCAGAGGCTCGTTCGGGTCTACACGTCGTCGGAAGAGGCTGTTGTTGGCCCTGTCGGCCACAAATCGACTGACATGCAGGATGCCGTTGCTCTGACAGAACTCCTTGTCGTCCATGTCATGGGCAGGGACCAACGCGGCGGCCAGATTGGCGCACAAGGCATCGAGCGAAGCCTCGTCTACATTAGTAGAAGCGGAAGATCCCACGTCAAGCACCGTGTATCGCAAAGACGGCTGTTCAAGCATGAGTGCTCGAGATAACCCCGAAGAGAGAGTCAGGTTTGGGTCTGGGCTGGCGCCCAACATGCCGGCCCCCGTCAGCCAGACGAGATCAGTTGCGACGTCAGTAATGCGGCGAAGCCGGTTCATGTCGTTCGGACTCATAGTTGCAAGGAACTCTTCCTTCAGCTCAAGTAGAGAAATGTAGACGTCCGACGGGGACGGCTCCGTGCCTGACTCCTCGATGTCGTTGAGCGTAGTGAGGCGGACGTCGCCGAACACTGAATGTTGAGTCTTCAGGTACTTGGCAAGTGCATGACCTAAATGGTCTGGATTTTCCGAATCGCCAGGGCGCACAAGAACGACTGCTTTGCGCTTGGCCAGTGAGGAGAGCGATAGAAGACGCAGACCAACGAGCACACCCCGGCCGACGTCGATGACAGAGAGACCAGCTTGCTGCAAAGTCTCTAGAGCGCCTGCGACCTTGCGCATGATGACCACGCCGCTGTTTGAACTGATCAGATCGACGACTGATGCAGCAAGCTTCATATAATGCGATGAGGCGTCGAGCTAATATCGCGTGGTTAGGTCAATTCACAAAGGTACTTATACGGAGAAGACGGGGTCGAGGAGGTGGCGGACAAGTCACATGAATGACGGTCCAATGGTGAAGCAACTTACACTGGAAATAACCACCGTGTCGAAGGAAGAGGACTCGGTCGCAGCCGCTTGAAGCTTGCCCTCGGCATCCAGCTGACCTCCAATCCAGGACGCACAGCGAGGGAATGTCGTTTCGGCTTCCAATGCCTTGAGCCAGCGCTTGACTTGACAATCTCCATCAGCGCCGCCGAGCTCTAGCACACTCATCTTGGGGTTTTTGAAGCTGGCCAGGTCGATCATCGCGACGATGTAGGCCATGCTAGCATGGTCATTCAAGTCGGCGGGGAACCCTTCGATGATCTCTTCAAGATACTGCTTGATCTCGGCCGTGTTTTCTGGCTGGAGACGGACAATGTCGGGCTTCCAGCGCACGCTCAGGCACGGCTCTCGCTTCATGGAGCTCTCGTCAGCAGGCGCATCGCCAGTGGCCGCGCCATCATTGTCGGCAACCAGAGCAACCGGGCCGTTGCTGTACAGGGAGAGCTTCACGCCTTCCATGTCAACAAGGGCGTTTCCACTGCTGCTTTGGATAAGCGTACAATCGATC